CTGGTGAGGCATTTACCAGAGGAGGCAGCAGGGAGGCTGAAAGCTTTCCAAGAGAGATGGAGATTGGCGCTCTCCTCTGAAGCCTTTCTCTCACGATTATAATAAAAGACAATTTGTTGCAATATTTGTTTTGTGTTGAACTTATTCAGTGTCTACATTTCAGAGCCATTCAGATAACAAAAAATCATAAAAAAGCATGTACATAAAATGCCAGAAAACAATTTGTTCTTTTTGTTTAATCTCCCTCTTCTACATACAAATTTGACAAAACACAATAGTAATGAATGTCTGCTTGTCCCAAAAGGCCAAAGTTGGGCACAAAAATGTTATGGCATGTTCTCTTTATGATCAGTAATGTGGAGACCATGGGTGTAGGAGTGTGTGGTGGTGGTGGTGGTGTAATAATATCTTTAACTTGTAATGTACTTTTCAATCCTGTGTTGACAAGTTTCTCAAAACGCCACACTAGTCTTTATTCATTTATTCCACACAGTGTGTCACAGCTGGGTTGGAGGATGCCAGGCTACTAATCTGTGCTATTGGCCACCACCAAGCAGTCTCTCACTATGTCCACACATGTGGGTGAAGTGCATTGCTCAAGAACATACCAGACTGCACTTGGGGCAGCCAGGATTTGAGCCACCAACCATAGGCCCCTTTTATAAATGAATGTACACATTAGACATAAGCACTGGCATTATTTGACTCATTAACTTTTGTCCTGAGCTGCTTCAAATCCCTATTGATTGATAGTCTGAAGTAATGGCAGCTTTTGTAGGCAAATTTACTACTTTTATATTTACAAAATTCGTCCATTTTCCCCCAATAAATAATATTGACAATGACATGCGCCATAAAATTCATTATTGCGCATAAATTCATTGGGCATAGATAGTACTCACTACTACTCATACCCGTATTATAATAGATCCATGCTCATACACGCGGAGTGGGCGTGTCGAGTAGTGACGTCACTACCCGACACGCCCACTACTCGACACGCCTCCGTACTGCAGGCCGCAGACAGATACACTTGAAAAAGTCTTAAAACTCTTAAATCGATCTAATCCCAAATTAAGACACATGTTTTGCCTAATTTCAGCATTTTTAGACTATTTTCTCATCACTTTTCACTCTATGTTCTGCTCTGGCCCTCACAGAACGCTCCGGGTCGAATCTCTCCGATCTGTGACATCATAGCTAGACCCCGCCCCCTTGTCAATCAGCACAAACCACAAAAACAACCCAATATTATTAAAAAAATGACTTTATGCCAAGTGAGAATACGGACTTTGTGGACACATTCGTAACAGCGCAGCCGTACAGAGAACCGTCAATAATGATCTTTAGAAAGAAACACAATCCTAGAAGAAGAACACAACCCAAGGATCCTGTCGCACAAACCCAACATGAGAACAAGGCTTTCCTGGTTATCAGCCAGAAAAATGGAGTAAAAATATATATCAAAAACTCCCAGACATTTCCCTTTAATCTGCATCGTAGAGAGGGAGGAGGAGACTTTGTTTTAAAATGACGTATATTCAAAGTGGTAACCATGGAAACGGTGAGATCCTTCCATTCAGTCGTCAAAAAACAGCATATAAAAATATACAGCAATGCAGAGGTTTGAACCGGGCCACGCGGGAAAAGGTGAGATTATGAGCCTTTGAAAGTGAAAGTAAAAGTATAACACGGCTCAGTGCTTTTGTACCTGTGCTAAAAGTTTATTTCATACAATTTATACAAAATAAAAACTGAAATATTAAATGAGATTCGAACTGAACTCATTTGAAACTAAATCTGATATTTGATGTTTTTGATGTTAAGATGTTGTTTAGGTGAGAATTACTATTTTCACTGTTTAGACCAGAGAGAGACCAGAGAGAGACCAGAGAGAGACCAGAGAGACCAGAGAGAGAGACCAGAGAGAGACCAGAGAGAGAGACCAGAGAGAGACCAGAGAGAGAGACCAGAGAGAGAGACCAGAGAGAGAGACCAGAGAGAGAGACCAGAGAGAGAGACCAGAGAGAGACCAGAGAGAGAGACCAGAGAGAGAGAGAGAGACCAGAGAGAGACCAGAGAGAGACCAGAGAGAGAGACCAGAGAGAGAGACCAGAGAGAGGCCAGAGAGAGACCAGAGAGAGACCAGAGAGAGACCAGAGAGAGACCAGAGAGAGGCCAGAGAGAGGCCAGAGAGAGACCAGAGAGAGACCAGAGAGAGACCAGAGAGAGACCAGAGAGAGACCAGAGAGAGAGACCAGAGAGAGACCAGAGAGAGAGACCAGAGAGAGACCAGAGAGAGAGACCAGAGAGAGACCAGAGAGAGAGAGAGAGAGACCAGAGAGAGACCAGAGAGAGGCCAGAGAGAGACCAGAGACAGACCAGAGACAGACCAGAGACCAGTGAGACCAAAGTGAGACCAGAGAGAGACCAGATAGAGACCAGAGAGAGACCAGAGAGAGACCAGAGAGAGACCAGAGAGAGAGACCAGAGAGAGACCAGAGAGAGAGAGAGAGACCAGAGAGAGACCAGAGACCAAAGTGAGACCAGAGAGACACCAGAGAGAGACCAGAGAGAGACCAAAGTGAGACCAGAGAGAGACCAGAGAGAGACCAGAGAGAGACCAAAGTGAGACCAGAGAGAGACCAGAGACCAGAGAGAGAGAGAGACCAGAGAGAGACCACTGTGTCTGTTTGATTTTCTGATCCGTGTCGACGAATCGACAACTTGGTAAAGTCCTTTGACGAGGCTAAAAACATAGAATAGAATTGTTGTGATGAAAAACAGTTAAACATTATTTATTAGAAACTTAAAGCTGCTGAACCTAAAGTTTTGTTTCGAGACTGAAATGTTGTTTGTCGCGATAGAAAAAGTGTGAGAAATGTGTTTATTGTGGATAAATCCGACGTCATCTCCCCAGGTCATTGTGTTGACGTGATCCAACGGTCCTTGTGAGTCACTATTTGACCCTTTGGGCTCAGACAGAAATAAGAATTAGATTTTTACATGAGCTTTGAAAATAGAGACCACAGCTTTAAGTCTCGCACCAAATGTTAGTGCTATAAGAACCAAGTGGAACTCTGAGGAGCACAGGGACTGGCCTCCTGCTGTGACTCTGAGGAGCACAGGGACTGGCCTCCTGCTGGGACTCTGAGGAGCACAGGGACTGGCCTCCTGCTAAGACTGAGGAGCACAGGGACTGGCCTCCTGCTAAGACTGAGGAGCACAGGGACTGGCCTCCTGCTGGGACTGAGGAGCACAGGGACTGGCCTCCTGCTGGGACTCTGAGGAGCACAGGGACTGGCCTCCTGCTAAGACTGAGGAGCACAGGGACTGGCCTCCTTCTGGGACTGAGGAGCACAGGGACTGGCCTCCTGCTGGGACTCTGAGGAGCACAGGGACTGGCCTCCTGCTGGGACTCTGAGGAGCACAGGGACTGGTCTCCTGCTGGGACTGAGGAGCACAGGGACTGGCCTCCTGCTGGGACTCTGAGGAGCACAGGGACTGGTCTCCTGCTGGGACTCTGAGGAGCACAGGGACTGGCCTCCTGCTAAGACTGAGGAGCACAGGGACTGGCCTCCTGCTGGGACTCTGAGGAGCACAGGGACTGGTCTCCTGCTGGTCCCAGAGTCAGGACTAAACATGGGGAGGCAGTGTTTCAGATTTATGCAGCTAAAAACAGATTTCCAGAAAACGTGAGACGGGCAATATTCAAATCCAGGTTAAAAACAGATTTAATCCTGACTTTCTGATTTAAAGCCTTGTCTTGTGAGTTGCCGTGTGTGGACTGTGCTATACCAATAACCTTGCCTAATGCTAAAGGGTTATGAACATATGACATCAGTGACTTTTCCGCGTGGCCTCGCACCAGCATTTTTGTGTTACAATTTGAGTAAACTTCTGAACCATCAAACGACAGAATAAAAATAACATATGTACATGTAGATACGGATACAGGTGTAAAAAATAAAAGAATACAGAATACATACAGGTGAACAGAACCATGAACAGAACCATGAACAGAACCATGAACAGAACCATGAACACGCTCAGAGCAGAGGAGTCATTCTGTGTCCGTTCTAAAAACAACAAAGTTCACAATCTGGTCCCAAAGAGTTCCATCCACATGGACGGCGTGCTCCGGTGTCTGGCCGTGACTGCCCTTCCTCTGATTGGCTGCGTCCGTCCTGAGAAAAGGTACTTGTAGAAGAAGAAAGCAGTTTGTTGCTGGGGGACGTGAATGCTTCTCGGGCACAAGACGCCATTTTGTGTCCACGGAAATCACAGTTGCATCTTTTTGTTTTCCCCCCGTTTGGATTGAATGGTATAGACCAGGTGAGAGACCAGGTGAGAGACCAGGTGAGAGACCAGGGGAGAGACCAGGTGAGAGACCAGGTGAGAGACCAGGGGAGAGACCAGGTGAGAGACCAGGTGAGAGACCAGGTGAGAGACCAGGTGAGAGACCAGGGGAGAGACCAGGGGAGAGACCAGGTGAGAGACCAGGGGAGAGACCAGGTGAGAGACCAGGTGAGAGACCAGGTGAGAGACCAGGTGAGAGACCAGGGGAGAGACCAGGGGAGAGACCAGGTGAGAGACCAGGTGAGAGACCAGGTGAGAGACCAGGGGAGAGACCAGGGGAGAGACCAGGGGAGAGACCAGGGGAGAGACCAGGACCAGTGGAGCTAGGACAAGGGTAGAGACCAAGGAACCCAGGGAACCCAGGGCTAGGGGAGCAAGGACCAGGGGAGGCAGGACCAGGGGAGACAGGACCAGGGGAGACAGGACCAGGGCAGGTTGAGAAGCTAGTAGCAGATCTTGTGTTTCTAATCTGGTGAAAGTGTAAAACAGCCGGAACAATCAGTTGTGTCCCTAGGGTGCTGTGGCAGGGCGGGTGAGGTCCTCAGGGTGCTGTGTGGAGCAGGGTGGGGTCCTTTGGGTGTTGTGGCGGGGCGGGGTAGGGTCCTTAGGGTGCTGAGTTGGGGTGGGGTGGGGCGGGGTCCCTAGGGCGCGGTGGTGATTGCGTTCAGGTCTTTCATGAGGCCCTCCAGGTGGGCCATCTCCTCCGTCAGCTCGTCGGGTTCGTAGCTCTGCGGGAGAGGCACAGGAGGGGGGGCGTTACTGCGCGAGGCGGAGGAGGGCGTCAGGGAGGCCAGGACCTGCAGGAGAGCCAGGGGGGAAGAGGGGGGAGAGGGGGAGAGGGGGGAGAGCAAGCCCAGGTCAGTCAGGTTAGGAGGGCAGGGGGAGGGGCTGATGCTGAGGCAAAGACTGCAGCTGATGTCCTGTACCTGTGATACCTGGACCTGGGGTAAGTCTGGGGTAGACCTGAGGCTGGATTATGGCGTTAATAATCTGGTTTATCGACGCCTCTTTATGCTGCCTTTACCTTTTTACTCTAACGACTTCTCTGCACCTGGAGCCAAAGAGATTCCTAGTTTGTGACCTCCTGTGACCTCCTGTGACTCCGCCCCGACTTAGCCCCGACTTAGCCCCGACTTAGCCCCGACTTAGCCCCGACTTAGCCCCGACTTAGCCCCGACTTAGTCCCGACTTAGCCCCGACTTGGCCCCGACTTAGCCCCGCCTTAGCCCCGCCTTAGCCCCAACTTAGTCCCGACTTAGTCCCGACTTAGTCCGCCTTGGCCCCGACTTGGCCCCGACTTAGCCCCGACTTAGCCCCGACTTAGTCCCGACTTAGTCCGCCTTGGCCCCGACTCAGTCCCGACTCAGTCCTGACTCAGTCCCGACTCAGCCCCGACTTAGTCCCGACTTAGTCCCGACTTAGTCCCGACTTAGTCCCGACTTAGTCCGCCTTGGCCCCGACTCAGTCCCGACTCAGTCCCGACTCAGCCCCGACTCAGCCCCGACTCAGCCCCGACTCAGCCCCGACTTAGTCCCGACTTAGTCCCGACTTAGTCCAGCCCCGACTCAGTCCCGACTCAGTCCCGACTCAGCCCCGACTCAGCCCCGACTCAGCCCCGACTTAGTCCCGACTTAGTCCCGACTCAGTCCCGACTCAGTCCCGACTCAGTCCCGGCGTAGTCCCGACTTAGTCCCGGCGTAGTCCCGGCGTAGTCCCGACGTAGTCCCGACTTAGTCCCGACTTAGTCCCGACTTAGTCCCGACTTAGTCCCGACTTAGTCCGCCTTAGTCCCGACTTGGCCCCGACTTGGCCCCGACTCAGTCCCGACTCAGTCCCGACTCAGCCCCGACTCAGCCCCGACTCAGCCCCGACTCAGCCCCGACTCAGCCCCGACTTAGTCCCGACTTAGTCCCGACTCAGTCCCGACTCAGTCCCGACTCAGTCCCGGCGTAGTCCCGACTTAGTCCCGGCGTAGTCCCGGCGTAGTCCCGACTTAGTCCCGACTTAGTCCCGACTTAGTCCCGACTTAGTCCCGACTTAGTCCCGACTTAGTCCCGACTTAGCCCCGACTTAGCCCCGACTTAGCCCCGACTTAGCCCCGACTTAGCCCCGCCTTAGCCCCGCCTTAGCCCCGCCTTAGCCCCGCCTTAGCCCCGCCTTAGCCCCGACTTAGTCCCGACTTAGTCCGCCTTGGCCCCGACTTAGCCCCGACTTAGTCCGCCTCGGCCCCGACTTGGCCCCGACTCAGTCCCGACTCAGTCCCGACTCAGTCCCGACTCAGCCCCGACTCAGCCCCGACTCAGCCCCGACTCAGCCCCGACTCAGCCCCGGCTCAGCCCCGACTCAGCCCCGACTCAGTCCCGACTCAGTCCCGACTCAGTCCCGACTCAGTCCCGACTCAGTCCCGACTCAGTCCCGACTCAGTCCCGACTCAGTCCCGACTCAGCCCCGACTCAGTCCAGACTCAGTCCCGACTCAGTCCCGACTCAGTCCCGACTCAGTCCCGACTTAGTCCCGACTTAGTCCCGACTTAGCCCCGCCTTAGTCCCGCCTTAGCCCCGACTTAGCCCCGACTTAGTCCCGACTTAGTCCCGACTTAGTCCCGACTTAGTCCCGACTTAGTCCCGACTTAGCCCCGACTTAGCCCCGACTTAGCCCCGACTTAGCCCCGCCTTAGCCCCGACTTAGCCCCGCCTTAGCCCCGACTTAGCCCCGACTTAGCCCCGACTTAGTCCCGACTTAGCCCCGACTTAGCCCCGACTTAGCCCCGACTTAGCCCCGACTTAGTCCCGACTAAGCCCCGACTTAGCCCCGACTTAGCCCCGACTTAGCCCCGACTTAGCCCCGACTTAGCCCCGACTTAGCCCCGACTTAGCCCCGACTTGGCCCCGCCTTGGCCCCGACTTGGCCCCGACTTGGTCCCGACTTGGTCCCGACTTGGCCCCGACTTGGCCCCGACTTGGCCCCGACTTGGCCCCGACTTGGCCCCGACTTGGCCCCGACTTGGCCCCGACTTGGCCCCGCCTTAGTCCCGCCTTAGTCCCGACTTAGTCCCGACTTAGTCCGCCTTGGCCCCGACTTGGCCCCGACTTAGCCCCGACTTAGCCCCGCCTTAGCCCCGACTTAGTCCCGACTTAGTCCCGACTTAGTCCGCCTTGGCCCCGACTTGGCCCCGACTTGGCCCCGACTTGGCCCCGACTTGGCCCCGACTTGGCCCCGACTTGGCCCCGACTTGGCCCCGACTTGGCCCCGACTTAGCCCCGACTTAGCCCCGCCTTAGTCCCGACTTAGTCCGCCTTGGCCCCGACTCAGTCCCGACTCAGTCCTGACTCAGTCCCGACTCAGCCCCGACTCAGTCCCGACTTAGTCCCGACTTAGTCCGCCTTGGCCCCGACTCAGTCCCGACTCAGTCCCGACTCAGCCCCGACTTAGTCCCGACTTAGTCCCGACTCAGTCCCGACTCAGTCCCGACTTAGTCCCGGCGTAGTCCCGACTTAGTCCCGGCGTAGTCCCGGCGTAGTCCCGACTTAGTCCCGACTTAGTCCCGACTTAGTCCCGACTTAGCCCCGACTTAGCCCCGACTTAGTCCCGCCTTAGCCCCGCCTTAGCCCCGCCTTAGCCCCGCCTTAGCCCCGACTTAGTCCCGACTTAGTCCGCCTTGGCCCCAACTTAGCCCCGACTTAGCCCCGACTTAGCCCCGACTTAGTCCGCCTTGGCCCCGACTCAGTCCCGACTCAGTCCTGACTCAGTCCCGACTCAGCCCCGACTTAGTCCCGACTTAGTCCCGACTTAGTCCCGACTTAGTCCCGACTTAGTCCCGACTTAGCCCCGACTTGGCCCCGACTCAGTCCCGACTCAGTCCCGACTCAGCCCCGACTCAGCCCCGACTCAGCCCCGACTCAGCCCCGACTTAGTCCCGACTTAGTCCCGACTTAGTCCGCCTTGGCCCCGACTCAGTCCCGACTCAGTCCCGACTCAGCCCCGACTCAGCCCCGACTCAGCCCCGACTTAGTCCCGACTTAGTCCCGACTCAGTCCCGACTCAGTCCCGACTCAGTCCCGGCGTAGTCCCGACTTAGTCCCGGCGTAGTCCCGGCGTAGTCCCGACGTAGTCCCGACTTAGTCCCGACTTAGTCCCGACTTAGTCCCGACTTAGTCCCGACTTAGTCCGCCTTGGCCCCGACTCAGTCCCGACTCAGCCCCGACTCAGCCCCGACTCAGCCCCGACTCAGCCCCGACTCAGCCCCGACTCAGCCCCGACTTAGTCCCGACTTAGTCCCGACTTAGCCCCGACTTGGCCCCGACTTAGCCCCGACTTAGCCCCGACTTAGCCCCGACTTAGCCCCGACTTAGTCCCGACTTAGTCCCGACTTAGTCCCGACTTAGTCCCGACTTAGTCCCGACTTAGTCCCGACTTAGCCCCGACTTAGCCCCGACTTAGCCCCGACTTAGCCCCGACTTAGCCCCGACTTAGCCCCGCCTTAGCCCCGCCTTAGCCCCGCCTTAGCCCCGCCTTAGCCCCGCCTTAGCCCCGACTTAGTCCCGACTTAGTCCCGACTTAGTCCCGACTTAGTCCGCCTTGGTCCCGACTTGGCCCCGACTCAGTCCCGACTCAGTCCCGACTCAGTCCCGACTCAGCCCCGACTCAGCCCCGACTCAGCCCCGACTCAGCCCCGACTCAGCCCCGGCTCAGCCCCGACTCAGCCCCGACTCAGTCCCGACTCAGTCCCGACTCAGTCCCGACTCAGTCCCGACTCAGTCCCGACTCAGTCCCGACTCAGTCCCGACTCAGTCCCGACTCAGCCCCGACTCAGTCCAGACTCAGTCCCGACTCAGTCCCGACTCAGTCCCGACTTAGTCCCGACTTAGTCCCGACTTAGTCCCGACTTAGCCCCGCCTTAGCCCTGACTTAGTCCCGCCTTAGCCCCGACTTAGTCCCGACTTAGTCCCGACTTAGTCCCGACTTAGTCCCGACTTAGTCCCGACTTAGCCCCGACTTAGCCCCGACTTAGCCCCGACTTAGCCCCGCCTTAGCCCCGACTTAGCCCCGCCTTAGCCCCGACTTAGCCCCGACTTAGCCCCGACTTAGTCCCGACTTAGCCCCGACTTAGCCCCGACTTAGCCCCGACTTAGCCCCGACTTAGTCCCGACTTAGCCCCGACTTAGCCCCGACTTAGCCCCGACTTAGCCCCGACTTAGCCCCGACTTAGCCCCGACTTAGCCCCGACTTAGCCCCGACTTAGCCCCGACTTGGCCCCGACTTGGCCCCGACTTGGTCCCGACTTGGTCCCGACTTGGCCCCGACTTGGCCCCGACTTGGCCCCGACTTGGCCCCGACTTGGCCCCGACTTGGCCCCGACTTGGCCCCGACTTAGTCCCGACTTAGTCCCGACTTAGTCCCGACTTGGCCCCGACTTGGCCCCGACTTAGCCCCGACTTAGTCCCGACTTAGCCCCGACTTAGTCCCGACTTAGTCCCGACTTAGTCCGCCTTGGCCCCGACTTGGCCCCGACTTGGCCCCGACTTGGCCCCGACTTGGCCCCGACTTGGCCCCGACTTGGCCCCGACTTGGCCCCGACTTGGCCCCGACTTAGCCCCGACTTAGCCCCGCCTTAGTCCCGACTTAGTCCGCCTTGGCCCCGACTCAGTCCCGACTCAGTCCTGACTCAGTCCCGACTCAGCCCCGACTCAGTCCCGACTTAGTCCCGACTTAGTCCGCCTTGGCCCCGACTCAGTCCCGACTCAGTCCCGACTCAGCCCCGACTTAGTCCCGACTTAGTCCCGACTCAGTCCCGACTCAGTCCCGACTTAGTCCCGGCGTAGTCCCGACTTAGTCCCGGCGCCCGGCGTAGTCCCGACTTAGTCCCGACTTAGTCCCGACTTAGTCCCGACTTAGCCCCGACTTAGCCCCGACTTAGTCCCGCCTTAGCCCCGACTTAGCCCCGACTTAGCCCCGCCTTAGCCCCGACTTAGTCCCGACTTAGTCCGCCTTGGCCCCAACTTAGCCCCGACTTAGCCCCGACTTAGCCCCGACTTAGCCCCGACTCAGCCCCGACTCAGTCCCGACTCAGACTCCCGACTCAGCCCCGACTCAGCCCCGACTCAGTCCCGACTCAGCCCCGACTCAGTCCCGACTCAGTCCCGACTTAGCCCCGACTTAGCCCCGACTTAGCCCCGACTTAGTCCCGACTTAGTCCCGACTTAGTCCCGACTTAGTCCCGACTTAGTCCCGACTTAGTCCCGACTTAGCCCCGACTTAGCCCCGACTTAGTCCCGACTTAGCCCCGACTTAGTCCCGACTTAGTCCCGACTTAGTCCCGACTTAGTCCCGACTTAGCCCCGACTTAGTCCCGACTTAGTCCCGACTTAGCCCCGACTTAGCCCCGACTTAGCCCCGACTTAGCCCCGACTTAGCCCCGACTTAGCCCCGACTTAGCCCCGACTTAGTCCCGACTTAGCCCCGACTTAGCCCCGACTTAGCCCCGACTTAGCCCCGACTTAGCCCCGACTTAGCCCCGACTTAGCCCCGACTTAGCCCCGACTTAGCCCCGACTTAGCCCCGACTTAGTCCCGACTTAGTCCCGACTTAGCCCCGACTTAGCCCCGACTTAGCCCCGACTTAGTCCCGACTTAGCCCCGACTTAGCCCCGACTTAGCCCCGACTTAGCCCTGACTTAGTCCCGACTTATGTGTTTTATAACCTCATTCTAGCTCATACATTTAGCTCGTTTGCTAGCACTGCCCTTGTCACCCTAGAAATAAAACGCTTCCCATTGAAAGTCCACGTCTTTGCAGCAGGAACAGCCCCTTACTGTATGAATGAAATGAGAATGGGTCAAAGAAACTGAAGCCAAAAGAAAAAAGCAGCCGGAAAAACATCCAGAAAAGCATTCCAAATAAACGAAACAAAAAAGCAACAAAATCATTCCAGGTGTTTTTGAAAAGTTATTGATTAAAAGACAAACATGCGCCGACAGAAGCGACAGAAGCAGACGGAAAAGAGGAGAAACAGAGAGACAGAGTTAACGGCGGCGTCCGGACGGTTCCTGTGAGCGTGAGGTCAGAGGAGCACGTCGATGTTCAGGAAGACGTGTCCGAGACTCACACTGTCCACGTCCTCCAACATCCGGCTGGTCTCCGGGACGTCCGGGGCGTTGGGCACCGTCACGATCATCGGGGTCCGCGTCCGGCCCAGGGTCCCGATGGAGGCCGTCTTCACCACGTGGGGGTGGCTGGGAGCGCCTGGGGGGGCAGGGGGAGGCCGTCAGGAGAAGTGTAAACGAAAAGGTGCACTTTCATTAAAGTCATTTTAAGTCAAGTTTTTAAGTGTGTGTCCTGGGTCTACAGCCTCAGTCCTGGGTCTACGGCCCCAGTCCTGGGTCTACAGTCTCAGGCCTGGGTCTACAGCCCCAGTCCTGGGTCTACAGCCTCAGTCCTGGGTCTACAGCCTCAGTCCTGGGTCTACAGCCTCAGTCCTGGGTCTACAGCCTCAGCCCTGGGTCTACAGCCTCAGTCCTGGGTCTACAGCCTCAGTCCTGGGTCTACAGCCTCAGTCCTGGGTCTACAGCCTCAGTCCTGGGTCTATACAGCCTCAGTCCTGGGTCTATACAGCCTCAGTCCTGGGTCTATACAGCCTCAGTCCTGGGTCTACAGCCTCAGTCCTGGGTCTATACAGCCTCAGTCCTGGGTCTAAAGCCTCAGTCCTGGGTCTACAGCCTCAGTCCTGGGTCTACAGCCTCAGTCCTGGGTCTACAGCCTCAGTCCTGGGTCTACAGCCTCAGTCCTGGGTCTATACAGTCTCAGTCCTGGGTCTACAGTCTCAGTCCTGGGTCTATACAGTCTCAGTCCTGGGTCTATACAGTCTCAGTCCTGGGTCTATACAGTCTCAGTCCTGGGTCTACAGTCTCAGTCCTGGGTCTACAGCCTCAGTCCTGGGTCTACAGCCTCAGTCCTGGGTCTATACAGTCTCAGTCCTGGGTCTACAGTCTCAGTCCTGGGTCTACAGCCTCAGTCCTGGGTCTATACAGTCTCAGTCCTGGGTCTACAGTCTCAGTCCTGGGTCTACAGCCTCAGTCCTGGGTCTACAGTCTCAGTCCTGGGTCTACAGCCTCAGTCCTGGGTCTACAGCCTCAGTCCTGGGTCTACAGCCTCAGTCCTGGATCTATTGTGGGCTAACTCAGGACCATAACTTTACATGTGTCTATCTTCCCCTAGTCTCCTTCTTCATGAGACCCCAGTGAGTCTAAGTCTCGGTCTCTGTCTCGGTCTCGTACCGCTCTGTGTGAGCAGGGGCGTGCAGGGCAGGGCGGGGTTCTCGTAGGAGGGGTGGGCTCCCGGGGGGATGGCGGGGACTGCGAAGCTCTTCAGCGGGTGTGCGTGTGCGTGCACCGGGCGCAGAGGGGCCAGGCTGCCGCTATAGCTGCCCTCCTCCTCCGTGGTGCTGCCGTGGTAGCTCCCCTCCGGGTCCACCGTGATCTCCGAGGGACAGGAGAGCTGCGAGGAGAGCTGCGAGGAGAGCTGCGAGGAGAGCTGCGAGGAGAGCTGCGAGGAGAGCTGCGAGGAGAGCTGCGAGGAGGCCGGGGGAGGGGCGTCCGAGCACGGCGTGTTCCTCACCGACTCTGAGGGAGACAAGAGGGTCACGTTATAGATGCCACAACACTACTATGGAACCAGGTGTGCAAGAAGGAGGGGGGAAGGGAGACGAGAACCATGTGGCACTATAGATGCCACCACACTAAGGAAGGAAGGGAGACGAGAACCATGTGGCACTATAGATGCCACCACACTAAGGAAGGAAGAGAGACGAGAACCATGTGGCACTATAGATGCCACCACACTAAGGAAGGAAGGGAGACGAGAACCATGTGGCACTATAGATGCCACCACACTAAGGAAGGAAGGGAGACGAGAACCATGTGGCACTATAGATGCCACGACACTAAGGAAGGGAGACGAGAACCATGTGGCACTATAGATGCCACCACACTAAGGAAGGAAGAGAGACCAGAACCATGTGGCACTATAGATGCTACGACACTAAGGAAGAGAGACGAGAACCATGTGGCACTATAGATGCCACCACAATAAGGAAGGAAGAGAGACGAGAACCATGTGGCACTATAGATGCCACCACACTAAGGAAGGAAGAGAGACCAGAACCATGTGGCACTATAGATGCTACGACACTAAGGAAGGGAGACGAGAACCATGTGGTACTATAGATGCCACCACAATAAGGAAGGAAGGGAGACGAGAACCATGTGGCACTATACAGTGCCTTGCGAAAGTATTCGGCCCCCTTGAACCTTTCAACATTTCACCACATTTCAGGCTTCAAACATAAAGATATAACATTTTATTTTTTTGTCATGAATCAACAACAAGTGGGACACAATCATGAAGTGGAACGAAAGTTATTGGATAATTTAAACTTTTTTAACAAATAAAAAACTGAAAAGTGGGGCGTGCAATATTATTCGGCCCCTTTACTTTCAGTGCAGCAAACTCAGTCCAGAAGTTCAGTGAGGATCTTTGAATGATCCAATGTTGTCCTAAATGACTGATGATGATAAATAGAATGCACCTGTGTGTAATCAAGTCTCCGTATAAATGCACCTGCTCTTTGATAGTCTCAGGGTTCTGTTTAAAGCGCAGAGAGAACCATGAAGACAAAGGAACACACCAGGCAGGTCCGAGATACTGTTGTGGAGAAGTTTAAAGCCGGATTTGGATACAAAAAGATTTCCCAAGCTTTAAACATCTCAAGGAGCACTGTGCAAGCAATTATATTGAAATGGAAGGAGTATCAGACCACTGCAAATCTACCAAGACCCGGCCGTCCCTCCAAACTTTCATCTCAAACAAGGAGAAGACTGATCAGAGATGCAGCCAAGAGGCCCATGATCACTCTGGATGAACTGCAGATAACTACAGCTGAGGTGGGGATGGTGTGTTCAGGGTGATGAGCTGTGTTGCTTTTACGCCAAACATATCGTTTTGAATTGTGGCCAAAAAGTTTGATTTTGGTTTCATCTGACCAGAGCACCTTCTTCCACATGTTTGGTGTGTCTCCCAGGTGGCTTGTGGCAAACTTTAAGAGACTTTTTATGGATATCTTTGAGAAATGGCCACTCTTCCATAAAGGCCAGATTTGTGCAGTGCACGACTGATTGTTGTCCTATGGACAGACTCTCCCCACCTCAGCTGTAGTTATCTGCAGTTCATCCAGAGTGATCATGGGCCTCTTGTCTGCATCTCTGATCAGTCTTCTCCTTGTTTGAGATGAAAGTTTGGAGGGACGGCCGGGTCTTGGTAGATTTGCAGTGGTCTGATACTCCTTCCATTTCAATATAATTGCTTGCACAGTGCTCCTTGAGATGTTTAAAGCTTGGGAAATTTTTTGTATCCAAATCCGGCTTTAAACAGTGAGTGAGATGGAAGGCCTCACCTATAGACTCGCCCCGGGACAGGTGAGCGATGGGGGAGGCACAGGGGTGGTAGCGCCCTCCACTGGCCTGGGGGTGGTACAGGTAGGTGCGCGTGGGCGAGGCCAGGCTGTGGTAGTGCTGAGGCTGGAGCGAGTCCAGGGAGTGGATGGGGTGAGCTGAGATGACCGCTGCGTACGACACATGAAGCAATGACACACAATGACACACAATGACACACAATGACACACAATGACACACAATGACACACAATGACACACAATGACACACAATGACACACAATGAGACACAATGACACACAATGACACACAATGACACAAATGACAGAAGAAGAGATGAGAAAAGAGAGAGAAGAGGGAGAGAGAGAGAGAGAGAGAGAGAGAGAGAGAGAGAGAGAGAGAGGAGAGAGAGAGAGGAAGAGAGAGAGAGAGAGAGAGGAGAGAGAGAGAGAGAGAGAGAGAGAGAGAGAGGGAGAGAGAGAGAGAGAGAGAGAGAGAGAGAGGAGAGAGAGAGAGAGAGAGAGAGAGAGAGAGAGAGAGAGGGAGGGAGGGGAGACAGACGAGAGGGAGGAGAGAGAGAGAGAGAAGAGGGAGGCGAGAGAGAGAGAGGAGAGAGAGGGGAGAGAGAGGAGAGGGAGAGAGAGAGAGAGGAGAGAGGGGAGAGAGGGAGAGAGAGGAGAGAGAGAGAAGGAGAGAGAGGGAGAGAGAGGAGAGAGAGGAGAGAGAGGGGAGAGAGAGGAGAGAGGGGAGAGAGAGGAGAGAGAGGGGGAGAGAGAGAGAGAGGAGAGAGAGGAGAGGGAGGGGGAGACAGAGGAGAGGGAGGAGAGAGAGAGAGAGAAGAGGGAGGCGAGAGAGAGGGAGAGAGAGGAGAGGGAGGGGGAGACAGAGGAGAGGGAGGAGAGAGAGAGAGGAGAGAGGGGAAAGAGAGGAGAGAGGAGAGAGAGAGGGAGGAGGGGAGAGAGAGGAGAGAGAGAAGAGAGAGGAGAGAGAGGAGAGAGAGAGAGAGAGAGGAGAGAGAGAGGAGAGAGAGAGGAGAGAGAGGGGAGAGAGAGGAGAGGGAGGGGAGAGAGAGAGGAGAGGGAGGAGAGAGAGAGGAAGAGAGGAGATGCACAAGCATGGGATGTCCACAGATGACACTTTCCTCTCGTATAAGACCCTCGTCCCACTCCTCACCCTCTGCACAGGAGCTGCCCTGGTCTCCCCCTCCCTCCCCCCTCCCTCCCCCTCCCTCCCCCTCCCTCCCACACACACTTACGCTGAGGCGGCTGGGCATCAAACGGCATCATCATTTTAGGCCTCATCCCGCGGCGGCCTCCCAGAGTCGACATGCCGTCCTCAGACTCGAGCCCTAAAACGCAGGCTCAGCTTTAATTCAAATTCAGCCGATTTTAAATGTTTTGGAAAAGGACTTTTTATTCAATAGTTTAAGGAGAGTGAGTGAAGCAGACGATGAGAGGCATGAAGAAGCAACACTCAAACAAACGACGTTTGGACGTTCATTTAAGACACACATTAGCCTCCTGCAGCTCGGGAGACACCAGTAGCATTAGCTCTCCCTGTAGCTCCCAAAGGATTTAGAATTGACATTACACAGCTATAGCAATGCCCTGTTTTGTGTGTGTGTGTGTGTGTGCGTGCATGTGTGTGTGTGCGTATGTGTGTGTGTGTGTGTGTGTGTGTGTGGAGAGACTGCAGAAAAAACCCGCACATTGAAATCAGACATGGCTCAAATCTGAATTAAGACACATGTGGAAGAAGGAGCAGGGCCCTTACCCCACCGCTGTCAGACTGTACAATGAGTCACTAATGCACTAGGACTGAAAGAAAATAAAACCTGCACTGCTATTGCCACTCTACTTTTATTGCCACATTTTTATCGTACATATTTATATCCTGCACAGACTATATTTCTAACCTTAAACACGTTTCACACTTCTGCCTGATTCTGTCTGTGCCAAATGTGACCTGTACATTTCTCAATCAGAGATCAATAATCTCGATCTTATCTTATGGAAGTAATGGAATACAGACTAAAACTGTTTGTCCAATATCAAACATTTAGTTTTAAGGCCTGTGTGTGGATTTCTCTCTCATTCATCATTTTGTTCTGATACAGCAGTTCTCTGGAGGAGGAGGTTGGAGACCCCTGATGCAGACTGTAAACAGCAGACACACGGACACAGTGTTATGCCGCCCTCTCCTGGCTGCAGAGGGAATTACCACCACAATAACAAACTAAAGCAGCTTGTGCAAAGACTGAGATTAGATTTAATTCATTCCCAGTGTTTTGTAACTGATGATGCAACACTGACATTTCCTCACAGTGGGACGCACAAAGGATCTCTTCATCTTCATGTAAATTTGACTCCAAAAACATGAAAGTGTATTTTCTCAGCAACATTTTGGACATTTCCCGAGTCTCTGGAGCTGCAATGGTTTCTGTCCTCTCTACTCTCGCATCGGGGGCAGTCTGAGTCTGAGTCTGAGTCTGAGCCTGAGCCTGAGTCTGAGCCTGAGCCTGAGCCTGAGTCTGAGTCTGAGTCTGAGTCTGAGTCTGAGTCTGAGTCTGAGCCTGAGCCTGAGCCTGAGCCTGAGCCTGAGTCTGAGTCTGAGTCTGAGTCTAAATCTGAGCCTGAGTCTGAGTCTCTGAGCCTGAGCCTGAGCCTGGGAGAGAGAGTGAGAAAGGGAGAGAGAGAGAGAGAGAGGGGGGGAGAGAGGAGAGAGAGACAGAGGGAGAGAGAGAGAGAGAGGGAGGGCGAGAGGGGGAGAGAGAGAGAGAGAGAGATAGAGAGAGAGTGTAAGTGGTTGGAAATAATAAATTATTTGTCTAGCACAGCTCATACAAAAGGTAAAGCATTAACATCATATGATGTTACATACATCTCTCTCTGGTCTCTCTCTGGTCTCTCTCTGGTCTCTCTCTGGTCTCTCTCTCTGGTCTCTCTCTCTGGTCTCTCTCTCTGGTCTCTCTCTCTGGTCTCTCTCTCTCTGGTCTCTGGTCTCTCTCTCTGGTGTGTGTGTGTGTGTGTGTGTGTGTGTGTGCACTTGTTTTCAACTCCTGGTGGGGTCCATAACCTGAGATTCGACTCACGTCATGAACTACAATATTAGCAGGTGCATCATGGGAAATGTAGTGACAGACTTTTAACAGTGATATTTGTCACAATTCAATATTATTGAGATTCTTACAATATTTGACAGTTTTGTGATTTGATTCTGTGATTGATTGAGATTCATGTCCTTCATATTATTCAAAGACTTTACAAACATGGAGGAAAATAAGACTCAACTGTAATGTTATTATGATCTGTTCTTGAACTGAAGCAAACACTGAGGGAAGAGCAAAAGCGTGATCCTTGAACAATCAGGACACAGGAACTTAGTTTTTCTCTATTGCTTAAACACATTTCACGATACTGCCCTCCCTTTTTTCAAAACTCTAAACACAAACCTCTTTTCTAAAGCTACGTACACAAACACAACCCATCTCACCAAAACAGTGACTCATATTCTCTAAACCAACCCATCTCACCAAAACAGTGACTCATATTCTCTAAACCAACCCATCTGCAAAAATGTGAACACTATGAGCATCATTAACCACATCACCAAAACAATTGAAAACACAATTTTCAGAATGTGACACTGTTCTTTTTACAGTTTCACAACTGCCAGGATGCATTTGAGCAACACTTTTTTAATTCTCAAATGTTTTGGGCATTTACTATAGATTTGTGCGTTTCATGAGAATAGTTACAGTACATAAAGTAGAAAATGCAGTTATATCACAACTCAATGCAAACATGAGTAACTCTATGGAGGATCCATGACACACAATAGATACTACAGTACAGTAACAATTGAAAACACAATGTTTAGGGCAGTGCTTCTCAAATAGTGGGGGGGGGGCCTCCACATGCTCTGGTGCCACGCGGACTCATTCCCATGTGACCGGCGCTGACAGGACAAGTGCGGATCTTTGGATGTGAGAAATGCAGCTGAACTATGTGAGCCTCTGGAAGTGTCCCCGTGTCTCCTGTAGCCCTGAAACTACAACTCACTAAATTAAAGCTGGGGTACCGGGTTGGGCACCGAGAACCGGTTCCTATTTGGAACCGGTTCCTAAAGTGCGGTTACGGAACCGTTAAGAAGACGTTTGTATTTTGATTCTTTTTTCGATTCCTAAATGCCGGATGCGGCCCGCACAGCGGCGTCGGAAGCGTTTGGAAGGTGGGGGGGGACACGTTTCAAAAATGCTTAGCAGCTGTCCACTTAGCAGCAGAGTTTGTGAAAAACTCAGTGAATTAAGCTCTTATGAGACGGCGCGCTCGTGTTTGCATCCACATTTAGCTTCAGCCACACACTCCTGCCATCGCAAAGAAACCTCTCAACGCTTGTATCTTCACATTTTCCACAAACGCAGATAAAACTGAGTCAAGGGGTAAAGGAAGCAAACATTTATCCGTCAAATGACTAATTCAGATATTATTTGGTTAAGTTAGAGTCCAGACAGCGAGGTTTAACGGGCGTATTGACCGGTTGAACACTCGTGCTAGCCCGCTGCAGTTTCCCCAAACTCACGCTACATCAGTTTCATCACTCGCTTTACAAACACATCCAAAACTGATGTTCCTTACCTTAAAGTTACTGGTCAGGCCCTTTGTAATGATGAAGAAGGGAAACACGCTGTCCACCTGCCGAGGACCGCAACAAGTCCTGCTCCTCCTCCATGTAATAATCCGTAAAAACTCCGAAAACACGATGCACGAGACCTTCCTTGTGCTTTGGTCAAATCTGTCAGTCCGTCCAACGATAATCCTCCAGTATTCTCACTTTAGCCGTTTTTCAGCGGTTTACAGAGACGTGTTTATTGTTTACATTTCAGCCGCTCTGAGATGATGGTGGGCGGTGCTCGGGGAGCCTATTGAAAAGGTCCAGTCTAAACTAGTAAATGTAAAGTCAATGAAAATTCACTTTGTGAAAGTGGAGGGGACTTCCGGCGGAAAAAATAAAATAATTACTTCGCCCGCGAAAAAAAAAAAAAATACTCCGCCCCCGCGAAACTTCACTTGCCTGAACCTGATTGAACATGGACCGAAGACGCCGATCAAAAGTCTGGCTTTATTTTAGTTTAAAGAAAGATGGATTAGCACAGTGCAACACCTGTGGAAAATATATTAGTGCTAAAGGAGGATGTACAACTAATATGAAAAAACACCTTCGGCAACTACATGGTATAGAGTGTGGTAACGAGTGTACTGTGTTTGATGTGTCGCGTCGCTCTCCTGCTCCCGTCGCTTCCTCCACTTCGGACAGTGAAGTTCAACAATCAGCCAGCAACTCTGCGTTGGAAACGGAATCAGGTATATGAAAATGATTTTTGTCTTATTCTTCACAGACAAGCTAAAGTTTTAATATACTACCGGTTGCTAAAATTGTGTCAAATCTGTTCATAGCTGATTCAGTTGAACGCTCGCAGAGTGATGCTGCTAGCATCAGCCAGTCTGCTGCGGCTGCTGCGTTAACCGGCCAGAGACCCCGGCCAGTAAATAGAGAAACCCCATTCACCTTGGCAGCAAGGTTAGCATCCGCTTAGCGATGTCGAGTCGCCCACATTTAGGTAACGTTAAGTAAATAAGATTAATATTAAGCTAAATAACTTAGCGGTTAGCTACTTTATCTACCCCTGACTTAAGTTACAGTAACAGTTCAGGTTTAACTTAATTGACAGATTTGTTTTATGCACAGTGCTCGTTTAACAAAATATGTGCAGAAGTGTGTGTTAATTGCACATTGTTTTTATGCTCTGTTTAAAGTTGTTTTTTTACTAAAGATATGTTTGTTTTTGCATTTGCAGGGATATGATCCATTCAATAAACCCAAAGTACACCCCCCCTACAAGGGAGTATTTAACAAATAGATTGATCCCAGCATGGTACCAGGTGGAAAAATCTAATGTGATCTCAGAGCTGAGTGAGGTTAGTCACATAGCTCTCACTTGTGATGGATGGACTAGCCTAACCCAAGACCACTACCTGACTGTCACAGTGCACTATTTAGTGGAAGGCAACATGAGGCAGAAAGTTCTTGCAACAAAAGCAGTGTACACAGCCCAGACAGGAATTGTTGTGGCAGAGGAAATCGGCGACATCCTGAAAGAATTTTGTGTGTTTGATAAAGTAGTAGCAGTTACTGTGGATAATGCGGCCAATATGGACGTAGCCATCAAACGGCTACAATTTGTGAAGCTCGGCTGCTTCGCTCATACACTAAACCTAGCAGCACAAAGTCTGTACTCCAGCAGCTTGGTGGCTCAGTGGACTGCAAAGATTCGTGCCATCATCGTCTGGATGAAGAGGTCGTCAATGGCAAAGGTGGTTCTACGAGAAAAGCAGGATGTCCTAAGTAAGAATCAATGTCTTGAGTTTAATTGGATGCCAGGATCAAATTGAAGCAATTTCTCTCTTTTAGTAGTGCACTGCAGCCAGTGTACATTTGGCTGGTATTAACATTAGTAAAACAATGCAACATTACATATCTGTCTGATTACACAATATAAAAGTTGCATGTCATTGATGTCAATTCTCTATGTATTTGTGATTTTCTTATTTGTGTCAGAACTTCCTCAACATTCAATGATTCTCGATGTGAGAACAAGGTGGAATTCTCTCTATCTAATGATCGAGAGATTCCTTGAACAATACCCTGCAATACAAGCAGCCAGCTTGGATCAACGCCTAAGAAAGAATATGGAGAGGGACAGGTAGAGAGAGAGATGGATACACAGTATATAAGAATAAAAGTATGTGTATGAATGTGCATACGGTTCTAAGAAAGATATTGGCACACTGTTTTGCTGTATTATACAGTGGAATTAATTTAAAGTCACTTGTCAAATAGCACTACTTTTGTTTAAAGAGACAAAAAAAAATCTTTATTTTGAACTGTATTGAAAATGTATTCTTTCGCACACAGGCTTGATCGGCTGACAGAAGGGGATTTCACCAAGGCAGAACACTTCATCAGGCTGATGCGAGTTCTTTACACCTGCACACTCTGTGTTTCCACCGAAAAAAGCCCATCAGCTGGACAGATCCTGCCGATCATCCAAAAGCTTGAGAAACACTTCGCCCCTTTAAATGGAGACACAGCATTTGTAGCGGACTTGAAGAACAGGGTCTGGAGAAACCTGTCTGCCCGGTACAAGGTAATGACTGAGGCTATAAACGAACAAAGACTAAAATTAGATTTGATACTTCTGTTCTTGTGGCTTGATGCAATAGTAGTTCTGTTTTGTTTTTATTTTAAAGAATGAGGACATCAGGTTCTTCTTGGAAGAAGCCACTGCCTTAGATCCCCGCTTCAAGAATAAGATGGTCAACAATGCTGCAGTCTGGGAACGGATTAAGGGGAAGTTGCTGGCAAACTCTGAGGAGGTGAAGTGTCATTCATATACAAATATATACATTTTACATTAATTAGCATTTTACATCATCCATGCAGTAATCATTAACACTGTACTGTTTATACTTTTTTAATCACCTTGCTACAACAACTCTACTGTTAATCAATAAAGTGCCTTTATTAACACATATTCTATTATAGACTGTGACAACTCTTATATTCTATCCATCTTTCTATGTCTACCTGTCCCTCTCCATTATGTTCTCTGTAGTCAGCGCCAGCGGCAGTCCATGACCATGCAGAAGAGGTTAGTGTGACGCAGGGCGAGGGAAACCAGGAAGGTCTGAAGACTGACAGTGAAGAGGAAGAGGAGAATGTAAGTAGATTACTGAAATTATATCTGGTATATTTCTAATGTTTTTTTTTTATTGATAACTATTATGTCCTGTGTTTGTTAAGCAGCCTCCTCCTTCCAAACAATCCAAAAAGTCTCCACTGGAGGAGCTTTTTGCTGAAGAGGATGCCATGAAGAGGACCTCACAGGAGGGGGTGATGTCTATGGAAAGTCGTGCTGAAAGGGAGATCCAGACGTACCTGGAAATCCCATCAATCATCACATCATCTGACCCTGCAGCCTGGTTCTGGAACCAGAAACAAACTTATCCTTTACTGTCATGTCTGGCCTTCTCATATTTATGTGTGCAGGCCTCCTCAACACCTAGTGAACGGGTCTTTTCAACTGCAGGAAGCACAATCTGTGCGGAACGGTCGCGCTTACTGCCCGAGAAGGCAGACATGATAATCTTCCTTAACAAAAACTGTTTCTGATTTGTCAAAACTGCACAAGGGTTTGAGTTTCTTTTCTTTTTTTGTTCCATCTGAGCTGCAGCTATTTGCTTTTAGACTGCTGCCAACTTGTGTTATTTCAGTTTTACAGTTACCGTTAGGGACTCTCCCTACAGTTACAGTGTGTGTGTGTGTGTGTGTGTGTGTGTGTGTGTGTGTGTGTGTGTGTGTGTGTGTGTGTGTGTGTGTGTTCGTGTTCCTTGTTTTTTAATTTAATTTGTTTTTATGTAAAGCACTTTCTGTTGCCTTATGGCAGGAAAAGTACTTATGAAATAAAATTTGATAAAAAATTATCTTTTTTTTTCAATCCTGCACCTCAAAGAATCGGAATCGAGAATCGTTTAGAACAGGAATCGATAGTGAGAATCGGAACCGGAATCGGAATCGGAAAATTGCAAACGATGCCCAACCCTAGTTATCAATCATAATATCACCGAATAATGTCCTTTGAGTGTCCGCCTTGGGTGTGATGGCGTCCAGTACCCACTGGGGGGCGCCAGAGGGCCGCGGGTGGACCCCTTGGTCCGTGGAATGCATTGTGACAATGCTGATTCGTATCAGATTCTCTGTTGACATGAAAAAGGGCCCAGATGGGTATCCCGCTGTTTTATGGGTCCGTCTGGCGTTTGAATCCTCATGATGGATATCTGCTCCTGTGGTTGAACCCCATGGTTCCTTTGAAGTTGTATCTCTCCATTTGGTCAATGGTAAACAGAGCGGACGGCTCGGCCCTGTCCTCAGTTTAACCTTACATACCCCCCCCACGGCAGAGATACACCTTCCGACAAGGTGCATGTCATGTCGGATATGCTGTGGGGTTGTCCTCAGTCGGTCGTCTCGCCTGTTCGGGTGTTAGTGTACAATTTGTGGTGACATGTTACAACATTCCCGTCTCAATGTGACTCAGTAGCTAGCAAGCGCCTAACTGGGGCCAGGCTCGTAGCGGTTGGGTCTCGGGCCTCTGGCTTGGTTTGTCGAGGCCGGGTTTTCTCTAAGGCGAGTCCTGGCCCTGCAGGCTAGTTCTAACCGGGATCAGGGGTTTGGGGAGTGAGCTCCGGTCGTGAACTCTAAGGTTTGGGCCGGTGTGCCTGACTCCTGGGTCTCTTGGTCTGGAAGACTCAAAGTTCCAAACCAAGAGAGTGGCAGGAGTTTCTACTCTAGGGGACTAGGATACAAAAATAGGAAACTTTAAAAATCCAAAAAAAGGGTGGCTGCCTTGGCAGCGGGTAGGAGCGTCGTTAAGGCACTCGATGGTGAGGGGTTCCCACCTTGCTCATTCTAAAAGGGGAGTGTGAGGGTTACACGAATATATGACGTAGCAAGTGGGGCTTTAATTACGAGGGACATTTCCTGTATATAAATGGGGATGACAGGTATGATTGTCTAGGAGACTGATTAGGTATCGAGGTAGGTTGGTTGGGTCTGAGCTGGTGACTCTTAGTGGGGTTTTAGGCCCTTGGTTCATCTTCCGTGATAGAAAGGGTCACCGTCTCGAGTGGGTGACTTTGGAGGTCCTCGTACTCTGATTTGTTGACCCGGGGGCGCCGACTTAAATTGCCACGCTCGACGGCGCTGTCGCCCCGGTTTGGTCGTATACGGATCTGTCTCGTCATTGCCTCCGCGCACCTGTTAAAGCTACCGCGGAGTCGTCTAACCCGTCTATTTAGGACGAAGGCCATGGCTACGGCCAGAATGTCCTCAACTAACGATAGCGGCACGAGGTATGGCGGGATACGGCCCATGGCTGGGTCTTCGATCGAGGAACTGAGGTGACATAGCATGTCCTCCATCAGTTGGGTGGTCAGCTGAGTATGGGCGTAGTCTAGTTGGAGAACGTCTAAGAGTTGATTGACCGCAGCGGAGGTGCGTTTAATCGCAACCTCGTGCGTGTTAAGTACTAGCGTGGTTCCTTTCAGGGACTTTCCCAAGGTCACCGCGTCGTTCTGTTGTTGATAGAGTCTGGTTTTGACATCCTCGAGTTCAGAGGCCATTTCTTGTTGGTGGCGTCTGAGGGAGGATAGGCTAATGGCGTTTACCGTGGACATCCCTAGGCTAAAGAGGGTGCCCAGGGCTGACGCCGCGGGTGAGTGGAGCCCCAATAAATCGTTTGGGTCTGGGGCGAGGGTCACTGAGCTCTGTCCTAGTGATCGTGAACTTCTCTAGTTGCGTCAGCATGTGTTGTATGTCTGCCTCAGCGTGCTCCACGACCGTCTGGGTCCAGCGCGCACCTGCCCAATCTTTGAGTGTGACCTTCGAGGGCAGGTTCTTGCGGCAGACTTCACTAGGGCTGAGTCTGACAAAGATTCGCTGTGCGTGGAGTCGGACGTCCGTGATGAGGAGTCCGGGTTGTTCCTTTAAAACGATCCCGGAGGCTGGTCCGGTCTCAATAATTTCTGGGGTGCCGAGGCCCAGTATGCAGGTCAGCACGAGAAGGAAAGTGGGCCACATGTTCTGCAAGGCGTGAAACAACTGTTAGGGGTTAGACAGAGACAGAGAAAGAGAGAGTCGATTAGTGCAGCTGAGAAGAGTGTTAGTGAGTGCTGGGCTAATCGTGTTTGAGGTCACGTGGTGTGTTCCTAACTGGGGTTTGAAGTGTGCCCTGCTTGTCCCATGGGGCTTTGTTTGTGTGGTTTGGTTTGGCTGTAACGGGCCCATCTGAGGGTGGGCTCTCTACCTTTTGTGACCTCGATTTGGTGCACTGCGGTTGAGAGTTTGTTTCCCACCCTGTATGGTCTTGACCAGCGGGGTCGCGGTTTCCGGCGTAGTCTGGTGGGGCCGGTTCCCACGTGTCCTGGGGAATGTGCCAAGGTGTAATACCATACCTGGTTTTTGACCTGGAGGTGGTCCTGCGGGTCGGTCCTGTATTGGTTTGTCCTCAGGAGCCGGGGGAGTTTCACGTTCTCGTCACTCCGGTTTGGGGATACGTACCTTAGTATTTCGGTCGCCGTTCGGTCCGTTGTTTCTACCTGTTGTAGTGCCTGACGTGTGTTGTTTATACCTGTTTGTTTCGCGGTAGGTGCGTCATGGGCGTGTGCCAACATTACCCCCCTCATGCTTCGAGGCACCACGAGTACCGACGAAGTGAGTGCATCGGAAGCAGAATCTAACAGCCCATGGCGTATCGGCAGTATTCCTTCATCACGGCCGGAGGTTCCGAGCGTCGTGTCGATCATGACGTCGAAGGGGCGTTCTAGTGTGGGGTTGTCGTGTCGGAGGGGGGCTAAGTCCGACCTGTCGAGGTCGGGGGCCGTCCCCCCCCAGTCCGGGTAGTCCCGTTGGCTCAGGGTTAAGTCCTGGCGTGCGTCAGGGGGGTTGCCGTGGGGTTGTCCTCCATGTTTGGGGAGGTCCCCGGCGTTCCCGTCGCGGGTCACTGGCCATTGCGTCGCAGCATGTGCGGACGGCCCAGACTTGGGGCACCGTAAGTCGTGTGGTCCATGTAGCATGTTCAGATGTGGGCCAGGGGGGTCGTTGTAGGTTTGTCCGCTATGTTGAGGGCGGGCCCTTTCGTCCCAATGGCTGCAGTCTGAAACATGTCTCGTATGGACGTCAGGTGGGCCAGGGTCATGGGTCGGATAGTCATGTTGTCTGTGTCGCATGGCCATGTGTGTTCCCGGAGGGGCGTCGTGGGGGTCGTAGTGGTCGACGTGTCCAATGTTGGGTTGTGTATTGTTCCTATGACCTTGATTTTGGTCCTTTCCCGTCATGATACTTACCAGTTCGGCCACGCTCCTGCGTTCACAGTTGGACGATGGTTCGCCGCGGTCGGAGCGAGGGGAGTGTGGGCCGGAGGTAATGTCACGGCTGGTTCCGTTCGAAATAGCGGTCCTGGTTTCCGCTGCGCGATCAAGATCCATGGTCGCGCTTGGAGTCATGCTCAGTCCCTGTTGGTGGTCTCTACTTACCTGTTGGATTTGTTGTAAGCGGGTCGCGGCGGATTTCCTAGTTTCCGCCAGTTGTCGTTCCAGGTCACACACTGTGTTTTGGAGCCTTGCTTTCTGGGCTTCGGAGTCGCGCAAGGTTATCCTGGAGATTATGGCCAGTCGTCCTAGCCACTGGGTTAGGGTCTTACCTTGGAGTTTCGTCGTAGTAGCTTCGGATGCTAATATGGAGGTAGCATCTTGTAAGTCAGAGAGTGAGCTGTGCTCAAGCGTGTCGTAGCCCCCTGGGAATAACTTCTCTGTGAGGTCTCGCAGAAAGTTATCCACTATGCCGTGTCCTTCTGAGACACCGTCGTGCCTGCTCGGTCGTGGCGAGTTTCCGCCATCGATTTCCATATTTGTGTGGGTGAGTGTATGCGAGTATGACTTGGAACGTGTGTGTACGACACGGTGGGAGGAGGGAAAGGAGGAAAGCAGTGCTATAGAGAGGGTAGTTTAGCTGTTGGTCGTGTGGTGGTGTAGACCTTGGTGTGTGTCAAAGCCGTGACTACAGCGTCCTCTCCGTGTGGCGGTGTATGCGAGTGGGCGGCCTAGGTGAGGGGCCGGGCGTTAGTGCGTCTTCACCTGTGTGTCAGCGGAGAGCGTTGGGGTTAGTGGCGTTGGCGCACGTAGGGTTAGCAGTGGCGCCGGCGGCAGCAGCAGTATTAGGGCGCGGCGTTAATCGCAGCGGTAGACGCGGCGTGAGAGACGCACCTGCGTGAGGGTCGCACTTGCGTTTGTGGTCGCACTTGCGTTTGTCTCGCACTTGCGTTTGTCTCGCACTTGCGGTTGTTCCGCACTTGCGTTTGTCTCGCACTTGCGTTTGTCTCGCACTTGCGTTTGTCTCGCACTTGCGTTTGTCTCGCACTTGCGTTTGTCTCGCACTTGCGTTTGTCTCGCACTTGCGTTTGTCTCGCACTTGCGTTTGTCTCGCACTTGCGCGTTTCGGACGCACTTGCGTTTTGGACGCACTTGCGTTTGGTACGCACTTGCGTTTGGTACGCACTTGCGTTTGGTACGCACTTGCGTTTTGGGCCGCGGCGTAGCTTTAGACGCAGCTCAAGTAAGCAGTAGCAAAAAGGCAGCAGGCTGAGGCAAGGTAATGCAGTTTTAGTGACAGTGAGGGTTAGAAATAGAGTATTAGTTTTGATGTAGTACAAGGGGGTGGGAGTGCAGTATCTGTCAGATCACACACCGGTGTGGTTCAAGAATAACGCGCATCATGCAGGAGCAGAAGTACAGAATAGGATTAGTTACCATAGTTATTCATAACGTGCAGTAACAGAGGCAGAATCAAATTATTAGTTTTAGTGTGTATAGCAGTAATGTGTTCTAATAGCAACATGCGCTAGAAGGAGCAGAGTTACAGCATGAAACTTGGCCAACGCAGTAATGTAGCCTAACAATTATGTTTAAGAGGAGAAGCAGAAACAGAGTGTTAGCTTTTGTCATGTATAGCAGTAACGTGTTCTAATAGCAACATGCGCTAGAAGTAGCAGAGTTACAGTATGGAACTTTGGCTAACGCAGTAATGTAGCCTAACAATTATGTTTAAGAGGAGAAGCAGAAACAGAGTGTTAGCCTCTGTTCATGTATAGCAGTAATGTGGTCTAACTTAAAACAAAGGTGATATGCAGCAGAAACCCGTGAAGCAGAAACACGGCCTAGGATTGGTCACTACAATAATGCGTATTATCAGTGGTAGGGGGGGGGGGGTGTGTGTGGGAGTGCAGTATTTGTTAAATCACCACACAGATGTGTTACTGTAAACTAGCAGTAGTGAGTGAGCAGGGATAAAGCGTAGAATGCGTTTCACCAGCGACATGCAGTAGAAGGAGCAGAGTTTACAGCATTAAACTTGGCTAACGCAGTAATGTAGTGTAGCAATGACGTTAAAGAGGAGAAACAGAAATAGAGTGTTAGCTTTACCAATGTGTGGCAGTAATGTGGTTATTGAGTTGGAGTAACAAAACAGCACGGAGGTATAGCAAAGGCCGTTTCACGTTAGAGCCACATTCACAGATGATTAAAGACGTGGTGCAGAATGAAGTGTCAAGACAGCAGCAATGTGGTCCCGGAAGTAGTGCCGGGACCGGAAAGCAATTTTGTGTTAGACAATAAAAGAGGTGCGGCCCGTTTAGCGGTATGCCGAGACGGCTGGCGCCTTATGATCGTCAGAACACAGAATCAGAGTGGGATAGCACTGCAAAAAAGGGGGGTCTTAAAACAAGATAAAAACACTAAATCTGAGGGAAAATGTACTCAAAACAAGTGAAATTATCTGTCCATGCAGCAAGATAATTTCACTTGACAAGATTTCTTAAATTAAGATTGTTAAATCTAGAAATAAGCATGTCTACAGAGGTGTTTGGAAGGCTTAAAATAAGCCAAACATGCTGGTTTTAAGATGAGATTACTTAAAAAGTAACTTTTTACAGCCTCTAAACAAGTGAAATATACTAAATATAAGCATAAAATCCTCGTTTTTAAGATTAGATTACTTAAAAAGTAACTTTTTACAGCCTAGAAATAAGTGAAACATAACTAAATTTAAGCATAAAATGCTGGTTTTAAAATGAGATTACTTAAAAAAGTAACTTTTTACAGCCTCAAAATAAGTGAAATATACTAAATATAAGCAATTACAAACAAAATCTTTCTTACTTTTAGCAAATTTAGCTGAAGATTAGTTAAGAAAAATATTAAATTTAGAGAAAAATACTACACTATTAGTGAAGAATGACTAAACTCTGTCTTAATCCAAGCAGGTTTATCTTGAAAATGAATTAAACTAAGATAGATTTGCAAATTCAAATAACAACCAAGCAGTTCAATCAATTAATAAATCAAATGACACAAAATATTTACACAACTTACATTTTTAATTCAAATTAAACAGATTTGCTAGTTCAGACAACTCAACTGAAACAGGGGTGCGGCCGCGACCGTAGCGTCTTTTTTTCTTTCACTTAACTTGAAATTTTAAGGCAGCCCTTTCGCTCATATTTTTAAGTTGAAACCATTAGTTACATTTTACAGTGCAGGCCTCGATGAGGTAAAACAATTCAAGCAAATAATTAAGTGACACTGTAATAAACTTGTGGAATACACAAAACCATTGTAAGGCATGGGTAACAATAACAAGAACAACTGACATGACAAAATACTGCTTGACATTCAGCTACTTGTCTCAATGAATGATTTCCAATCAGCCATTGCTTTCTTATATGCACTAGTGGCATCTTGATCGTGGATTGTGTCACCAATGACCTCTGTTTGAATAACAGAGAGGAGCGTTGCAACACATTTAGGGTATGTTAAATGCAACGTGTAGTAGTATGCCAATAGCACCAACATCCCTTCTGAGAAATCTTCCTGTGGAAGGGTGGTCACAGGTACATTACCAACAGCCACGATGGTGGTTGATCCATCAAAAAGCAGAACTGGGGAGGAGAGAGGACGCTTCTCCAGATACAGGGTGGGGTCTCCGCCTGACTGGAACAGAAAAAAAAGAACAATGCGTAGAGAGTGAGAAGACATAAAAATGTATTGAAAGTGTATGATCATTTTTAAAATGAAACTATCAGGTTGCAACCAATGACTTGAGCACTCTTAAATTTAAATTCACGTTTAAAAACTCACACTCGTTATTATCAGATGAATCGCCCAGTGTTGCCAACTTAGCGACTTTGTCGCTAGATTTAGCGACTTTTCAGACCCCTATAGCGACTTTTTTTCAAAAAAGCGACTAGCGACAAATCTAGCGACTTTTTCTCTGGTGTTATTGGCGACTTATCTGGTGTTTTGGCGACTTATCTGGTGTTTTGGAGACTCGTGAAGCACGTATTGTTCTGCTGTCCTCAACGTGAGCCCCTCCCCCGTCCCAAAGCACTTACAGGCGGCCAGTCTCACAGTAGCCTTGCGCAGCAGTCCCAGCTACAGTCTATGGGCGGAGCAGAGAGAGAGAGAGGAGACTCAAAAGCACAGGAAGTTTTCAGGCTGCTGCAGACTGAACTTCAGCTCCACCACCACCACACATCCAAAGCTCCCCGGCCACTCCTACCACCGCCACCCCCCACTACCCCCCACTCCATCCGCGGCAGCTCTGTCCGTGACTCTGTTTTCTCTCAGTAGTGGGTCACATTAAATCATTTGTTATGCCAAACTATGAAAAAAAAAAAAACTTACAAAAATAAACCAAAGTAACTCTGCCAGAGTGTGTCTTTTGGGTCACTTTGCCGGTCCCAAGCCCGGATAAAGGAGGAGGGTTGGTTGTAGAACTAGCAATTTCACCTTACATAACAATCTTTTGATTACATTTGCTGTTATAACATTTAACAATACAGGACAAAACTGATGTGTGTAATGTGGATCTAGACAAAGCATTAAAATCATTAAATGTTGTTAATGTTGAAATTATGTTTGTATATTTGTAGTTCTAAACATATTTAGGGTGTTTTTACTCACTTTTGTCTCTCCCACGACCTTATTCCTCTCTCCTACAGCGTCCGTTACAGTTATTTGCAAATTTCCAATTATGCAAATTATGCGATGACGTCATTTAGCGACTTCTAGCGACTTTTGGGACAGCCAATAGCTACTTTCCTTACTGAGGAGTTGGCAACACTGGTACAGCCTGTCGGAATTAATTAGAAGAAGAAGAAGAAGGTCCACGGACCATTTGGAAACGGAACCTTGACGGAGCATAGTTCCCTCAAACAACATTAAGGGTTAAACCGGAAGTGCTGCTGGCGCAAAATGGCGACTGCTGTTGTGGTGTTCTGCTCCAGGACTCTATAAAATCGGAGTTTTTAGTCTCGGAGTCAGGTACCGTCCTCTGACCCTCTCTGAGGCCACAGTGCATGAGCTCATGTTGTTGTTGTGGTTGTTGTTGTGGTTGTTGATCGGGTGATTTTATCAGATTAATCTGAAATGTGTCCATTTTACAGATAATCAATATCTGCAAATGTTTGAAAAAACATAAATAATAAAAACATGAGCAAGAGATTTATGACCATGTCTTGTCCTGCTCTCAGTCTTTAGTTTACACTGTCTCCGGAGAAAACCTCATCATTAATTTAGCAAAATGGTTAGATTTTTTATATGCGTCTTGTACTGCTTTTCTCCTGCAATGTTTATCTGTGTGTTCTTATATCATCAATATATCTAACCGCAACCTTAAAAAAACCTTTTTTGTGTGTGTGTCTCTGTGTCTGTGTGTATGTGTATGTACACCTAATAATATGATTACACATGTGGTATGGGGTCGGTTCGTCGGAGGAGGGTGATAGTCATGTTTTTAACCAAACTGTAAAGCACTTTGTGTTGCATTTCGTACGAGATCTGTTCTGGTATGAGTACTGAATGTGTCTCTGGTGTTTTCAGGGTGCTGGAGCCATGGTGGTCCCTGTGGACATGGAGACGCTGCTGCGGGAGCAGGGGGGGCTCCTTGGGGGGGCCCCTGCTGCTGGTGGAGAGGAGGGGCTGTGTGTGGTGGGGGTGTTTGGGAAGAGCGGGCTGCAGCCTGGTTCTCTGAAGGAGTCTCTGATGGACACTCTGCTGGACAGACACGTGTTCCCGACCTTTGCCTCCTCGCTCCCCGGCGCTGGGGGCTGTGGGCTCCAGGTTCTGCATGAGCCTGAGCGCCGTGTGCTGTACGTCCTCATGAGCTCCGCGTGCGACAGCCGCGAGCTGCTGCGCACGTGTGCCGCTATGAGCTCCGGCAGCGCGCACACGGACGCACACGAGCTGTGGAAGAGCCTGGAGCGAGAGCACTGTCTGCACCTGCTCTACATGTTCTCCGTCTGCCACGTCATGCTGCTGGTGCACCCCAACCACACCTTCGACGTCACCTACGACCGCCTGTTCCGAGCCGTGGACGCCCTGAGGCAGAAGGTGCTGCCGCTGCTGCGTGCCGCCATCAAGGACTGTCCCGTGTCCAAGGAGTGGAAGCTCAACTGCCGCCCCTGTCCCCCGCGCCTGCTCTTTGTGTTCCACATGAACGGCACTTTGAAGGTCAGTGATGGCGAGGCACATAGCACTTTAATATTCCAGACAGGTTCATTTCAATTCAATTCATTTTCTACAGTCCTAAGTCACAACAGTTGTTATCTCGGAAGACTTTACAAAGCTGTTGATTCACCAACAGCGATCAGAGAATCAGACAGTTGAAACACAGGAAATGTAATGATAAAAACACACATTTGTCCATGAGGAGCAGAGACCAGTGTCCATGAAGGGGCGCTCTCAATTAAGTATCTAGTTTTGATACTAGTTTTAGTATTGATTTATTATCTGATTATTTCATACTTTTAACAACCCCATATTGTAAGACAAACTGATCACACAGAATGGTACAATTACGTAAGAGTAAAACATGATGTTTGTGTGTGTTTGTGTGTGCGCAGGTGAGTACTGGCCCCGACACTGGAGCAAACCCTGAGAAACCCAAGAAGCACTCCCCTCGGCGGCGGCTCCAGCACGCCCTGGAGGACCAGATCTACCGTATCTTCCGTAAAAGTCGCGTCCTGACGAACCAGAGCAGTAACTGTGTGTTCACGGTGCCGGTGAACCAGGCCTTTGTGTACGTGGTGCCGGGCCCCGAGGAGGACCCAGTGGGCTCTGTGCTGGGCCAGCTGCAGGCGCAGTGTGCTCTGGGGGAACAGCAGTCTGTGTTAGGCCCCAAGAGATACCACCTCATGAGGCGCTCCACAATGGCCCCTACTCCTCCAGAGGTGGGCTCTGGACCCTTCTCTGGGGCCCCTCAGGACTGCTCTCTGAAGGAGTTCCTGTGGCAGCACATCGAGCTGGTGCTGTCAAAGAAAGGCTTTGATGACAGTGTGGGTCGAAACCCTCAGCCCTCGCACCTGGAGCTGCCCTCCTTCTCCAAGTGGCTGCAGGTGGCCTCCAGACTGCACCAGGTCATGTTGGGGCCCCTGGAGGACGAGCACAAAGAGCTGCTGCTCAAAGTCCAGAACCAGCTCAAAGTGCTGGAGGGCTTTCTGGACGCTGATGCCAAGTTCTCGGACAGTCGCTGTCAGAAGGCTCTGCCCCTGGCCCACAGTGCGTACCAGTCCAACCTGCCTCATAACTACACCTCCACGGTCCACAAGAACCAGCTGGCCCAGGCCCTGCGGGTCTACAGCCAGCACGCCCGCGGCGTAGCTTTCCAGCGCTACGCTCTGCAGCTACACGATGACTGCTACAAGTTCTGGAGCAGCGGGCACCAGCTGTGTGAGGAGAGGAGCCTGAGTGACCAGCACTGTGTGCACAAGTTCCACCTGCTGCCCCAGCCAGGTCCTTTTATCGCTTTTTTTATACAAAACCCTGTGACCCTTTATATTGAATTAGTACTCTAGTACTCAAGTACTCTATTAGACTCCCATATATTCAAATATGCATTGTCACTGCCTCTTAATTTTGCTCTGATTCAAAACTCATTGTGTAACTGTAGGATGATATGAGAATATACATTTTTGTGCCAAGAACAGTAACAGCTTCTCTAACAAATAACTTTGTTTTTATGATATTATCTTTAAGGATGGCCCCAACAGAAACTGACCTGGATCCTTTATCATTCGACATTTTAAAATACATTTACTTTAGTGCTTTATGACCATTACTTACTATTTTGCAACCGTCCAGAAACGTTCCCTAAAGAGTCAGGAGTTCTATGTTCTCTGTGTGAGATGTTTACTGTGTTTCTTTGAACCTGTTGTTTGAAAATAGAGAGAGCAAAGTGGACGCTGTCCTTCCATCTGCACTCGTCATGGTCTCTGTGTGAACACTTCCGTCACTGAATGTTTCACTGAGTGGTCTAAAAAATGACCCTCGTGTTGTTAATGTGGCGCTCTGTCCACGTTCTCCACTTCCTGCGAACATGTGCAAATGTAAAGGTCCCAGTTTTTGCTGATCTTATACACACAACACTCAGAAGAACAGCCTGAGTCTGCTCCTCCCCCTGTGAGCCCGCCTTCATCTTGTGCTCTTTGGTTCCTTCAGGAGAGAAACCAGACCTGGACCACAACCCACCGATCCTGCAGCACAACAGCAGGGGGCGCTCCACCAGCAGCTGTAACTGTGGGAGGAAACAGGCCACCAGAGAAGACCCCTTCGACCTCCAGGCGGCCAACTACGACTTTTACAAGGTCAGGACTGTTGCACTTTTCTACATGATGTCCCTTTGTCCCAAATATGACATCAACCCCTGATTTGACTCAAACTGTTTCTGCACATGACGTTATATCACGTTATACCCCCCCCCCCGTGCAGGCGCTGGAGGAGAAGTGCTGTGGGAAGTTGGAGCACCTGGACTTCCCTGTGTTTGAGTCCAGCACCGCAGACCCTGCTCCAGCCTCTGAGCCCGAGCAGCAGGGCCCCGCAGAGGGCACGGGGCCTGAAGACAAGAGCCACACTCCAGGAGAGGCCCAGAGCCTCAGTCTGGCCCTCAGCCTGGGCCACTCCACTGACAGTCTGGAGCACTTTGGGGAGGGGGACTCTACAGAGGCCCCTCGGCACAAGAGGCCCAGCCTCCTGGACCGTCAGCCCTCCACAGTGGAGTACCTGGCAGGCATGATGCACTCGGGATGTCCCAAGGGCCTCCTGCCCAAGTTCTCCAGCTGGTCCCTACTGAAGCTGGGGCCCTCCAAACTCTACAATTGTCACGTGGGTCTGGAGCAGCCCAGCTTCCTGCCCGGCTCCAGCTTCTTACTGCCCTGGGACCTGGTGATCCGCTCTCGCTCTGAGGAGGAGGGCCTGTCCCAGTCTCTGGACAGCTCTGGCCTCTGGCCCGTTCCCAACAAGAGCGTGTCAGGAAAGAGAGGGGGCCCCGGGGGCCCCGGGCGCAGCCGCCGCAGAGATGACGTGGCTCGTCTGTATGTGGGCTTCTGCTACGAGGACAGCAGGGGGCGCCGCTTCATCAGCTCTGGTCCTGATAAGATCCTCAAAGTCCTAGGACCTGGAGGGGCTAAAGAGCCCGCCTCCCGGGTCCTGAGCACAGACATGCCCCTGTACATGCCCTCGCCCTCTCAGGGCAGGGGCCTCAAGCTGCACCTGGCCCAGCTCTCCCACCTCTACATCCTGGTCCCGGACGCACCGTTGGAGGTCACACTGAGCCCACAGGTACTGTGTGTGTCTTTGGGTTTGTGTGTGTGTCTTTGGGTTTGTGTTAGTGTGTGTTTATGTCTGTCTGTCTGTGTGTGTGCGTGTGTGTGTAGTAACCCCCTGTGTTGTGTTGCAGGTGCAACCTGGGCCCCCTCCCTGCCCCCTGTTCCACCCGGAGCAGCCGGAGGTTGTCCTGCCCCCAGACGGACTGTGGGTTCTGCGTTTCCCCTTCGCCTTCGCCACAGAGCGAGGCCCCTGCTTCCCCCCAAAGGACGGGCAGCCCCTAAGTGACTACAGACTGCTGCGCGGGGTCCTGCGGGCCTGCCCCGTGCCCCCCCCTCACCCCTGACCCCCCCCATCCGGCCCCTGACACACACACACATCCGTATGAAGCACTTTGGAGATTTTGACTCATCATGTGTTTAAGAAGACAGTGATCGGTTTGACAACGATCATGAAGTCTGTTTGCTTCTCTCTCCTCTCTCTGCTCCTCTCTCTGCTCCTCTCTCCTCTCTTTTCTCTGCTCCTCTCTACTCCTTTCTCCTCCTCTGCTCCTCTCTCTCCACTCTACTCCTCTCTCCTCCTCTCTGCTCCTCTCTCTCTCCTCCTCTCTGCTTCTCTCTCTCCTCTCTTCCCCTCTCTCTCCTCTCTGCTACTGTTCAGTTCTGTTCCAATCTCTTTTTACCTTTTTTGCCTATTTTACCCATAATGCAAATGGTCGTGGAGAAAATCCCTCATTCATTTTAGAGTTTGGAGACGTGAAGAAGGCTAACTAGCTACAGGCTAACTAGCTACATGCTAACTAGCTACATGCTAACTACTAGCGCTTGAAAAACATTGATATTATATTAATGTAGACGTTGTGGTCTCTCCTCAGAAAAAACTGTTTCAAAACATGTGTAAAATAAAAATATTAAAAATCCAAATGGGGAAATTATTTGTGGAAGCGGCTCTATCCTGAGCTTCTTCTTCTTGGATTCTTGAGTTCAACTTACTGGGCATTAAATCTCCCCAAAAAGGGGTTTTTAAGTAAATGATTGTTCATATTTTGTTGTTTTATAAAAGAATGCATTTTTGGTGGATGTTAATTTGATTTGTGTCGTTGTCAAAAATGGAGACAGAGAAAAGGTCTTGTTTCTTTTCTATTTTGCTGTTATGAACCTTCAGGATCTGGACTGAAACTAAACTGCAGAATGTGTTTTTGAAATGGGCGACATGAGGCTCTTTGTGTTATTAAAAAAAGAAACTTCTTTTTGTATTTTTTCCAAGAACAAACACCCACGAGTCCAGAACAATCAAAAGAAACACTAAAATGTCCCTTTGATACCATATCATTGGGCATCACGGTGGCACAGGGGTGAGTGCGGTTTGATTCTGTTTGGAATTTGCATGTTCTCCTTGTGTCTGGTCTCCTGTAGGTGACCTGCTCCCATCTCTGTGTGGAGGGAGAGACAGAAGCCCACAGCACTTGTAAAGCGCTTTTTAAAAACAGATTGCGATAACGCTGCAGAGCTGTGTCACATGTCTCTGCTGCAGTCAGGCCCGTGCTGCGGACTCCATGTTTTAAAGGCCTTGCATTGGGGGGTTTTCCAAGTGACGTCAGTAATAATGATAATAATAATGGTTTTATATATTCGATTCAATTCAATGTATCCTTGTATGGCCCTAAATCACAACAGTAATTATCTCGGAGGACTTTACAAAACCATCGAATTCTCCAACACAGATCAGAGAATCAAATGGTTCAAACACAAGACATGCAATGATAAAAAGGGCCTTTCTAAGTGGAGTTTGCATGTTCTCCCCGTGTCTGCGTAGATTTCCTCTGGGTGCTTTGGTTTCCCTTACCACTAAAAACATGCACAGTAGTTCTGAAGGTAATGATTGAGTGGATGGTGTTGGGGGCTTTGATGGACCAGTGTGTTCAGGGCTCGCTTTCGCCATCGTGTGTGGAGTGATTGGAAAACTATCTGAATCGCTTCGGGCGACCTTTGTCTGTAAAAATGTGCTATATAAATAGGATTACTTGCTCACTAAAGTCCATATACAGTGCCTTGCGAAAGTTTTCGGCCCCCTTGAACCTTTCAACATTTTGCTACATTTCAGGCTTCAAAGATATAAAATCTAAAATTTTTGTCATGAATCAACAAGTGGGGCACAATCGTGAAGTGGAACGAAATTTATTGGATAATTAAAACTTTTTTAACAAATAAAAAACTGAAAAGTGGGGCGTGCAATATTATTTGGCCCCTTTACTTTCAGTGCAGCAAACTCACTCCAGAAGTTCAGTGAGGATCTTTGAATGATCCAATGTTGTCCTAAATGACTGATGATGATAAATAGAATGCACCTGTGTGTAATCAAGTCTCCGTATAAATGCACCTGCTCTTTGATAGTCTCAGGGTTCTGTTTAAAGCGCAGAGAGAACCATGAAGATAAAGGAACACACCAGGCAGGTCCGAGATACTGTTGTGGAGAAGTTTAAAACCGGATTTGTATACAAAAAGATTTCCCAAGCTTTAAACATCTCAAGGAGCACTGTGCAAGCAATTATATTGAAATGGAAGGAGTATCAGACCACTGCAAATCTACCAAGACCCGGCCGTCCCTCCAAACTTTCATCTCAAACAAGGAGAAGACTGATCACAGATGCAGCCAAGAGGCCCATGATCACTCTGGATGAACTGCAGATAACTACAGCTAAGGTGGGAGAGTCTGTCCATAGGACAACAATCAGTCGTGCACTGCACAAATCTGGCCTTTATGGAAGAGTGGCAAGAAGAAAGCCATTTCTCAAAGATATCCATAAAAAGTCTCGTTTAAAGTTTGCCACAAGCCACCTGGGAGACACACCAAACATGTGGAAGAAGGTGCTCTGGTCAGATGAAACCAAAATCGAACTTTTTGGCCACAATGCAAAACGATATGTTTGGCGTAAAAGCAACACAGCTCATCACCCTGAACACACCATCCCCACTGTCAAACATGGTGGTGGCAGCATCATGGTTTGGGCCTGCTTTTCTTCAGCAGGGACAGGGAAGATGGCTAAAATTGATGGGAAGATGGATGGAGCCAAATACAGGACCATTCTGGAAGAAAACCTGTTGGAGTCTGCAAAATACCTGAGACTGGGACGGAGATTTATCTTCCAACAGGACAATGATCCAAAACATAAAGCCAAATCTACAATGGAATGGTTCACAAATAGACGTATCCAGGTGTTAGAATGGCCAAGTCAAAGTCCAGACCTGAATCCAATCTAGAATCTGTGGAAAGAGCTGAAGACTGCTGTTCACAAACGCTCTCCATCCAACCTCACTGAGCTCGAGCTGTTTTGCAAGGAAGAAGGGGCAAGAATTCCAGTCTCTCGATGTGCAAAACTGATAGACATACCCCAAGCGACTTTCAGCTGTAATTGCAGCAAAAGGTGGCGCTACAAAGTATTAGCGCAAGGGGGCCGAATAATATTGCACGTCCCACTTTTCAGTTTTTTATTTATTAAAAAAGTTTAAATTATCCAATAAATTTCGTTCCACTTCACGATTGTGTCCCACTTGTTGTTGATTCTTGACAACAAATTTTGTTTTTATATCTTTATGTTCAAAGCCTGAAATGTGGCGAAATGTTGAAAGGTTCAAGGGGGCCGAATACTTTCGCAAGGCACTGTATATTGTTGAATGTGGAGTGCCCTGGATCATCACCACTGTCCTTGTGCTTGGCCCAGACTAGGGTCCAACAGACTCCTGCATCGACAAGGAATACATCTAAAACCCAGTGGGAAAAAGTGAGAAACCTTAGAGAGGACTCAAGTCTCTTCAAATCATTATTCTTTCACTCCATACACAGTGGTGATAAACAACTACAGTAGCCACAGCTGCCCTGGGGCACACTGACAGAAGCAAGGCAACCCGTCTGTGCCATCGGCCCCTCCCACCACCACCAACCATTCACACACACCAGACTCATTCTAATGTGGGGGAAGTCCATCCATCCATTTTCTTCCCCTTAATCCATTTCTGGGTCGGGGGGGTGGCAGTCAGAGCTGCGCCCAGTACACTTAGCACCAGCCCCTCACTGATCCTCCTGCAGGTGCTGAGTCCACAGGAGCTGAGATCTTTCAGTGGGAGCTTCAGGCAAAGTGGGGTTAAGTGTCTTGCCCAAGGACACAACGACAGCAGTCATCAGTGGGAGTCGTGAAGTAGGTCTTATGATGGGCTTGAACCCACAACCTTCAGGCCCAAAGGCCAATGCTCTACCAGTGTCTTGCCTAAGGACACATCAGCAGTTTGGCACTTTACAGCCGCAGCCGCCCCACTGTGACACCTGCTGTTCCCAGAGTTCTCCCATCACAGTAATTACCAGCCCCTGCCCTCTTAGCTTCAGATCCCAGTGACCTTGTTTTGAGCTTCAGTCTGCTGTATTTAGTTTGTGATGTTTCCTTTCACTGGACACGACCGGATCAAACAGGATTCCGAACATGTGAGTGAAACTAAATCCATGATTGTACGTTTGACTGAAACTTTCTTCCCAATGTCACCTCGGGCCACACCCAGAGGCTCCTGTTACAGCCGTCTAAGGGGCCCCGCTGGACTCCTCCCAGGGGCCCGACGGACAAGAGGCTGAGGCCCCACCCGGCTGACACACTTCTGCAGAGGTGGGTCAGCTGGGTCCGTACAGGACTGGATTTGGACGATCTCAACCCCAGCTCCACAGATCATAGAGTGTTATTATAGAATAAAAGAATGATTCTTGCAAACCGTTTCAATTAAAAGGATTTATTTTTATAAATCCCTGTCAAGAAATATATATACCATGTCCAAAACCTTTCAACACCCTCCTGAAAACATCCATCCATTTTCTACCCTTTAATCCATTTCTGGGTCAGGGGGGTGGCAGTCAGAGATGCCACCCAAGTCTCATAGCACCAGCCCCTCACTGACCCTCTGCAGGTGGTGAGTCCACAGGAGGACGGCTGCTCTCTGAGTGTGAGCATAGCCTTGATCTTTCAGTGGGGGCTTTGGGCAAAGTGGGGTCAAGTGTCTTGCCCAAGAACACAACGACAGCAGTCATCAGTGGGAGTCGGTGGAGAAGGTGCAGAGGTGGGAATTGAACCCACAACCTTCTGGCCTTAAGGCCAATGCTCTACCAACTGAGCTACTGTCGCCCTAGAAATATGCTTAAATGTAATTGGTCCTTCAGGCCTTTTGGAGCTAGGGTCTGACAGTGATGCAAATGGCCCTCATGGTCAAGGTCATAGTTTTCTCCTTAAATAATAAGAATGTTTGGTGTTCTCTGGTGAAGTCTGAACATTTAGAGGCATTGAGGGCGATGAACTCTGTGAAGTTGGTTTTGTTCAAGGATCTTCCTCTGTGTCTTGATGGGTCCAATCTGACCCTCAGATGTGGGGACATCTTGGCTGGTCGACAACCTGATTCAGTTTTAAACAATTTAGAATGACAATGTCTTTATCCAGCCTTACACTGCCATAAAGGATAAAATATGAGGTAAAAAAAACACATTGGCAAAGAGGTCTCAGTAGTCAGACGAAGTGCAGTCTCAAACCCTCCATGGAACGCACAATATTGAGAATCAGAATAATTTTTATTGCCATGTAAGTAACAGAAAGTCAAAGACTAGGAAATAGTTTTGGCTCTCGGTCCAAACAAGTCAAGAGTAGGGAAGGAAAAAGGCATAATAACATTTCTAGAGTTTAACATTTTAAGGGTCTGCTGGCAACGTCTCGCTGAGCCCTCTGTTTCACCGAGGGCTCAGCCAAAACTGTGATATTTTGCAGTGCGGTTGGTTGTACAAACAGGCAAGGACATAAGCCAAATGTATCTTTTTATCTGATACCTGCTCCTGATGAAGACAGAAGACGACGATGGCCAGCGGCAATCAATCAAAAGGACTGGGAATAATCCAAGTACTCCCAAATTTGTAGTGAACACTTTTTACAAGATAAATTAATCACAATTATGTATTTAATTTCTTTCCATTAATTTATTTGGAGAAAAATTACACAAGATACGCTTGTCCTTACTACTGTGCTGTGTGTGCGCTGCAAGATTGAAATTTCCTCACTAAGGCACGAATAAAAGATCTCTTATCTTGACGTCAGTTGCATTTTTTCACTATTTTCCTCTCCATCAATATGTATCATGTTTGTCTGTAGACAGAAAAGTACATTGCTAATGTGCTAATGCTACCAGCAAAATGTACATATAAATCTGCTCCAGTGTGAGGGGATGCATTGTTAACAACATAATGATAAAGATCATGTAGGGTGAATTCGGGCAAAATTAGACATTTTATTTAATCGATCAAATTGACTGTGGGAGAAGGTACGAGTCAACATCCAGTTAGGCAATCCTTAACTTCTCCAAATACCACTCTTTGTGAGCCCTGACCTGATGTCCTACTTCCACCTATAACGTAATCAACCATGTGCTTGAAGCAGCCACTTCTCGATTTAGAAGATTAGTCTCAGTTTTTAAGAGTTGAGTTTTGCGCAATGCTAGTTTCCAATTCTTCCACCGTAAGCTCATGCACAATCACGTGACTGGATGACATTGATGCATCCGGTCAATAGGTTGGCCTCGAAGAGAGATCCCTCGACTGGGGATATTGTCGGGCGGTGGAAGGAATTCTTTGAGGTTCTCCTCAATCCCCCCGTCATGTCCTCTGTCCCGGTGGCAGAGGCTGAGGATGTTGAGGCGGATGCTTCCATCTCCCAGAGGTCACCAAGGTGGTTGGCAGCCTCCTTGGTGGCAAGGTGCCGGGAGTGGATGAGATCCGCCCTCATTATCTAAAGTCTCTGGATGTTGTAGGACTGTCTTGGCTGACACGTCTCTGCAACATCGCGTGGCGATCGGGAGCGGTGCCAATGGAGTGGCAGACCGGGGTGGTGGTCCCTCTCTACAAGAAGGGGGGCCGGAGGGTGTGTTCCAATTATCGTGGGATCACATTCCTCAGCCTCCCCGGTAAGGTCTACTCCAAGGTACTGGAGAGGAGGCTACGGCCGATGGTCAAATCTCGGATCCAGGAGGAGCAGTGTGGTTTTCGTCTTGGTCACGGAACACTGGACCAGCTCTATACTCTCCATCGGATACTCGAGGGCTCATGTGTGAGAGGGAAGTCTGGGCGTCTCTGCTTAGACTGCTCCCCGTGCGACCCGGCAACAGATGAAGTTGCCGGGTCGCACCATCCATCCATCCAAAATTGGATGGATGGATGGATTATACACAGGGCAGCTGTGGCTACAGTAGCAGTTCATCACCACTGTGTTTGGACTGAATGAAAATAACAATGCATTGTAGTTACTACAACAGTATATTGTGTGCTTTGAATACATCACAAAAAGTGATGAAAAATAAATCAAAATGTATCTTATTTTAAGCACATTCTGACGGAACCTCAAAACAAGATTTTCCAACGGGACAAAGCAAAATGATCTTGTTTGAAAAGATCCAAGAAAATTTTCCCTTGGAATGAGAAAAAAAAAACAGTTCTTAAAATAAGACTAATTGGCTTTGTCGTATTTGATCCTCTCTCTTCACATATTATTGTTCCTAAGTTTCTGTTAAGATCCAAGTAAAGTGTTGATCATTCACTTGAGTCTGAGCCTGTGATTGGCTGATGGAGCAGGGGGTGTGGGCAGGTGTGGGGGGGAGGGGAAGGGGCCTGTCCCAGGACGTGTACCAAGGTCTGCAGCAAGTGTCAGGGCTGGACTCCAGTCTGGACCAAGTACCGGAGCTACAACTACCAAATAACCCAACAGACAGACCCAACACCAGAGGGAGAGAAGGACCAGAACTACACCAGACCAGAGGGGAGAAGGACCAGAAGAGAGAGTGGGACCATAGCTACAGACCCCAGACCAGAAGGGGAGAAGGACCCGAGGGCACAGAAGGAGCAGAGCTAAGGTACAAAATGGATATTATAAACAGTAAACTATGGCTTGAATTCAGGAATTTCACAAAATGTCATTTGTTTTGTTTGATTTCACTTGTCAAACTTGGCCTTCGTCATGATTTTACAATGGTAAAGTGTAGGCTGTGTATAATGTATAATATAAGTTATGTATTATAAGAAGTTTAACTCGTACTGACTCCCGCCTCCTCTTTCGACATTTTAATAGTTACTTCCTTTGGTTCCACCCACTTTCTTGCACTTTTGTTTTCCTACATATTTAGGATAAAGTAATCTTTATTTATATACCGCCTTTTCACTGCACATCGGAGTCTCAAAGCGGTTTACAATTGTTATTTTTTGGGAGTGGGGGTGCCAGTACAGGAGGCACATGCCAGACCTATTGTACATATTTTTAGTGGTAGGGGAAACCGGAGCACCCGGAGGAAACCGGAGCAGACACGGGGAGAACATGCAAACTCCACACAGAAAGGTCCTGGTCCGACCGGGATTTGAACCCAGGACCTTCTTGCTGAGAGGCGAGAGTGCTATCCACTCAGCCACCGTGCCGAGTGGAGGCTGTTTTAATGTATTCTTATTTTTAAAGAAAAGCAGTATCTCACTTGAGTAAGGCTCAAGTTGTATTCAAAAATAAACAGACCCTGCCCAAGGAACCGCCAGTGTATTTTTACCTCAAACAAGAACAAAAGTTAAACTGTGTGAAGGAAAAACACAAAAATGTTTGCACTAAAAATACCAGCGAGGGCCCTCCGCCGTTTTGGACGTGTAAAGATCTCTGGTTCCATCGACCGAGGACTGAGCGCAGACCAAGGACCGAGGTCAGACTGAGCTAAGACCGAGCTCAGACCAAGGACTGAGTGCAGACCGAGGACCAAGCGAGGACCAAGCGAGGACCAAGCGAGGACCGAGCTCAGAGCGAAGACCAAGCCAGGGCCGAGTACCGAGCGAGGACAGAAATGTGTTTGCAGCTGCTCTGGTTTCACCTCAGAGCTGTTAATGTGTAAAGGAAGGAGAGGCTCTGAAGGACGTCTGACACTTTATGCACTGAGTTTGTTTAAAACTTGAATTTAGATTAATTCATTAATTGGACACAGCAAACATTAGTTCCTGGACAGGTTGATGATGACTACTGTTATGCTCTGTATAGTCTATACTGCAGATTAAAACATAACTCTGTGGGTTCAAATCTTCACAGTTAGAACCTACTGCTCATGTCAGCAGCAGGAGAGAGACTCATGTGCTCCCGTGTGGCACTTTCTCACATTATTGCACGGACACGACATGAGAGGTCCGGTCAGCAGTGCCTCTAACGAATACGATTGGATATCCCTGGTTTAATCTATTGTCAGTAGCCGTGGTAACCATAGCAACCATAGTACTTGTATCTACACTACAGCCAACACTGCAGTATGATGTCTCATCCTTGTAATCAACACACACTTAGTAGTGTGTTGGAAGTGACTACACACAAGTTACTACACACACACACACACACACACACAGACATGTAGTAGTCTGGTCTGAGCTCGGTGTCTGAAGAGAACATTCTTTTCTCCAATCATTGTATTTCTATTTATCATTAACTTTTATTGTATTGTTATTGCGGCAAGGACACAACATCACACTGAAGTATGTCACACACACACACAAACGTGTGTGTGTGCTCCCAGATGATATACAGTATTGTGTGTGTTTCCAGGTGATATACAGTATTGTGTGTGTTTGCAGGTGCTTTTGTGTGTCCGTGCGATGCCCGTGAGCCCGTCCTGACCCTGACACTGAGAGCTGCAGACATGGCCTCAGCGTCCGCTCTGCAGAGGCGCATTGTGTCCAAGGACGGACACAACAACGTGCGCATCGACAATGTGGAGGGAATGGTCAAACTGTACCTGCACGACCTCTGGACCACCGTGGTGGACATGAAGTGGAGGTATGAGGTCCACACCATGAGGGCCGCACCATGTGGGCCCAAACCATAGAATGCACATTTTAATGGACGTAGTCACCCCTATCTCCGCTGTTGATACTCATGTGCCACCACTTTTGCCTTCAATGGGGATTTAAAAAAATGACCGGGGGCAGCTCCTCCCAGAGGAAAATGTTAAAAAACGCATTTGGGTTCAGATCATGTACAGACCATAATAAATGTCACAGAGAAGAGTCTTTTTCCTCCATGATTGTAAAGTCTTTGAATAATATGAGGGACATGTATCGTGATATACCTGTATCACTGAATCACACACTGTCTGTATCACGATATGTTAAGAATCGCAATAATGTTGAGTTCATCACCTTTTTGCCAATCCCCACCTCCAAACACGACTGACAGAAGGCCGATAGAAGAGCTGTGACTCTTAATGTTTCTCTGTTTGCTGCTACAGGTACAAGCTGACGCTGTTCGCCTCCACGTTCGTCCTCACCTGGTTCATCTTCGGTGTCATCTTCTACGTCATCGGCATCGCAAACGGCGACATGGCGTCCGGTCTGAGCGACAACCACACCAGCTGTGTCCAGAACGCACACACGCTCACCGGCGCATTCCTGTTCTCGCTGGAGTCCCAGACCACCATCGGCTACGGCTTCCGCTACATCTCTGAGGAGTGCCCCTTGGCCATCTTCAGTCTGGTGGCCCAGCTGGTCATCACGGGGCTGGCGGAGATCTTTGTGACCGGGGCGTTCCTGGCCAAGCTGGCACGTCCCAAGAAGCGTGCAGAGACCATAAAGTTCAGCCAGGTGGCGGTAGTGTGCACGCACCGGGGCAAGCGCTGCCTGATGGTGCGGGTGGCCAACATGAGGAAAAGCCTCCTGATCCAGTGTCAGCTCACGGGGAAGCTGCTCCACGCCAACGTCACTGAGGAGGGCGAGAAGACGCAGGTACGCCAGCTGCAGATGTAGATGCCTCATAAGACCAGAACCCTTCAAGGCATTCTGGTTTAAGATCAAAATAACATACTGTATATTTCCACATAGTTTAGGGAGGTCCATCTTGTCTTAGTGGATATAAAGGTATTTTGTTCTTTACCAGACAAACGTTAGCGATGATATTACCTTGACATGTTTCGAATTTTACTTCCGTCTTCCTCAGAAGCTTCTGAATAAGACCCTCATCTCTGAACATTTAAACAGAGATGAGGGTCTTTTTCAGAAACTTCTGTACTATTCAAAGTATAGTAAAGATCCATAAAAATGCAGTACTTCAGTCCAAATGGACTGCCTAGAAATGGAACAGTACCAGGAACAGGTCTGACTTATTGCCACTGATGCAAACTTTGCAAGCTTGACAAAGGGCCGTCCGGTCATACAGGGACCGGACGGCCCTTTGTAAAGCTGGGTCAGCAGAGGACCCAAAGAACCCCCAAAGGACACCCCTGGGAACACGGTCGAACACCTTCGCCAGATCCACAAAGCACATGTAGACAGGTTGGGCGAACTCCCATGAACCCTCGAGTATCCGATGGAGAGTAAAGAGCTACAACAAAATAGGTCGTAGCCTCCTCTCCAGTACCTTGGAGTAGACCTTACCGGGGAGGTTGAGAAGAGAGACCACAATAATTAGAACACACCCTCCGGTCCCCCTTCTTGTAGAGAGGGACCACCACCCTGGTCTGCCACTCCATTGGCGAGGGCCACGCGATGTTGCAGAGACGTGTCAGCCAAGACAGTCCTACAACATCCAGAGACTTTAGATAGTCAGGACGGATCTCATCCACTCCCGGAGCCTTGTCACCAAGGAGGCTGCCAACCACCTTGGTGACCTCAGGGAGATGGAAGTATCCGACCCAACATCCTCAACCTCTTCAAAACAAGAGGTTTTGAAAAGGTTACATTCACCTTACATTCAAAGGTGAATGTAACTTCGAACAGTACTCCTAGACAACTGCTGTTGTGAGCTATACACAAATAAGAAAGGCAAGTTTATTTATATAGCACAGTTCATACACAAGGCAACTTAAAGTGCTGAACAAAACTAGATAGAAACAATACAAAGCATTAAAATAATAAATAATCACATTACATTGAAAATAATAACAATACAATCTGTCAGTTTCTGTCTGTTTTAAACCTGGATTTGGGCTTTGTCAGAGAAGAAGCCTGTCTCACATTTTCAGGAATACTGTTCCAAATGTTAGCTGCATAACTCTGAATATATTGAATTGAGTTGAATCTCTTCACCGCAGGTGCACCAGAGCTCGGTGGACTTCTACATGGACTCGAGTGGGGAGTGTCCGTTCCTGATCCTGCCCCTGACCTTCTACCACACGCTGGACTCGAACAGCCCCCTGTCCCGCCTCAGCGCCGCCTCTCTGCTCACGGTCGACTTCGAGCTGCTGGTCACTCTGAACGCCACCATGGAGTCCACAGCCGCCACCTGCCAGAGCCGCACCTCCTACGTGCCCCGCGAGATCCTCTGGGGCTACGAGTTCAAGCCCGTCCTGTTCAGCACGGGCACGGGACGCTACGTGGCCGACTTCACCTTCTTTGACGAGGTGCAGGCGTGCAGCGAGCCCCGGAACACAGACAAGCTAGCCCACAAGGAGAGCCACAAGGAGAACCACAAAGAGGGTCACAAGGAGGGCCACAAGGAGAGCCACAAGGAGAGCCACAAGAAGGGCCATTAGGAAGTGGACTGACCGCGGTGGATGTCCCAGGTCCAACCAGGAGGACTTGGCCTTAGGCTGTTTGTGACTGGGAGACGATTGTAATGTCGTCAAACTTTGGGTTCAGATCACCAGTGTATAAGAAGACCACAACAGTAAAGAGTTTGAAAATGATTTATTATAAAAAGTCCTTAAATGTATGATTAAACCCAGGGGGGATAAAAGCTAGTTGGGTTAAAATTAGAGGGGATAGGCTGGAGTCCAAAACTTGGGGATGCAAGCTTTAAAAAGGCTTCCTCAGGGTCGAGGCATAAAGTGTGGCTTGGTTGGCCACGCTGGTATGGCCCTCAGTCTCCAGCAGGCCACAGTTGAAGAGCAGAGCTGCAGGTCTTCAGGCCGCCTGGAGGACCCGAGCTGTTCCCACTGGTCACTCTAAGCAGAGTGGACGAGAGAAGAGATACATGACAAAAGGAAATACAAAACATACTGTAAAAGGGAAATTGTTTTCTAAAATCCTTTAAAATAAATGTTACTTTGTGCAATATGTTACTGATCTGTCCCACCAAGTGATAGTGATGGATGCCATAGTGATTTCCATGGTAACCGTTGCTATGGCAATCACTATGGCATCCATCACTATCACTTGATGGGACAGATCAGTAACATATTGCAACTACCCTGGCAACATGGTCAGCACTAGATCATATACAGAATCGGGACGGAAGCGGAAGTAAATACAACAAACTACCTATTCATGCCTAAACTTAACCAGCCATTCCCATAAAATAACCCCAACCCACCCTTAACCCTAACCTTAACTATCTTACTCAGACACCTAAAACTTAACCAGTCACCACTTAAGGACGTTAGTCTAAAACTAATTTGAAAGTAGGATTGTTACTTCCAGTTTCGTCCTGATTCCGTTTATGATCTAGTGCCGACCCTGGCAACATCACTATCACAAGAAATTTGCATTAAAGCAAGCTTGACCAGATTGTTGGTTGTCATGGTAGAAGTTGTGATGGCAATCGTTCTGTTCCCATAGTGATGGTTGTGAGGGTAACAACTACCATAGTAACGGTTGCCATGATGACTATTGCCATAAATTATTGCACCAGTTGCCATGATGACTCTAGCCATATCAACGGTTGCCATGGTGACTATTGCCTTGACAACCATCACTGTGACAACCGTTACCATGACAACAATTTCTATGGCAACTGGGAACAATATCCCAAAAATTAAGTAGTAGGAATTTGGATTAAAACAAGATTCACAAGATTGTCTGGCTATCGTCGTAGTAACAGTTGCAATGGTGATTGTCATAGTGATTCCCATAGCATTGGTAACAGTTACTGTGGTAACAGTTGCCATAGTGATTTTTGACAAGATATCAGTTGCCATAGTAATGTAACCAAGGCAACACTTTCCAAATGGCAACGGTTGCCATGGTGACTATTGCCATGGCAACGGTTGCCAGGGTGACTATTGCTGTAGCAATGGTTGCCATAGTGATTATTGCCATAGCAACAGTGGCAATGGTGACTAATGCCATGGGAACTATTGCCATGGTGACTTTTGGAATGGCAATAGTTGCCATATGGACTATTCCTACTCTGAAGGAATTCTGTGTAAACACAGAGAACATGCAAACCCCACACAGAGCTGTCTGGAGGTGGACACTCTGTGGTCTGACGCTCACACTTTTACTAGACTCTGTTGGGAAAACATCAGGGATTATTTATGTCAGAATCAGAATCAGAAGCACAAGTTACGACAATAACCTCACTGAGCTAATCAGCGCTCTGCCCAAAGACACAAATATTGTGACCTCCAAATATCTGTGGAGGTCACAAACTGTATCAAATATGAAACTAAAAAGTGAGGTACCACAGCTTTAATCTAGATTTAAAAAACATGTTTGTCAAAGATATAAGTCCTTCATGTAGAAGAAAATGGGATGAAATAATGGTGTGAAAAGCAGAATGTCTCCTTTAGATTAGAGTATTGAAATAGAGTATTGTAATAGAGTATTGTAATAGAGTATTGTAATAGAATATTGAAATAGAGTATTGTAATAGAGTATTGTAATAGAGTATTGTAATAGAGTATTGTAATAGAGTATTGTAATAGAGTATTGTAATAGAGTATTGTAAGAGCAGATGCCGCTGACATTTTAATTTGTCTTTTACATTGTTTCATCTCTGTGTTGTGTTTTTCTTTGTATTTGTTAAAAAAGAAAAGTTTGTGGGTAAAAAAATTGTTTTTTGCTTCATTGGTGAATGTATTTTCTCATAGACGTTATGTAAAAATCAGGTCAATGAGAAAAGCCCTGTTTCCACCAGCCCTACTTGGCCCTATGCTATACCACTACACACAGACCTCCCTCTCCACAGATACCTCCTCCAGTTCATCTGGGGGAATCCTGGGGCGTTCCCAGCTCAGACATAGTCCCTCTGTGTCCTGGGTCTTCCCCTGGTCTCCTCCCAAACCACCGCTACAGGCCTCTCTCTATGTGGAGGTGCAGCGGCTCCACTCCGAGCTCCTCACGTGTGATTGATCTCATCACTCTATCTCATTTCGGTCATTAACCAAAGCTTTTTGTTGACTATATCTTATAAGTTGTCTGTTGTGTATCTCTGTGGTGTCCGTGTGGCAGGTTGTGTGTCTCTGTGGTGTCCGTGTGGCAGGTTATGTGTTTCTGTGGTGTCCGTGTGGCAGGTTGTGTGTCTCTGGTGTCCGTGTGGCAGGTTGTGTGTCTCTGTGGTGTCCGTGTGGCAGGTTGTGTGTGTCTGTGGTGTCTGTGTGGCAGGTTGTGAGTCTCTGTGGTGTCCGTGTGGCAGGTTGTGTGTCTCTGTGTGTATGTTTGGCAGATTGTGTGTGTGTGGATTTAGGTTAACACATTCTTCTGGCCGCGGTGTGAATGAGGCCGTATTGCTGGGCGTCTGGGGGCTGGGCAGGACGCACAACTCTGTGTGTTGTGGTAACAGATCTGTGTGTGTCCTCTCAACAATACATCAGTACTTTTTCCTGTGGGCCCCCCAGGCTCCTGCGGACACACATATATACACACAGACACAAAGACACACACACAGGTGTTTGAGGGCCCAAAAGTCCAATCACACCTGCACAGTTTTAATCTGAATATGCAGAATTACATATCAGCTTGATTTAAGGTCAGCCCCTTTAGTTTTTGAGTTTTTGGAGTCAAAAAACTACATTGACTCATTATTTTTCAGATGACATGATCTTTCATGCAAGAGAAGGTTAACCTTTGACCCGAGCTTTGGACCAGCTGACATAAATAAAGTCACGTGTGCAGAGGATATGGGCTTTAAACGATTATTCTTGAACCTAAAAATGTACGTACTTACAAACCCATGGATATGGTATTTTCTTTTTCCTCCATAAAACACTTTTTCTGCTTCCTGTAGATGCTGCTTGAACCACAAGAGGGCGTGCTGCAGCACAGAGGAGCCTGTCTCTTGCCCAGTCCCAATACCCACACTGCACCCTACGCCCTCCTATGAAGTGTGCATTTGTTTGAAGTGCGCGCAAGGGTTTGAGTGCGCAGGTTGCAAGCGTGCTCAAAAGGCAGAATTGGGACAGTGCACACTGAGTGCAGGTTACGTCATCGACTCGTCAAGAGATGGTCATTTTCAGACCTAAACTTTGTCTGACCCTTTGGGAAACAAATTGAATTGCTTCACACACGTTAAAATACATGTATATTAGTGGTTTCTAATTAGAGATAGCTGTATAATTTTAAGTTAAATGTGGGTAACTAACTATCTGGTCAGTTTTTATACATTCTAAGATTATTGTACTAAGTGTAAAGTTTAAATTGAATGTTATATGAACTCTTGCTTTAAAAAGTTATTAAATTGTTAAAACACAATGTCCGTAATTCTTCATCAGACGTTTATGCTTCTTTCCAAGTAACAGCAAAACTTATTTACACACATACTGCATATATATTTCAAAATGTATATTTAAATGCATTTTCCCGACGCTTTGGTGTGTACCGCAAAGAATTATGGGCAATATCCTTCGCCAGAGTGCGCATAGATGCAGGCTACGGCGAAGTGTGGATCAGGGGCGCAAAGGGGGCGGGGCCAAAGACCTCCCTGGAGAATTGGGACACCCTACGCACTCGCACCCTTTATCGGGAACGCGCAAATGAGGGGCGCGAGGGTGGAAGTGCGAGTATTGGGACGGGGCCTCTGTCTCTACGCTGACATCATGACGTCACTGAGCTGTGACGCACTATGTCACTGTGTGCTATATCAATATCATGCTTTAGCCTCTCGGAGTCTCGATGATATTACATTATGATTTACAGATCACGGGCTCGAGGTTTATTCTGGAAACCGGAAGTGCAGCACTATACACGTGACTCTCAGGTTGTGGTCACGTGACTGTGGTCAGGTGACCGGTGGATGGTGGCGAACATGAGTGTTTCTGTGGACATCAGGCTGAAGAGGGCCAACAAGGTCTACCATGAGGGGGTGAGTCTGCAGGGGTCTGCCAGGTTCCCGGGGACAGTCCCGGGGAGAGAGAGCGCTGTCTGCCCCCGGAGAGTCCGCGGGGCCCGGGACAGGACTCAGAACCCTCCACATCAAAAGTCAGCAGCAGAACAGTGAAAATGAGACCAAGGAAACAGTTCAGAGCGTTTCAGTTTACAGAGATTTAGAACGTGACTCTGTGAATGAATGAGAATAACATGTGAAACCCTTGTTCACTGATGCACAACATGAAGCTCTGATGAGGGCTTTAGTTCTTACTTTCTCCATAGTCCGAAGTGTCCTCACACATATGTTCTGTATGTGTATTTTTGTAAATCCCTTTACTCCCATATTTGCCAACACACACAAGTGTATTGTGTGTGTGCAGGCGACACACATGTAAATCTGTATTTGGTGTGTTGTGTGCAGGAGACACAAATATATGTTTTGTGCGCAGAAGATACACACAGATATAGATTGTGTATCGTGTGCAGGAGACACACACGTGTGTATATATATATATATATATGGTGTATTGTGTGCAGGAGGCGCTGAGTGGGGTCATCGTGCTGCAGTGTAAGGAGCCCCTCCCTCACCACGGGATCCTGCTGACCATGGAGGGCCTGGTCAACCTGCAGCTCAGCTCCAAGAGTGTGGGGGTCTTTGAGGCCTTCTACAACTCTGTCAAGGTACCTCCATCTCTGACAGAGCGCACAGCAGTCGTCTCTGTGGACTGTACAACACTGTCGATTCATCAAATTCAGATTCAGTTTATCTGCCGTTTCCATAAAACCACTTTGGAATAAATGTGCAAGAGTCCCCAGTGTGCACCAGACAAATACAAGAATTAAACAAGCTAAAAAAAAGTGCAGGAAACGATAGTCAGTGTGAAACCAATCATTAAAAATAGTTTCAATACAAGTGAAGACCATTAAAGTGCTTCGTTCAGACTGAGAACAGCTGAAAGAAGCTGTTAGCATGTTAGCAGGTTAGCATATCCAGATGTCCTGCATCTCAGCAATCAATATCTTCTGCCAGACGGAAGAAGCTGGAACATGGTTTTTCCTAGGGCCTCTCTCCTCAGTTCTCTTTCCTCTCTCCTTCTTTCTCCTCCTCAGTCCTCAGTCCTCAGTCCTGTGTCTTGTGTCCTCAGCCTATCCCGCTCCTGAGCAGCAGTATTGAGGTGGCTCGCTCTGGAAAGATCCCCGCGGGAAAGACGGACATCCCCTTTGAGTTCCCACTGCAGGCCAAGGGCAACAAGATGCTGTACGAGACCTACCACGGGGTCTTTGTCAACATCCAGGTGAGTCCACAGGTCCCCGGGATCCCTACGAGTCCCCGCTGTCCCTACGAGTCCCCGCTGTCCCTACGAGTCCCCTCTGTGGCTACGAGTCCCCTCTGTGGCTACGAGTCCCCTCTGTGGCTACGAGTCCCCTCTGTAGCAGAATGTTTTCATACAATTAAAGTTTTCATACAACTGGACGGTGGATACACAAATACATGTGTATTATATGTTCTCTACATGAAGTAAACAATTAACATTATAAAACTTGAAATACCAAAGTGAATATTTTCATGTTTCTTATTTTTGTGTGTCTCTCTGTGTATGTGTGTCTCTGTGTCTTCCCCTGTGTGTGTGTGTGTCTCTTTGTCTCTCTGTGTGTGTGTGTGTGTCTCTGTGTCTTCCCCTGTGTGTGTGTGTGTCTCTTTGTCTCTCTGTGTGTGTGTGTGTGTGTGTCTCTTTGTCTCTCTGTGTGTGTGTGTGTGTGTGTGTGTGTGTGTGTGTCTCTGTGTCTTCCCCTGTGTGTGTGTGTGTCTCTTTGTCTCTCTGTGTGTGTGTGTGTGTGTGTCTCTTTGTCTCTCTGTGTGTGTGTGTGTGTGTGTGTGTGTGTGTGTGTGTGTGTGTGTGTCCCTCAGTACACACTGCGCTGTGATGTGAAGCGCCCCCTGCTGTCCAAAGACCTGAGCCGCACCTGTGAGTTCATTGTCCACTGTCAGGTACGGGACGTCCCACTCCCTCAAGTTTCACATCAGGAGCGAGGAAGGCCCAGTTGTTAGCAAGCAGTTAGCAAGCTGTTAGCAAACTGTTAGCCAGCCTTTAGCAAGCTGTTAGCAAGATTATATTCAACTGGTTGATTTTAGCGCAGGTCAGACAGGGTTAGCTCGGGCTTCCTTCATCAAACTTATGTCAAGGCCTGACAACCTCTGTGTGTCTTTGTGTGTGTGTGTGCGTGTCTGTGTGTGTGTGTGTCCGCAGCCTCAGAAAGCCAAAGTATCTCCCTCTCCAGTCTCCTTCAGCATCACCCCGGACACACTTCAGAACAACCGAGAGGTGGGACTTTTACTTTAGAAAGATTACACTTAACATTCACTAATTAACTGCTAATTACTGCACCCTAACCCAATAGGAATGTGTCAGTTAGATGTAGAATAAGGACTAATGCTTAATAAATACCAATTTTCCCTCCTCCATCTTCTCTCTCCTCTCCTCTCTTCTCTGCTCCCTCCCCTCCCTCTCTTCTCTGCTCCTCCCTCTCTCCTCAGAGGGGAGCGCTGCCTAAGTTCCTGGTGCGTGGTCGTTTGGATGCCACGTCGTGTGTGATCAATCAGCCTCTGAGCGGGGAGGTGGTGGTGGAGCACTCGGACATCCCAGTCAAGAGCATCGAGCTGCAGCTGGTGCGAGTCGAGACCTGCGGTGAGTGCACCTGAAATGAGATGGATACTTTGTTGATCCCTGTTGATCACCCTTGTGCTGGAACATGGTGTTTGGGCTGAGCAAGAAAGTCTTGGGTTCGAATCCCGGTCTGAACTGGACCTTTCTGAGTGGAGTTTGCATGTTCTCCCCGTGTCTGCTTAGGTTTCCTCCGGGTATTCCAGTTTCCCCTACCACTAAAAACATGTACTGGCCCCGCTCCTATCTCTGTGTGGAGTGAGAGACTAATGCTCACAATTGTAAACCGCTTTGACTCTGGTCTGAGAAAGGCGCTATATAAATAAAGATTTCTTACTTAACTTATTTGATGATGGACAAACTGTGACTAGCAAAGAAGTCCAAAAACTGAACACCACTCGGGTTCAGATCAGGGCTGTTCTTCCCCTTCACCCATCTCCAAGTGTCATTGGTGTTTCCCACATGGGCGTCCCGGGTCGGTGCACTGTCCAGTACCCCTCCCAAGGACTCAAAGAAGGCCAAGTACTCTGCACTGCTGTCTCTCACAACAGTGAGAGACTTGTCCCCCACAACAGTGAGAGACTTGTCCCCCACCTCTCATCCATTCGGGCTGACGTGGGCAGTGGGCCCGGCCACCAGACGTTCGCAACCCCAGGCCTGGCTCCAGGGTTCAGCCCCGGCTGCGCCATGCCGGGCGACTTCACGGTTGTTGGTAACGAGCGATCCATGGTTGGCTTCGGACTGCGCTTTGTCTGACTCGTCACCCAAGACTTGTGTACCATGGGAGACCCTACCAGGGGCATAAAGACCTGTGTACCATGGGACATCCGAATGTCCAAACTATACCACTATATAGTGCACTATATAGTGGTCACGCTATTTTGTTGGGGTGTCCGAATGTCCAGAGAGAAAAAGTAGTGCACTGGAATTTTCCCACAATGCATCTCGATGCATTGGAGCTCCGCACTGGAGAAAAAAGTCCCAAAAAAATGTAAAGACCAAACAGACCTCTGATATGACAATAGAGGGGGGTATTTCCCACCTCAAATGTCGTTACAATTAACTTTCATGTCCTAATTAAAACGTTAATTCAACTTTTACCTTTAACCTCATCATGGCCGCTCCACTCCGTGATACTTGCTACTCAGGGACGCTTCACGTATGGCTTCACGTACAACTTCACGGCCTGAAAATAGTGTGCAGCGTCCGAGTTGCCATCAGAATGAGTCCACTCACTCACTCACTCACTATATAGTCCCGAACTATATAGTGAGTGGGCTGTATCCGAATTTCCACACTATGCCCTCTGATAGGGCATAGTGTGGAAATTCGGATACAGCCCAGGACTAATGTGATGGTACTTCCTGGTTCTAGTCAGTCCTGTCACTCCCGTATTCGTCCTGGAAACCGGATTTGTCCGGAAGTTCAGTTTGCGCATGTCAAAAAGTGTAATAAGTCCTTAAGTGGTGACTGGAAAGATGGTTAAGTTTAGGGTTAAGGCTGGGTTGGGGTTATTTTATGGGAATGTCTGGTTAAAGACCTTATGACGGGTTTGATTTATTTAGAAATACAGTTTTAATACCATTTTATATTAGAAGAGAACTACTAAAGGTTTCAAAATCAGTTGTTTTTTTTGTCTGATCCCCCCAAATCGAAATAACCCCATAGCAACGCCCTTAGAGACGAAAAAACTTCACAGCCCTTGGTGACGTCAGAACGGGTACGTTTCAACGCTGTAAGTTGTTTATAATTTGGTATTCATTCTTTTTTCGCGAATATTCAAGATGACAAGGACAAGGTAACTCTTTGTTGGCACTGAGATAGTCCAGTGGTTGTGTTGATGGACTGTCAATCCAGATACTGGGGTTCAAATCCCACCTCAAACACTTTTTCACTCTCAAACGGCAATTTATGTGTAATGAGCAATTGTCACCTGTAGAGGGCAGTATTGTGTTGGGCATCAGTGGAGAGAAGAGAGAAAAGGCAGTCCTGTGGCATAGATCCATGGTTTTCAATGCATGGGCGTTACCCGCTATGACGTCACACACAGGTTAGAGCATAGACAGCTTAAATTCATGAAAAACACGTTCTTTTTATAAAATATAGGATTTTTTTACAGGGGCGACAGTAGCTCAGTTGGTAGAGCATTACCCTCTATGCCCATGGGTCATTTTGGGGAACTTTCCTCGCCTGGTTTTCTTTGTGTATAATGGTTCATAAAACAGTCATCTTTTGATGCAGAGTCAAGCAGTATACTTTGTTTTTTTCAGTACAACCTGGGGTTTTAGAATATTCATATTATAAAGCTGTCATATGAATTATATAAAAATGATGGAATCATAAAGACAAAGAAAAAAATCAAACGGAAAATCAATTTAACAAAAATGTATTGAAAAAACACAATGAAATGCTATAAACAACTTTTTACACTGCATAGAAATGTTATTTATGGTCTTGGGGATAATGGGGGAAAAAATTGAATCTCTAACTATTATACTTTTTACAAAATTCCACTATAAAAGCAAAAAACTCTGTACTCCTGATGCCCTTCCTGAAGCAGTTTGTCTATAATGCTGGGGTTGCTTCTGTAGCACAGCTGTAAAAAACGTAAAACATAAGAAACTGAGCCAAAAAAAAAAAAAAATCAATTATTTATTTAATACATATATTTATATACATCATATACACATAATGTCATTTTACTGTATTTATTATCGTCTTTATCAATAATGCGCACTCTTCAGCCGGTTTTTGCAATCGCAGCTGTAGTTTCAACTGTGGGAGAACAAGGAAACGCAGAGGAGTGAGAGATCTCACTCTCTGACGATCTTTGGCAGTCCCCGTGTGTTTGTATCTCACAGCTGTTTGTACCTCACGGGTCATGCTTTGGACACGGACTTTCAGACAAACGTAGTTTATCCTCCGTGCATCGCACAGACAAATCGAAACTAGTTTCGGAAAGCCCTGATTACGTACTTCACAGAGGAAAAAAAAGTAAATTGCTACGTTTTACCGTTCGCGAGTAAATTGATCATTTGTAAAACATGTGCGCGTGCATCGGCACCGATGCACGCGGGCATATAGTGTTAAGCCCAGAAGGTTGTGGGTTCAATTCCCACCTCTGCACCTTCTCCACCGACTCCCACTGATGACTGCTGTCGTTGTGTCCTTGGGCAAGACACTTAACCCCACTTTGCCAAAAGCCCCCACTGAAAGATCAAGGCTATGCTCACACTCAGAGAGCAGCCGTCCTCCTGTGGACTCACCACCTGCAGAGGGTCAGTGAGGGGCTGGTGCTATGAGACTTGGGTGGCATCTCTGACTGCCACCCCCCTGACCCAGAAATGGATTAAAGGGTAGAAAATGGATGGATTTTTTTTGCCGGAATCTCTTTCAGATTGAAATTGTCATGCAATTTTGATATCCACAATTTTTTTTTTTTTAAACCCGGCATAAGGTCTTTAAGTTTAGGCGTGAATAGGTAGTTTTTTTTTTTTTTGCTTCCGTCCAGATTCCGTGACGTAATCTACTGCTGCGTATGCTCATTGGATCAAACTGAACTTCCGGACAAATCCGGTTTCCGGGACGAATACGGGAGTGAAGTACTAATGTGATGGTACTTCCTGGTTACAGTCAGGACTAATGGGATGGTACTTCCTGGTTCTAGTCTGGACTAATGTGATGGTACTTCCTGGTTCTAGTCTGGACTAATGTGATGGTACTTCCTGGTTCTAGTCTGGACTAACGTGATGGTGCTTCTAAATGCAGTATTCTTCCTGGTTTGATGATGAGCTCGTTGTTTGCTTCAGGTTGTGCGGAGGGTTACGCCCGCGACGCCACAGAAATCCAGAACATCCAGATCGCGGAGGGCGACGTGTGCCACGGTCTCTCTATCCCCATCTACATGGTTTTCCCCCGACTCTTCACCTGCCCCACCCTGGAGACCACCAACTTCAAAGTGGGTGAGTCTGCTCCAGTCAAACGCACGCTCATGGTTTGTATCGGTCTCTCTGTCTTCCTCTGTGTCTGTCTGTCGCTCTGTCTCTCTCTGTCTTCCTCGGTCTGTCTATCTTTCTCTAAGTGTCTGTCTCTCGGTGTAAAAGATGTGCATTGGAGAATCAGCAGAAACCTCATGCTTTACAGGCAATTGGTTTGAATGGGAGCAGTCAAAATGGCGGCTCTGGGAGTTTTAGTAGTCTCCTAGTGTTAATCAGAATTTGTTTTGTTTCTCTAGAGTTTGAGGTGAACATCGTCATCGTGCTTCAAGACGACCACCTGATCACCGAGAACTTCCCTCTGAAACTGTGCAGAGTCTGAGACCGGCTTTAGGGGCCCCTCAGACCTCAGTCCCCATCACAGTGCAGAGTCTGAGGCCTGCTCTGGGTCGTGGATTCCCTCCACATGGACTCACATCAGGGAGGGACGAGACAGTATCGCCCTAAATCACAGTTTTTATCTCTGAGGACTTTACAAAGCTGTCGATTCACCAACACAGATCAGAGAATCAATCCGTTTTAACACAGAAAATGCAACGATAACAAACACGGAGACGGCTCCATGGAGCGTTCTGGATCATCACGATCTGAAAAACCCAGAAAATGAGAAACCTTGAGACCAGGACCCTGACTAAGTTCCTTCTACAGGCTATAGATCCAGACTGTGTTTTTGGTTTATATTTTACCTCCATAAGATTATATTAGCATCTTAGACTGTGCCAAAATGTCTGGCCAATCTGAGTCTAGGCTTATTCCTCACATCCTGATTCAATGTGTGGGAAGAGAGACTATGAAGCCAGGAGGAGCCGACAGTACTTTTCTACTTTCTGACAATAAAATCCAGTTCATTTACAGGCGCAACCCAGACTTACTCACATAATTACAATGTGAGAGAAGGCTTATACCAGTTAACAGTAAAAGTTCAATCTTATGGTATGTCACTGGACATATGTGAAGCTTTAGTGATCATTACGGCTTGAAAAAACAGCTTGGATTAACCACTGACAGAGGGATTAATCCACCATCTGGGAATGGAAAGAGTATAACACAACTGCTAATCTACCAACACTCGGCTGTCATAAATCTTACTCCACACCAATCTGGCTTTTATGGACGAGTGGTGAATCGAAAGCTGGTGTTGGAGGGGAAAAAAAAGCAGGGTTAGGGTTCTACTTGTACAGGATGGTTCTGTGGTCAGTTGAGACTGTTTTAATTTATACAGTCCTGTGGGGGGTGGCAGCATCATGTTGTGGGACTGCTTCTCTTGCACAGGGACAGCGTTAAGAGATGGAGAAAAATAGTAGATTCTTGAAGTTTGGATACTGTAAATACTACGGAATCATAGTATTTGTGCTGCAGGATTACTATTACACTCCACTTTTCACTGATTTTTTTTTAAACGTAATTTCTTTCACGTCAGTTGTGTTAATTTGTCGTGATCTTTGGTCGTGACATGAAGAGTTAGTGCGAAGGTTGAAGTTGCACCAACACTTGCAGGGTTCAACTTATCAGATTTTAGCTGCATGAAACTGAAATGCAGAACAGTCTTTCTGAAAATGTGAGACAGGCTTCATCTGGGAACGTTCAAATCCAGGTTAAAGACAGTTTTGATCCACTACAACAGGGATTTTCTCTAATGTATTTTTTTGGTCCTTGTGCAGTTAAGACAAAAGCCGGTACTAAACAAAAGTATTTTATTGTATTTTGTATAAACAATGTACATGCAAGATTAAAATAAAGAATATAAAACTGGAGAATGTTTCATCAGAACATGTGATAAATGAGATAAAACTATAAAAGTAAAAGTTTGTGATTGGTGGATTCGCCGAGGGACAGGACTCAGGTGTGTGAGGACGTGTGATAGCTCTGTGTGTTGTCGTTACCTGACTGAAAGCTGTGTGTGTTATGACAAAAAAAACAGTTCCCCATTTAAACATGCAACTCAGATAATTACAAAAATGTGAATAACATCAGATAAAACTCAAATATTACAGGTTATAGATGTGTCTCTTTGGGGACACACACATACAGGACTCAGATGTGTCTCTTGGAGGACAGAGCAGGGAAGTCCTCTTGCAGCAGAGTGTGTTCTCTGCAGGTGGGACATGTGCTCTGCTCCTTCAGCCACGAGCGAATGCACTGAAATAAAAACAACATTCTGAGTGAATTGGAAAAATGTGAGGATTTGGGCCACAATTCAATATTGCTCTAAAGAAAGTTTTGTGATTTTCATCAATGAAACATGTAAGCCTCGCTCCAGCTGCTTCATTGTGTGTGTTACCTCATGGTGGAAGCTGTGTCTACACTCAAGCACACATGTGTCCTCTTCGCTCATGTCGTCGTGGCAGATGATGCAGGGATCCTCAGAGTTCAGCTGCAGACAACAGTTTGTTTATGATGTATGTGAGTGAGTGAGTGAGTGAGTGAGTGAGTCTCACTGCATTGACGTGCGGCGCTCGCAGAGGCTCCAGATGTTGCCAGGCCGAGGCAGCAGCCGCTAACTGAGCAGAGGACGACGCTGCAGAAGTCTGAGCTGAGTGAGCTCTGGAGCGGTTTCTCTCCTGAACCACACAAAAAGTACATTTCACAAGATTACCACAAAATAATTAGCATCGATTCTACTTGTTTTAGTGTCCAGAGAGAGAAGACAGACGGTGGCACTAAGCCCAACCTCTCCATGTGGAATTAGGGCTAACAGTGAAGGTTAAGAGCCACTGCCTCTGTCTGGGAGGGACTAGAACTCACTGCCTCTGTCTGGGAGGTACTAGAACTCACTGCCTCTGTCTGGGAGGGACTAGAACTCACTGCCTCTGTCTGGGAGGGACTAGAACTCACTGCCTCTGTCTGGGAGGGACTACAACTCACTGCCTCTGTCTGGGAGGGACTAGAACTCACTGCCTCTGTCTGGTAGGGGCCTGGAACTCTGTCTCTGTCTTAAGCCTAGTGTATACTTGCGCGGCGCGGAGCTTACGGTGGTGACGTGACGTCACTTGCGCAACGCGTGGATCACCGCAAGGGCCTTACGTAGCTTGCTGCGCACCCTCGAAATGTTCTAACTACATAAGGGTCGGCGTAAGGAATCTCCGCTGTGATTGGTCTGTGTGTGTATTGGAAGGAAGCATGAAGTGGCTGCAGCAAGGACATGGACGAGGCATTTCGGAGAAGACTGCTTTGTGCTTTGAAGGAAACGAAGGAAAAGCAGTTTGGGCTCAGAGCCTGATATACAGGAGACTGTGGACTATCTAACATATATATAACTTATAAACTGTGCAGTCGCTTCTTTTACACTGTTCCTGTCTTTGTTTGAATCTGTTCGTAGCTTATCGCGTCTGTTCCATTCCTCCTGCACTTGTTCATTTTTGCCTCAGATATTTACCACTTATTGTTTTGCTGTTTGTGCTGAATACAATTTAATAATAACTATGTTTCCAACAAGAACTGTGTCTTTATTCACAACATCACAGTCAAATGAGTAAAAAAATAATCAGTCCATAGAACTATCACATAAACCTACAGTAGAAACACATGTAATGAGCTCAAACTCTGTTTGTTCATGTTTTTGTTCTGAGAGGCAGAGACGCAGAGGCAGAGACGCAGAGGCAGAGACGCAGAGGCAGAGACGCAGAGGCAGAGACGCAGAGGCAGAGGGAGACAGAGGCAGTAACTAACGGCCGAGCACAGTGGATGGTGTACCTCTTGCTGGTCCAGGATGAGCTGGGTGACCCCACTGACCACGTCCTGCAGCCCCAGACTCTGCAGACCACCATTGGACGAGCGGAACCTCTGGATGTGTCCCGTCAGCTCCGACCTGCACCGGGACACAGCTCAGTACCTTTAACTTAGCATTTACCCCGATGTCAGGACTATAATCTGCTACTTTCATCAACTTCCTTCAACCCTGTGGCTTATTATAGCGATGTGGCTAATAAAAAAGATTCTACAGCGATCACATCCGCTGCTGCTAATGCTACAACAGAACACAGTTTAAAATTAAGATAAGAATTAACCAAAACCAATAAGTGTAATTATAAATAATAAATTAAAGCTTATGATCTGATTTCTGGGTTCTCTCCCCCGTTACGTTTATGAATGGATTAAGATGAGACATTGCAGGTTTTCCTATCGAGTATCCTCCTCCTCCATGGTAAACTCTGTGTCTTACCCCAGAGCAGGAGAGTCCAGTCCACAGGTGTCTGACCCTGAGCTTCTGCAGATACTAAAGGCAGTTTGAGGAGAGCGGTGGGTACCTTCTGGTGTCGGGGAAGATGGCCTCCAGGCTCTCCAGGGCCCGCTCAAACACTGTGGGTGCGGGCCCCTCCTGGGCCTTCCTTTGGTTCAACTTCTTCTTGACTGGAGAAGCACTAGCCCCAGCAGGTGGCGCAGTGGGGGGTGCAGCAGCCGCCTCAGGGAGCTGAAGGTGTGCCGTCAGAAAAGCCCAAAATGAAGTGTATTAGTGTATGTCATTAGAATGTTGTTTATAAGTTATAATTTTATTGAATCATTGGCTCCAGAAATCCTTCAGGGGGTTTTGTATGTTTATCCATTTTGCAAAGAGGTAGGTTGGGTCTTGTTCCTGTTCTGTTGCTTCCTTTTCCTGTTTAAGGTGTGTTTTCACTGTTTGTTCTCAGACTCACTTGAGGAAGCTGGGCTTGTGCTCGGTCTCCTCAAAAAGGGCAATCAAGTATAAAGAACGCCTGAACTATGTCGGTGTGTGAGATTTTGTCCAGGTTCAACTGTAGTTTAGAATCAGCATTCACAGTGTATTAATTACATCATGCTAAAGTTGGAGATTGTGATGCAACACTGACATTACCCCAGTGTGGAACGGATCACAGATCTCTATCAATATGAACGACACCCACAAGGCCTCAGAGCACAGGCCGCACACAGACAAATAAGTAATAATACATGTTTCAAAGTAGCTGCCAAAAGGCGTTCACACAAAGGTTTCTGCATTTTCTGTGTTGTCCAAAACCTGTCATAAAACCTGGGTATCACATGAAGTCTGTGGTTCTGTGTCTGAGCGTCACCTGCACAGGGGCCGGCTCCTCACTCACAGACTGCTGCTCACTCTGACGGCTCCCACTCTTCACCTCCTCCATCTGCCGCTTGTAATGGGCCTGCACCACAGAGAACAGAGAGAGAGGGAGAGAAGGAGAGAGACAGAGAGAATGATAGAGAGACAGAGAGAAGGACAGAGAGAGACAAAGAAGGAGAGAGATACAAAGAGAAGGGCAGTGAGAGAGAGAGAGGGAGAGACAGAGAGAGACAGACAGAAAGACAGACAGAGAGAGAGACAGACAGAAAGACAGAGACAGAGAGACACACTTTTGTGAATGAAGGTAAGGTTCACGTGATGTCCTCATGAGGAACAAATACATATTTTCTGTGTGACGAGAAGCAGTGGCTCCTGCAAACCTCCAGGACCTCTCACAGAGACACCAGAGACAGCACAGACACCAGCGACACCAGAGACACCAGAGACAGTGACACCAGAGACAGCACAGACACCAGAGACACCGGAGACAGCAAAGACACCAGCGACAGCAAAGACACCAGAGACAGCAGACACCAGCGACACCAGAGACAGCAGACACCAGCGACAGCAGACACCAGCGACAGCAGACACCAGAGACAGCAGACACCAGCGACACCAGAGACAGCAGACACCAGCGACACTAGAGACAGCAGACACCAGAGACAGCAGACACCAGCGACACCAGAGACAGCAGACACCAGAGACACCAGACACAAGAGACACCAGAGACACCAGAGACACCAGAGACACCAGAGACACCAGAGACAGCAGACACACCAGAGACAGCAGACACACCAGAGACAGCAGACACACCAGCGACACCAGAGGAAGTCTCACCTGGATGTTGGAGATCTTCTTCTCTATGTCCTGGCTCCCTTTCAACCTGGCCAGAGAGGGGTCCAGGCTGTGGGGGGGCAACCTGCACACAGAAGGAGACAGATGAGGACCATAAGGAGACAGATGAGGACCATAAGGAGACAGATGAGGACCATAAGGAGACAGATGAGGACCATAAGGAGACAGATGAGGATCAGAAGGAGACAGGTGAGGACCATAAGGAGACAGATGAGGACCATAAGGAGACAGATGAGGACCATAAGGAGACAGATGAGGATCAGAAGGAGACCGGTGAGGACCATAAGGAGACACGGGGAGGGCTGTGGTGCTCTGACCTGTCCCGGTGGAGGCCGCTCTGCTCCGGTCCTTCATGCAGAACCCTGAGCTGCACAGACATAGAACACTTAGTAAACAATTTTGATCGATTTCACAGTGGCAAGTGCAAGATTCTTAAAGATACTGTCGATGCTGAAGGGAGTATATAATTTTTGGACCAGTCTGGTTTAGCCACTATGGAATTTACAATGCACTTTACTTTATTTGGCGACTTCAGTTTTCTGTTTTTCTTCAGCCTCTTGTAGTCGTTGTCTCGCCTCCTTCTCATAGATCCACTGATATTCTTTATGTTAAATGATTATCTAGCAGTTCTTGAAATCTCATTGAACACGTTTTGCTAACTGCATCACGCTGATATTTTTTCTGGTACTGTAAAACATCGTCACATGACCGCCGCGCCCTCTACTGGTGACTCTTTGCACACACCACCATCAGCCAGAGTCATTGATTGACTGCGGAACCTTCCGCAGTCAACCATTGGTTTTGTATTTCTTTATTCCGTCATTTTTTTTGACACGTTTCACAGCTTTCACATTTTCAACAATTTCCACAAGTTATACATCAAAACGTTCCACATGTTTGGGAGATTATTGCTATTACTTTTGGGACTTCAGCGATTTCCGGTTTTTCCGCAATCGGACAAAAATCTGCATTGAGAATTCTGCAATGCATTTTAATAGGCCCATGCATTTTAATAGGACTTCAGCTCTTTCAGACATTTCTACAGTTTCAATGATTCAACAGTTTCAAGGATTCAACAGTTTCAAGGATTTCAGCAGTTTCAAGATTTCAAGAGTTTCAAGGACTTCAACAGTTTCAAGGACTTCAGCAGTTTCAAGGACTTCAGCAGTTTCAAGGACTTCAGCAGTTTCAAGGACTTCAGTGTAATCATGCAACCTAATAGGGATTTTTCCATGTAAACCAGTATAATGCAACTTAATAGGGATTTTTCCATGTAAACCAGTATAATGCAACTTAATAGGGTTTTTTCATGTAAACCAGTATAATGCAACTTAATAGGGTTTTTTTTCATGTAAACCAGTATAATGCAACTTAATGGGGATTTTTCCATGTAAACCAGTATAATGCAACTTAATAGGGGTTTTTACATGTAAACCAGTATAATGCAACTTAATAGGGTTTTTTCCATGTAAACCAGTATAATGCAACTTAATAGGGTTTTTTCCATGTAAACCAGTACAATGCAACTTAATAGGGATTTTTCCATGTAAACCAGTATAATGCAACTTAATGGGGATTTTTCCATGTAAACCAGTATAATGCAACTTAATGGGGATTTTTCCATGTAAACCAGTACAATGCAACTTAATAGGGATTTTTCCATGTAAACCAGTATAATGCAACTTAATAGGGATTTTTCCATGTAAACCAGTATAATGCAACTTAATGGGGATTTTTCCATGTAAACCAGTATTATGCAACTTAATAGGGATTTTTCCATGTAAACCAGTATAATGCAACTTAATAGGGTTTTTTTCATGTAAACCAGTATAATGCAACTTAATAGGGTTTTTACATGTAAACCAGTATAATGGAACTTAATAGGGGTTTTTACATGTAAACCAGTATAATGGAACTTAATAGGGGTTTTTACATGTAAACCAGTATAATGCAACTTAATAAGGATTTTTACATGTAAACCACTATAATGTAACCTAATAGGGGTTTTTACATGTAAACCAGTATAAAGCAACTTAATAGGGATTTGTACATGTAAACCAGTATAATGCAACCTAATAGGGATTTTTCCATGTAAACCAGTATAATGCAACTTAATAGGGATTTTTCCATGTAAACCAGTATAATGCAACTTAATAGGGATTTTTCCATGTAAACCAGTATAATGCAACTTAATAGGGATTTTTCCATGTAAACCAGTATAATGCAACTTAATAGGGATTTTTCCATGTAAACCAGTATAATGCAACTTAATAGGGATTTTTCCATGTAAACCAGTATAATGCAACTTAATAGGGATTTTTCCATGTAAACCAGTATAATGCAACTTAATAGGGGTTTTTACATGTAAACCAGTATAATGCAACTTAATAGGGTTTTTTTCATGTAAACCAGTATAATGCAACTTAATAGGGATTTTTCCATGTAAACCAGTACAATGCAACTTAATAGGGATTTTTCCATGTAAACCAGTATAATGCAACTTAATAGGGATTTTTACATGTAAACCAGTATAATGCAACTTAATAGGGATTTTTCCATGTAAACCAGTATAATGCAACTTAATAGGGTTTTTTCCATGTAAACCAGTATAATGCAACTTAATAGGGGTTTTTACATGTAAACCAGTATAAAGGATAACAGTTTAAAGGATATCAGGAGCTTCAAATACTTCAGGAGTTTCAAAGATGTGAAGAAGATGACAAAGTCTGGGATCGCGTCTTTAATTCAGACAGAAGACATGTTTTATTGTCGATGGTAGAGACAGCACGAACAGAGCACACGATCACAGATACAAGAGAATGCAAGTGTATTATACAGAGCGGAGGCATGGAGACCTCCAATCAGCAGCTGCCACGGTGTGCTTGTAGCTTGGCCTTCAGATAGACAAAACAAGGGAAAAGTACTGGCTTCTGCACATTGATAGAATGATGAGTTTAACTTTAACAAAAGTTGCTTCAAAGTGTTATGAAATCCCATATTCCCCCCTCTGGTCATACATTCACGTGTGACCATCAGGATCGATAAACAGCAACATAACATCATAACTCAATACTTCAAAAACTCAAACTCGGTACTTCAAAAAACTCAGAACTCGGAATACTTCAAAAACTCAGAAAACTCATAAAACATGTTCAGATCTTTCATAAAACTTGTCAACAATCTTCAGTAAAATACCAAACTTCATCAGTCGATGGTGTTTCCAGATATTGCTTTGAAAACAGTCTCTCCCACTTCTCCGTGTTGGTTTCTTCAGGCTGCATTTGTTGTGTCGAGCCATGAATTCTTCTGTGACGTGTCTTTCAATCACACGTTTCAGCTTCAGTGTCCAGATTCAGCAATTCAATTCAGTCCAAATTATGTCCAAATTCAGAAATCCAGATTGTTCCAAATTATGTCCAAATTGTGTAATCCAATTGTTCCAAATGATGTCCATCCAAAAGAGGACGCTGGTGTTGTCCATGTCTCAGCAGCTCACAGCCTGAGTGGAATCAGGGGATGTGCAGATTGTCCATGTGCTGATCCAGATGCATTCTCTTGAGGTTTTTCAGTTTTGGCTTTTAAAAAAAAAACACTTTTTGTGTAAAAAAAAAAGTCTTCTGTTCTCTAGATGTTGCAGACAAGGCCCGCATTCTCCACCACCTGAAGAAGATGACAAAGTCTGGGATCGCGTCTTTAATTCAGACAGAAGACATGTTTTATTGTCGATGGTAGAGACAGCACGAACAGAGCACACGATCACAGATACAAGAGAATGCAAGTGTATTATACAGAGCGGAGGCATGGAGACCTCCAATCAGCAGCTGCCACGGTGTGCTTGTAGCTTGGCCTTCAGATAGACAAAACAAGGGAAAAGTACTGGCTTCTGCACATTGATAGAATGATGAGTTTAACTTTAACAAAAGTTGCTTCAAAGTGTTATGAAATCCCATAGATGTTTAAAGTATTTTAACAGTTTCAAGGATTTCAAGGATTTTTCAGCTAAATTCCACATTAGATCTGTTCCGCAGTCAATCGCAATGGCTTCAGCCATTGCAAGTTTCTAGTTTTGATTTGCCGATGGTCGTTAACAGCACATGCATCCCTAGTTGAACCGTTTGTCTGATCTGTGTTTTATGGCAATACAGAAATACATAGAATGGAATAGAATATTGTAAACAGAAACTTTATTGCCTTACATCATGGGTCTCTAACCTGTAGCTCACCACACTCTTCATTGCAGCTCCCCAAAGAATCATTTTATGAGTAAATATAAACTTGATTCTTTTATGCGGTTAACATTATGCAACACAAAATTCCAGAACAAAAGTAAAAAAATCCCCAAATTTGGCTCAATGGATTAGTCTCGAAACAAGATTTGCCAATTGAACATGGAATAAAACATTTTAATATCTGGGCTGGAAATAAAACAAAACAATGGAACAACCAGTTTTAAAGAATGACTAAAAGTTTTCAAATTGAGTTAAGTTCATCCATTATAGCGTGTGCCAGTGAGGTCCTGACCCCTGCCTCACACAGCTCACACTGAGGGGCTGTACCTGAGCTGCATACGACCTCTTGGAGGCTTTGGCCGCGGCGTCTTTACAGCGTTTGAGCTCCTCCTCCAGACGCAACTTCTCTGCAGCCGACTGGTTACTACAGGAGCAGAGGAAGCAGACATAAGCCTCAAGTTTCTTCAATCTGCATCATTTCACAAACTCACTACAATAAGAGGAGAATATGCAACAAAAAAAACAACAACAAAAACTACTCCAAAGAGAGACTTAATGGATCCATGTTTTTGACCTGTTCTTCTGGACTCAAGGAGGAGGTGGACTTTTTGTCATTCTTTTAATATTTACACTACATTGAGACTTTTTAGTACTGGTTTGCAGTTTTTTATGCGTTTAATACCCATGGTCTAAATTAGGAGTGTGACGATATATCGATATTGTGATGTATCGTGATAGTTTCTCACACGACCGATTATCGATATGCTTTTGCCAAGTATCAATAAAAAAAATATGTATATTTTTAAAATCCTTTTTAAATTAGTATCAATACTTAATATATGGCTATGTTACGCATTTCCATTCCATTTATAATAATCTGCTTCGACTTGAACACATTGGCAATATCTGTGTCAAAGAGCAAAAAAACACATCTCCATCTATCAGCTGCTGCCAACAGACCATATGTATGGAGGACCGTGGCTGCCAAAACAATAAATATATAAAGAAATAAATAAATAAATAAATTTAAAAAAGATAAAATTTGCAAAGAAATGCATGCAATTATGAGAATAAGTGCATTTATTTCTGTATTTATTTATTTATTTATTTTTGTATTTATTCATACATTAATTTCTGCATTTATACATTTATTTAACTATTTCTGTATTTATTTATTTCTCTATTTATTTATTTTTGCATTTATTTATTTATTTTTATATTTATTTATTTTTTTCTCTATTTATTTCTGTATTTATTTCTGTATTTATTTCTGTATTTATTTCTGTATTTATTTCCGTATTTCTCTTAATGATATGCAAGTCATGGGGCGGGCCGGGATGCCTCTGCTGTAAGCTCATTGGTTAATCTTTTTCCTTGCTCCATAGCTTGTCCAGCAACGGCGGTCCTGTTGAGATCACCACACTCCCCTCCACACTCGCGCCACCGTTTGTACCATGAATATGGCTCGGTCAGTGCTGTGGCCGCGTCCACTTTTCAGTCTCTCTCAGCCTTCACTGAAAGCTCCCGTGTCTGAGTGTAAAACACACACTTCGAACGCGGGGTTTTTCGGCGTACTTCAGCGCTTTGTAGTAAAATACACACGAGCACCTGTCACTGCCTTTGCCAAAAGCCTCTCACGAGCCGGACAGGGAAATGAGCATGAAGAGGCCGACATTGTGGACTCTCAGAGCGGAGGATGATCGTTAATACTCCTCTATCATATCAGCTATGTTTTATTTTGTGCCCAGACAACACGAGAGCCGTGCGCAATTGCGCACGAGCGCAGTTAGAGGGAACCGTGCCTGAGAAAGAGAGAGAGGGATGAAATGCCACCGGTCCCCTCTCTCGGTGTCATGGGAGGAAATAGTTACTTGTTGTGGAGTTTGGGCTGGTCTTTAATCGGGCAGAAAGCACAAAAGTAACACTGCGCAAATGAGTGATACATAGCCTATCTTTGCCCAATTTGTAGTGGCTTCTCGTGGTTATACGGCGTATACCTGCGTATCGCATAGGGTACACCACTGATTGTAGAGCAGTGGTGTTTGTGAGCACCCCAAAGCGCCCTAATATTTTTGGAATTTGACCTGTTCTCTCACTTCTTTTCATGTTAATAGTCTGAAAAGAACACAGTGATCTCAACATGACCGCCGTTGCTGGACAAGCTATGAAGCAAGGAAAAAGATTAACCAATGAGCTTACAGCAGAGGCATCCCGGCCCACCCCATGACTTGCATATCATTAAGAGAAATACGGAAATAAATACATAAATAAATAGAGAGAAAAAAAGAAAAATAGAGAAAAAAAAAATAAAAAAAAGAGAAAAAAAAAATAAAAAAAAGAGAAAAAAATAAATAGAGAAATAAATAAATAAATACAAAAATAGAGAAATAAATGTATAAATGCAGAAATAAATGTATGAATAAATACAAAAATAAATATATAAATAAATAAATAAATAAATACAGAAATAAATGCACTTATTCTCATAATTGCATGCATTTTTTTGCAAATTTGATCTTTTTTAAATTTATTTATTTCTGTATATATTTATTGTTTTGGCAGCCACGGTCCTCCATACATATGCTGTGTTTGAATCCAGAGTGGAGAATTAGTTAATAACTTAAACTTATAACTATTTTGTGTTTGTTCAGATTGCTTTATTAAAATATTTCTATAACAGCATATTTCCGACCAATATATCAATAATCGTCATATCGTGATATAATCGTTATTGTGAGCTTTGTATCGCTTATCGTATCGAATCGTGAGGTACCCCGAGGTTCCCACCCCTAGTCTAAATGTCACATGTTGTTTCTGCCTGTGTTTTTTATCACAACAGTTATTTTTTTAACCCGTTTTGGTTAGGAGGGATTATCATTCGTACATAAGCTTCTGACTTATTTTGTAGCTCTTTTATTATTATTTTTTATTCACGATTCAGAGCGGACATAATACCTGAGTTTGATGAAGTCCTGCAGTTGGGTTTCACGTGCAGACTTCTTCACACTGATGCTCCTCTTCAGTCTGAGAACACACACATTAAGGCAAATGGATAAGTGTCTTTGTGCACAGCCTGCTGGTCACACGCCACCTCTGCAGCAGTGACACATGGAGGCTTCACACAACCAGCTCCATGGTCAGCTGTTATTGTTGTGTGGAGGAGTCTGTCTGGATGAGAGGCCTCTGACAGAATCCTCAGGCTCAACGACCAGTGCAGCAACATTTATGTGCATGTAAGTGGAGCACATAACCAGACAGGAGGAGGGATGAGGAGGGCCCTGCCGATCTGCTCTTTGAGTGTGAAAACCGGATATGTACCAAACCGGAGCCTGTACTAATGGCTGTATGTCCTGTCCTCTATGACACACTAATATAAATGATCCATTATAAGCATGTAATGACTTTGGCTTTCTTTTCCTTCCTTGTTGATCCAGTTTCAGTGGTAGGTTTTCCCTGACTATGGTACCTCTGCTGTTCCTGGTGCAGCGCCTCCACCTCCTGCTTCATCGCCCTCATCTGCTCCTGGTGCTCCTTCTTGTCCTTTTGATCCCTCTTCAGCTCCTCCTCCAGTTTGTTCTGAAACAGACCGAGCTCCTGCTGCGTCACCTGCGTCACACACACAGTTTTTACTCTTTCAATGAACAGCAGATTGTACAAAAGTTCAGAATGAATGTGTGTGTTTGTGTGCGACTGATGGAGACCAGCCCATGGTTCAATTTTAGTAGTAGGGGAATCCGGAGCACCTGGAGGAAACCAACGCAAACACAGAGAACAAGCTAACTCATACTCAACAAGCCATCTCGGCCTGGTGCATCTCGGCCTGGTGCATCTCGGCCTGGTGCATCTCGGCCTGGTGCATCTCGGCCTGGTGCATCTCGGCCTGGTGCATCTCGGCTAGACACTAGAACTCCCAGAGCAGTCAATTTGACAGCTTTTAGTTTTGGAAGTGTAATTACTCAGTGTAGGCACCTTTATAGTCCTCTTAACTGACCTTTACTATGACAACACGTTTAACTCCATTGTTTTGAATTTGCTAGTTACCATAGCAAAGCACTGTTTACTTGCAGCCGTTAGCATTTAGCCCTTCAACAAACCGTTTTGTTGTATGTCAAGTTATCTTAACCAGTTAAGCACTTATGGTGACTAAAGTCAAAAAAGAAAAAAGTAATTAAAAAGAAAAAAACACATACTTTGGGGAAAATGTATCAAAATATCAATGGTTTGAATGGGAGCAGTTCAAAATGGAGGGAGTTGGATGAGAGTTCTAGTGTGGATTGAAGTGACAGAAGGGTTTTTTTTTTTTTTCGATAATTGCCGGCACAATACCAGGAATCCTAAAGCTAAGATCAGGTGTCATTCCTGAGAACCGCCACACGAGGCAGTGCAGGGAACTACACAGGACAGGTTTTGTCATGGGGCTCATCAGTGCCAGAAGAAATCAGTGTAGATATGGATGGAGCAGATGTGTTTTTTGATGAGGGAACAGCACTGAATGAGTCATGTCAAAGATTTTTCTGGTGTCTGTTACCTGCATGAAGGAGAGTGACTGGTCCAGCTCCTCCTTCAAAGCCTGGAGCTCCTCCGCCCTCTGCTGCCTCCTCTTCTCCCTCTGCTCGTCCGTGGAGTTTATCTGCTGCTGCATGTCCTGCTGCTGCTTCATCAGGACGATGAGAGCCCCCTGTCACAATACAACAGCTATTACAATATTCCACGCACACAATATCGTCTGAAACCTCCATGAATCTTGGATTAGTTCTTAGCTCTTATTCCCGCCTTCTCTACAACGAAAAACTACACTGAAGATTTATCATTTTTTCAGTCTCAGCATTTCATTTTGTGTCTTTACGCTTCATTTAATTGTTGTTTAATTTATTTAGTGCTGTTTAGTCTTAGTATGTATGACACCCAAGAACACATGGGGCACAAAAGGAGTATTAAAATGCTCATGTGAGCCTACTCCCTTCAGTTCATGAGATCATTATTGAGGGTGACACCCGTAAAGTATATTATAAATACACAGAAGCGTAGACTTAAAATCTCATGTGTTCGAACATCACCACAACCTGGAAACTATCGTAACCACACCTCTCCTACGAGGAAATAAAAAGGTTGTTCCCAGACTTAGACTAATAAGGATAATCTGAAGAGTTTTCGGTCCAAATTCAAAAAATACATCTCCCTACCCTGTTCTTATGAGATTTTTTTTTTTTTTTTTTGTAAATTAAATTTTATAGTATTCAACACCAAGTAAAGAAGTAACAGTTGGTAATAAAACAATTAAACAAAAGTAAATACAAATTATTATTATTATTTTTTTCCCCTTTACCTCCCGCATTCCTCCCTCCTCCCACTCCCATCCCCCCCCCCCTCCCCCGAGTTGTCCTGCTATAGGTTTTGCCCGAGACTACGAGCAGTATTTGTTTCACATATGTACTCTGCTTTTTGAGTTCTAGAAGATAGATAAAAACAAGAAATACAACAGGAAAACAGAATAACAAAATAATGATAACAATAATAACATTTTGAATTAGGATCATTAATATGGGAAAAAACAAGATTGAAAATAAAAAGTAACAAAATAACATACAGGAAGATCTCAGATCTTTAAGCCATGTGGATACTTTCGGAGCTGTTGTCGATTTCCATTCTAGAGCAATTCTTCTACGTGCGAGTGGTGTTGCAAATGCAATGCTCTTGATGGGTCTTTAGGCTCTCAGGTGAGATACCAAAGATTGCTAGTTCAGCACATGGTGTTACTGATATGCTTAAGGGCTCTGACAGATGTTTACAGATCATGGTCCAGTAGTTTATATTTAATAAGAAATTAATCGTACATTTAGTTCCAAGACTTATTTAGAAGTGCCTTTAATTTCAGCTACAGCTACAACTTCTGCTATATATTCATACAAGATTAGTTTGGTTTCTAGATTAGAACTACAAAAATCTAATTGTGCAAAATATTTCTTGGTTCTAGTATTTTGTTCCGAGATGCTTTCAGTAGAACCAGGATGTGTTTGTGTGTCTTCCCTGGTACCAGAGGACATCAGCACCGCGACATTGGACCATAATGACCCTCACCTGGCTAATTTCAAAGCCTGGGATGGCCTCCGTGTTGACCGCCACACAGGACTGCTCCACGGGGATGACTCTGGGTTCAGGGCTGTCCTGGACTGGAGGCTGGTCTGGACTCGCTCCCTGGGGATCTGTGGGTCTGGATGAGCTGGCCACTGGGGGTGAGGGGGGCTCCGGTGCACTAGGGTCAGTGTACAGGTCGAATACAGGGGGGCAAGGCAGATTGGGGCATGTCTCTCTGAGGCGATTATAAAAGGTTGCATCATAAAGCGAAGAGTTAGCGTCTAAAAAGTCGTCGAGCTGGTCCAGACTGTCGGTCGCCTCTGCTCTGGCCAACCCAATATTTGACCCAATCTTTGTGAAGACCGGGGAGGACAGAAGAAAAGCCTCCAGTCCCCCTGCTGCATGAATCTTCTGCTGAGCCACTACCGGAAAGTTCTTTATCTCTCCAATGAGTAAAGGATAGTCTGCCGCCAGAGGACCGTGCTTCTCCAAAATCTGTTTAAAATATCTGACAAAGAAACAGCATATTATTAATGTCATAAATTGAATAAAAGTGTGAATACAGCTTGAACATTTGCATATGTTACAATCAAGTCCAGAACCCAGGCCACCTCAACAGGCTCCTCTAAAGCGGCTCTATCCCGAGCTCCTCCCATGTGACTGAGCTCATGTGGACCTCTTGTATCCGCGATCTCGTCCTTTCGTAGATCAACCAGAAATGGATAGCTTTGCCTTTCAATTCAGCGTCCTCAGTCTGCACTACAATAGTCTGATACAGCTCTGACTGCAGACGCTGCTCCTTCACTACAACAGTCTGATACAGCTCTGACTACAGACGCTGCTCCCTCTTCACCACCAAAGTCTGATACAGCTCTGACTGCAGACGCTGCTCCTTCACTACAACAGTCTGATACAGCTCTGACTACAGACGCTGCTCCCTCTTCACCACCAAAGTCTGATACAGCTCTGACTGCAGACGCTGCTCCTTAACTACAACAGTCTGATACAGCTCTGACTGCAGACGCTGCTCCTTAACTACAACAGTCTGATACAGCTCTGACTACAGACGCTGCTCCCTCTTCACCAACCAAAGTCTGATACAGCTCTGACTGCAGACGCTGCTCCTTCACTACAACAGTCTGATACAGCTCTGACTGCAGACGCTGCTCCTTCTTCAATACAACAGTCTGATACAGCTCTGACTGCAGACGCTGCTCCCTCTTCACCACCACAGTCTGATAGAGCTCTGACTACAGATGCTGCTCCCTCTGCACTACAACAGTCTGATGTGTTGAGCCCCAAAAATGAATATTACGCCTTGAGCTATGAGTCCCTGGCACAAACCTAAATTGGTTTAATCTAGAAATTCCAAAGAATGGAGTACTTGGTTGAGATTGGAAACATTCCTATGCCGCTTTTCCACAGTATCAGTACGGTACAGTACAGTACGCTTCAGCGCGGTTATTTTGCGTTTCCACTAGTAGATGGTATGGGAGATTTGCGTGCTTTTCCGTACTGCCTCAGCCGTGCTTCCACCCCATAGTACCGGTGCCATGACGTGACGTCGGCCCACTGCCTTACACTGATTGGTCAACGAGTGTCGTCACTGGAGTTGGAAAAACAACTCAACCACCACCTTTAAAACCGGCTGCTCTGCTCTGCTCCGGCTACCTTACGTCCTCCTCACTCCAGAGAAATGGAATCGCACAGAAAGCTCCAAAAGTCCTGGTCCTGGTCGGTGGACGAGGTCCACACGTTCCTCTCTTCAGGCCAAAAGAAAGAATTCAAATTCAAAGGCAGCTCGAGGCTCAACACAGTTTTCAGGAGATCACCCAGCTCTGGATTTGTGACTAGTCTGTGGTAATCCTGGAAATAACTGGTTAGCTACAAATCCCGTTAAAGCTCTCACTGAAATGTTTTTACTGTGTACATGTTTGATTGTCTGTTGTACAGTGAGCTAGCAACATTTAGCTTCATTTAGCTATCGATAGCAGCTAGCTAACGTCTTTCCTGTGCTACTGTGCTTTATCTCGTATTATCTGCAGTATTCACGTGTCGTCATTCTATTTTGTGCTTGTATTTAAGTTGTCGTGTGTATATTTGTATGAGAATCCCTTTGTATGAGAAGTGTGGAGATTACCAACGAGCAATGAGACCGGAGTATTCTCCTCTTCTGGTCTCAAACATACGTACCGTGGACTTATTTTGCTTACTTTTATACGTAATTTGAAACTGATGGTTTTGCACTTTACATTTGTTTTTAATAAATCTGTGATTGTATCCCAAGACTGTTTCATTAAATTATAAAGGATTGTGGCAAGTCTAAATCTGTATCCGGTGGGCATGTTTTGATTGTTATCACTCTGCGCTCTGTTTGCATTAACCTATGATAAATCCACGTATTAGTCTACAACAAGCTAACTTTGTAAGCACTCTGAATCAACTGTATTGTAGCTGAAGTTTGGGCATCGGTTGTTTGTCTGGTCTCTGAGTCTGCTGTACTGGACCCGGGTCCGGACAAGCCTAGCCTAGCCTAGCCTAGCCGCTAACTCGCTACCCCTATGGCTGCTTCTGTCTATTCCTCGGTCCTTTACGGCTCGATTTGCCACATGACGAGTTTAAACCCTGGATCCTCCTCTGAGTGTAGTGATAGATGTGTTAAATGTAGTACAGTTGTAGCTTTGGAATCCAGGGTTAATGAGCTGAGTCTCGAGCTAGCGCTAGCATTAGCTATAGCCAGGCCGTATCCTGATCCTCGGACAAGCAGCCCTCCTCCTCTGCTACACAGGCTGCTGTTGCTACAGGTCCCATTCAGATTGTACAGAGCAGTCAGCACCATTGACTTCACAGTGTCCGAGTCATTCTTTTAAGACATAAGCATTTTCAAAAACCACTCGTGCTGTGCTGAATTTTCTATTAAACACTTGCTGTCCGTCTGATAAATCCAAGCACCGCACCAATACTAGTTACGCGTCACGCGTAAATGACGTGGTCTGACAATGCTGAGGACATACTAGGGGGTACTATTTTTGATGGAAAAGCACGCAAACCGTGCCGCGCCGTTTAGAGTCGATACAAAGCGTACCGTTACTGTGGAAAAGCGGCATTATATGACCCTGCCTTGTGGAGTGCCACAGGGGTTGATCCTGGGACATGCAGTCGTTAGGTAAGCAGTACCAACGTATCCCATCACAACTACGCAGACCAAACTCACATCTGTGTCTCACTGACTGCAGGAGAACATGGACCTTTGAACTCACTCCTTCACTGCAAAGCATCTTTCTTTAGCAAAACTCAGACAAAACTGAAATGGACTGATGGACACCTGAATTTCTCCAACAGGGATAATTAAAGTATCCATCTACCTTAGTGTGGCTAGAAGCTCCCAGTCTGAATGCGCTTCAAGAGCAGCAGTGCAAATGTAATCGCCATACTCACTCGTATAAAACGGCTGTAGATAACGGGGGGGGGGCGGCCGAAGCCTGATTAGTAGGACTGCCATTATTCCTGCTTCTATACGGGTCTTCAAAGTCGGTCAGCAGGTGGCGAAGGTGAGGGGGAACACTGAACGGCTCTTCCAGGAAATTTCTGAGGGAACGCACTCAGAGTCAGAAAACTGCAGCTAAAGAAGAATCACAACAGAGAAGAGAGGAGGCGTACAAAGAGTCGTCTTCCAGCAGACCAGAGTCCCAGTTATCAGCTGCAGCACCTTCCAACGGGTTCGGAAACAACGGAAAAGCCTGCGGAGAACCAGAGTCACATTCAGCACCGCCCACTGTCCATGTGACGCAGCACTTCTTACCTTTGGGCACTTTTTCTTTTTGACCCGATGTTTAGACTTAGAAGGAGAACTCTGAGGAGACAACAGCCTTTAGCTTCACAATTCAAATCATATGTGAAAATATTAGGGCCGGGACTCGACTCAAAAATTTATCCAATTAATTGAAGGCGTTGTAATTAATTGCATATAAATATTTTATCTCAAAATTATATTCACATATTTTTTCCTATTTATTTTTAGTGTGACATTGAGTAATGACGGAATACAAACGCCAAATATTTTTGTCCAACCGACCAGTGCAGCTTTTGCCAGTAGGTGTAGTAATTATATTTTTATATATAATATTTAGAAATATAATTTCCACTGTGCCCACCAGACCGTAAGTCTCTTAAGGCGGTCCCCCCAGGTGATTAAGGCGGTCCCCCCCTTGTCCCCTAAGGCGGCTCTCCCATGTGATTAAGGCGGGCCCCCCTGGTGATTATGGTGATTAAGGCGGTCCCCGAGTGATTAAGGCAGTCCCCTAGTGGAGTGTGGCTCGGTCAGGCTAACATCCATGCTAGCTGGTCTGTGTTAAGAAGTGACGTGCACTTATTGACGCTTCCATCTGTTCAATTTAATAACATTTCCCAAGATGCTAACACATGCAGCTTATTGCTTCATGATCACTGTGGTTTGTTGTCGTCCGCCGCAAAATTTGTCCAGCAAAGTAATCCCAATGACAAAGGTTCCGCGGGAAAAACTTGAAAACTAAACACATTTAAGTCCCGGCCCAAGAAACAATCCATCAAACCAGCAGTCACTTACTAAATCATTATCTTCAGGCTTTTTTAAAACTGAACAGTGGCCATCTGAAGATTAAAGCAAAGAACATATGATGTAGGGAGTCACTTTAAGACGACAGACTGTGTGAGTGAAGGCTTTACCCATCAAATCAAAGTATTGGTCGAGTATTGAGTGGCAGGAGGTGTAATGGTGGCGGTGCTCGTCCAGGGCCCAGATGAAGAGCCGGATGTCCTGGGGTGGACTCTGGAGGAGGTACTCTGTGAGTGTGACGCCCAGAGAGGAGATGAGCTCAGGCTGACTGTCCAGCTTCTCCATCAGGATCCTCCGTACTGGGCTGAAGTGCAGCAGCAGCGACAGGTCCAACTGCTCCAGCTCCTCGTAGTACTGCTCCAGGAAGGACGGCGCCGCACTCAGCCCTGGGAACACGACCACACTGTGACGTACACTGACCCGCCCGGTCCTTCACGGACCCGCTCAGTCCCAACCTAGACCCGCTCTGTCTGTATGTATAAATTTTGGCCAAGAGTGGTACTCTCCCACTCCCACTCTCCCTGACTCAGGTTGCCAGATATGCAGACGAATCCAGCTGGGACCATAACAGCTGAATAGACAAGAGTTTTATCAACAACATATCTATAACCAACACCTTTTTCACAAAGATAAAAATCCTGGTTTTAATCTCACATGGTACTTTACCAGTGAGAATAGCTCAGTGCGTGGAGTTCTGGCGCCCGGATTACAGACTTTCTGATTGGTGAAACGGTGGAGGGCGGGACATCGAAATGAAAATAACAAGATTTAGGGGTTGTAAAACTATTTTTGAAATTCAAAACTACTGTTATCAGTTGAAGAAGTTTTGGAAAAGAGCATGTTTTATTAATGCCTTTTGACAGATTAGGGCCATTTAATGATGACTTGACATGAAAATCTCACATATTGCTACTTTAAAGTTTGATATCCACTAGAGGGCCACAGAATACATTTGTGTTTTTAGACCACAGATTACGTAGATCATCGAGTGTAAATTGGAGAGAAGAATTGACCCCCTGAGTCTGACCCACACTGACCTGCACGGTCCAGGCGCTGGGCCCAGCCGCTGACTCTGGGCTGCAGGTCCACAGCCTCGCTCAGGGCCTGGATGAGGAGGCGGGCCCACACACGGTTCCTGCCCTCCAGCAGCAACTCCACAGCGGCTCCCAGAGTGGCTGCCGGCTCCTCCAGGCACAGCAGAAGCCTCTGAGCCACATCACTCCCTCTGTACAGGTCCAACTGCAGCCACGGCCGGAGCCTACAGCCCAGCGCAGACACACATGTGCTGCTCTCCTGCCGCAGCACCTCCATGTTTTGGCTGATCTGCAGCAGCACGTGGTCCCTGAAGTGGAGACGAGCTGCAGAGACAGAGTGGACACAGACCACACCTTAGAGTGAGCGTTTGAACTGGGAACGGGCAGAAATGTGGCCCAAATATCACAGCACTATCCTATCGTCACAACTCAATGTTAAAGGAGCAATATGTAAAAGTCTGGCCAAACTGCAGCCTCTCCCACTCTCCCTGACTCAGGTTGCCAGATATGCAGACGAATCCAGCTGGGACCATAACAGCTGAATAGAGAAGAGTTTTATCAACAACAAATCTATAACCAACACCTTTTTCACAAAGATAAAAATCCTGGTTTTATTCCTTGTTTTGTCGTTAATGATTTGAGAATCATAACAAAACCTTTTTTAGTTCTGTGGCCGCATGATACTTTACCAGTGAGATTAGCTCCAAGCGGTGAGTTCTGGTGCCTGGATCACTGATTTGTTAAACAGAAAGTCAAGATTTAGGGGCCGTTAAAGTAATTTTGAAACTATTACCAGTTAAATAAGTATTGGAAAAGAGCATGTTTTATTATTTTGACAGATTAGGGCCCTTTAAAAATGACTGGACATGACAATCTTACTTATTGCTACTTTAATGCAATTCTCAACATATGGTGATACGAGTATTGGTATTTGATTCAGCAATATATTTCGATTCATGTCCTTCGTATTATTCAAAAACATTACAAACATGGAGGAAAATTAACTGCTCCACTCAAATTTGACATTTATTATGGTCTGTACATGAACTGAAGCAAACATTGAGGAGGGAAGTGCAAAATTGTGATCCTTGAACATTCAGCACCTTAGTGCAAACATAATAATGTTAAAAGGACGGAGCGTCGTGTGGAGACTGTTGTGATGAAGACATTTTCATGAGAACTTCCTGTTGAATTAATGCGCAACTAAACTACGAACACGCAAAAGTGTCACAATACTACTGTACCACTTATTGTAGTCATGTGCTGAACAAAATAGTCAACACACGTATAAAGGAAACATGGACAAGCTTCACTTAAGGTATAACAACTAAGTATATAACAACTGAGTACTTTTGTAAAATCCAGCCAATGATGACCACATGAGAGGGACTTCTGAGAGAAGCGAACAAGACTGATTTGTTTTGTACATGGTCCTCCTCACCTCTAGGTGGTGTCTTGGGCGAGGGCTGCAACTGTGCCGTCTCTGAGCTCCCGCCTTCAGCCTGCTCTGCCGTCTGCTTATACTGCTTCCTCTTCACATGACGCTCTTCTTTAGACTTTAACTTCTTTAAACTGAGAAAACATGTAGTTTCCATTCACTTAGGATTCACTTTGACACTGTCTCTTATCACAGGTTTGACCTTTTACACCACAATGGACATTAAATCAAACCAAGACCATGCATGTCTAGAGTAAGCAGTATTTTATGGAAATATGGGGTAGTAATAAACAGTCTGTGTGTCCCAATTTGAAAAGCCTGAAGTGAAGGAAAAACGCACATCTGACCTTCTATCAGCAGATATAAGTCAAGAGTTCTTTTCAAATGCATTTGTAACTGTTCCTGTTCATTTTTCAATTCAAGATCAAAAAGAACTCAATATCAATTCAGTTCAGTTTAGTTTTGTGTTGCCCTAAATCACAGCAGCAGATGTAGTCTCATTCCAGGACTCATTAGGGCCGCTGCCGTAGAGACTGACCAAATTATGTTTTACATCTGGCTGGTCTGCAGACTGCGTTTGCAATAAAAGGGCCACTGCTCTGGAACATTTTATCTGCAGAACTGAAATCTCTAACAGACCTGAATGAGTTTAGAAATTAAAGTTAAACAATGGCTCAAAAGGAGCCAAACACAATGCAAGACTAGTCTATTGCAAATATTCTGTACTGTGTAATCTGTGTTTTTATAATGAGCTATGAAAACGTGATGTATTTTTATGTCTTAGGGACCAGGTCTGCAGATTAGGTCTGTTAGCTGTTAGCATTTAGCTATACGGCTATGAACATGGCATTGGTTACCTGTAACAATGCTTTTTCTTCTGTCCCTATCCAATAAACACGTATAATACAGTTTTTTTTTTAAAAGTGCAGTTAGCTTCCATGGCTAATTCCCCCTCATCTGTTTTGGCAATAATCCAGTGCTATTACATCTCTAACACAATTAACACATATTAGCCACGTCGCTTTATAAGCCGCAGGGATCAAAGAACAAGAAAAAGTAGTGGTATATAGTCTGGAAATGACTGTATTCAAGCTTTTCTACAACATCCATCCAATGTAAATGCGAAATAAAAGCTGACACGGTTCGTTTTATTTCAAACCCACTTTGGCCACAAAAATGTGAGGACCATGTCAAAGTACAGATGTGTATGGATCTGACTGGCTCCTTACCTTGTACACGTCTGCTTGAACGCAAGCTTTCTGGGGCTCACAGGTTTTGGAATGGCTACATCAAACTGAAGGAGACATTTAGACATTTAGACGTTTAGACCAAAGCAGCATGACGAGTGCAGAGTGCAGAGAGGCCTACCTTACACTTCACCAGGCCTGTGGGGCCATAGATCTTTATCTGGTTTATCAGCCCGCTGCAGTCTGGGGTTAGACATGGATCTTTGAGACAGTCCTGGAAGAAACACTCCATATGGGTTAGGGTGAGGTTGGGCTGGAACTGGCAAAAGTGTGAGGGTTCCATAGTATTGTGATATTGTGGCCACTTTATTATTGTGATTCTAACATATTGTGACAGACAGTATTGATTTGATTCTGCGATTCATGTCCCTCAAATTATTCAAAGGCATTACAAAAATTGAGGACAATAAACGTGTAAGTGGTAGTGCACAAACGTTATCCTTGAACATTCAAGACTCAGGACCTTATCGAGGTTCAAGGTGACTTGTTTGTACCTGTGGGTAGATTCTTTTTGCAGTCCTTACATCATTCTTCTCTGAATCGATGAGTCTCACATGAAGCTAAGCTCCCGGCATTTCATTTTCATTACATTATTGACATAAAATAAGACTAGAGCAGCTTCCAACCTTTTTTGTTTGGAGAGCTACTTTTACACAACAGAAGAGGCAGAGAGCTACTCTTCTTTGCAGTTGTAATAAAAAATAGTCTATGCAATAACTGTATATTTTTGTATATGTTGTTCTTTAGTTAGATTTGATGCAATGACTGAAAATGTAATCATTCAGGATCATGTGTCAAATTCCTGAATCCTTTGTGGAGCTCGTTGAAAGGGTCAGCGAGCTACAGGTAGTTCCAGAGCCACAGGTTGGAGAGCACTGGACTAGAGTAACCAGGAGAGCATACCTTCTCACTCTTCTCAGAGAAGACCATGCTCTTCAGGCTCTTCCAGCAGCTGATGTGGTACTCGAGTCTGCAGCTGTGGCAGCAGTGCAGCTGGATAAACCCCTGACAAACACAAAACACGTTTAACACTGAGTCCGGAACACACAGAAAAGTTGCCAATTACCTTAAAATCAGGGTCTGTGAAGTAAATCTCTTTCTTGGAATAACCAACACATTGTTCGTTGTAGCGACAAACGCCATTTGGTGAAGGCGGGAACTTGCAGACCTGTATGGACTCTTCCAGAATGTTCTGAAAGGAGATGGTGATCAATAGGTGCAAAAGATACAGTAAAAATAAAGATATAAAAAATATTTTTTTGTCAAGAATCAACAACAAGTGGGACACAATCGTGAAGTGGAACAAAATTTATTGGATAATTTAAACTTTTTTAACAAATAAAAAACTGAAAAGTGGGGCGTGCAATATTATTCGGCCCCCTTGCGCTAACACTTTGTAGCGCCGCCTTTTGCTGCAATTACAGCTGCAAGTCGCTTAGGGTATGTCTATCAGTTTTGCACATCGAGAGACTGGAATTCTTGCCCATTCTTCCTTGTAAAACAGCTCGAGCTCAGTGAGGTTGGATGGAGAGCGTTTGTGAACAGCAGTCTTCAGCTCTTTCCACAGATTCTCGATTGGATTCAGGTCTGGACTTTGACTTGGCCATTCTAACACCTGGATACGTCTATTTGTGAACCATTCCATTGTAGATTTGGCTTTATGTTTTGGATCATTGTCCTGTTGGAAGTTAAATCTCTGTCCCAGACTCAGGTCTTTTGCAGACTCCAACAAGTTTTCTTCCAGAATGGTCCTGTATTTGGCTCCATCCATCTTCCCATCAATTTTAGCCATCTTCCCTGTCCCTGCTGAAGAAAAGCAGACCCAAAGCATGATGCTGCCATTACCATGTTTGACAGTGGGGATGGTGTGTTCAGGGTGATGAGCTGTGTTGCTTTTACGCCAAACATATCGTTTTGCATTGTGGCCAAAAAGTTCGATTTTGGTTTCATCTGACCAGAGCACCTTCTTCCACATGTTTGGTGTGTCTCCCAGGTGGCTTGTGGCAAACTTTAAACAAGACTTTTTATGGATATCTTTGAGAAATGGCCACTCTTCCATGAAGGCCAGATTTGTGCAGTGCACGACTGATTGTTGTCCTATGGACAGACTCTCCCACCTCAGCTGTTATCTGCAGTTCATCCAGAGTGATCATGGGCCTCTTGGCTGCATCTCTGATCAGTCTTCTCCTTGTTTGAGATGAAAGTTTGGAGGGACGGCCGGGTCTTGGTAGATTTGCAGTGGTCTGATACTCCTTCCATTTCAATATAATTGCTTGCACAGTGCTCCTTGAGATGTTTAAAGCTTGGGAAATCTTTTTGTATCCAAATCCGGCTTTAAACTTCTCCACAACAGTATCTCGGACCTGCCTGGTGTGTTCCTTTGTCTTCATGGTTCTCTCTGCGCTTTAAACAGAACCCTGAGACTATCAAAGAGCAGGTGCATTTATACGGAGACTTGATTACACACAGGTGCATTCTATTTATCATCATCAGTCATTTAGGACAACATTGGATCATTCAAAGATCCTCACTGAACTTCTGGAGTGAGTTTGCTGCACTGAAAGTAAAGGGGCCGAATAATATTGCACGCCCCACTTTTCAGTTTTTTTTTAAAGTTTAAATTATCCAATACATTTCGTTCCACTTCACGATTGTGTCCCACTTGTTGATTTATGACAAAAAATTAAAATTTTATATCTTTATGTTCGAAGCCTGAAATGTGGCGAAATGTTGAAAGGTTCAAGGGTGCCGAATACTTTTGCAAGGCACTGTATGTGTGAGTAAAGTGTCATGTGGGAGTCATGTGGGAGTCATGTGGGAGTCATGTGGGAGTCATGTGGGAGTCATGTGGGAGTCATGTGGGAGTCATGTGGGAGTCATGTGGGAGTCAAGTGGGAGTCAAGTGGGAGTCATGTGGGAGTCATGTGGGAGTCAAGTGGGAGTCATGTGGGAGTAATGTTTGAGTCATGTGGGAGTAATGTTTGAGTCATGTGGGAGTCATGTGGCAGTCATGTGCGAGTACTCAAACTTAAAGATGCAGTCAGTAATTTTTTTCCAGTCACTTTTTGTGTTAAATATTGTGGGAAAACGTCCCTAAACCCTAAAAGTATCAAGTTAATCATGTGTTTTCAAACAGTAATGGAATTGACCAGATGTCAATAGTCTACAAAAATGTAAGAAATACTTTGGAGCGGACTGATATAAATAAACCAATGGGATTCTTTCATCCCCAACAAACCAATGGGATGCGTTTACCCCCTTCACCCTTGTCCTGTTTTATCACGAGTGCAACCGAGTCATCGGATTTCATAAAACCAGTTGGTGCTATGGCTAAGCTAACAAAATCGCTTACTGCACCTTTAACATGTGTTCAGAAAGGCAGCAGTCCCTCACCAGTAAACAGTCGACCTGTGTCTCAGGGACCACGTGTGTGGTCGTGGGCCATGTGAGTTTTCCTGGAATTATCTTGTTCTTCACCATCTGCACCGCATCGGAGAAGTGAGTGAGGGCCGCGACGAACCTGTCAGAAACCACAAGGACTCTTTACTCTCACTGTGCTGAAGGTCTCATGGTGGTCTCTATACTGGCAGTCAGATGCTGGTCTCGTGCTGGTCTCACCTGTTCTCTTTGACACAGGCGAGCCCAAAGCCCAGGCAGACTAGACACTGGAACGTCCTCTCCTCTGAGGCCTGGATTTGGTTCAACAACTGCACAGCCTCAGACAGCTCCTGTGAGACCGAGATCAGGAAAACCTTAAAAACTTGTGAGATTTCATAACACTTTGAAGCAACTATTGTTAAAGTTCTCACTTCATTCTTACATATGCAGAAGCCTGTACTTTTCCATTTGATGTTTTTTCTATCTGAAAGCCAAGCTACAAGCACACTGTGGCAGCTGCTGATTGGAGGCCTCTGTTTCTCCTGAGTATATTACAACTGGCTGTTGTAACATCCCTTGTTCGTGTTGTTTGTGCTGTCTCTACCATTGACAATAAAACATGTCTTCTGTCTGAATGAAAGACACGATCCCAGACTTCGCCATCTTCTTCAGACTCAGAACAGGAGGAGGGTCCTTCAGACATTATGTCATGAGGTATACACACGTGTTATCATTAGGTATACACAGTGAAAAATTCCCTTTGTCCTCAGCCCGAAACGTTACAGCGTGGTATGTAAACAAAAAAACACTGATTGGGAGCTACATAGCTGTGCGGATTTTTTTCACTGTTTTTACGTTTTGTAATTTTTTAATCCAGCACGCTAGCCCAGACTACAGGGATGTGCGGCCTTATTTGAAATTTTCTATCATTAGGTATACACAAGTGTTATTAGGTATGCAAATATGTTTTTAGGGTCCCAGGAGAGACAGTGTTACCTCAGGACGTCCAATCTGTATGAGAGCTTTGGCTCTTCCATACTGCAACAGCAGCACGTCTAGAGAGGACACGCCGGGCACCTAAGACACACACAAGTTGAGAATATGCACACACACATGTTGAGAATATGCACACAGGAGGCAGACATGAAGATGCACATATGAGGCAGACATGGACATAGACAGAGGTTTTAGGGAGCACCTGAGTGGAGGTCCCAGAGCCCAGCAAGGCCAGGGCGCGGCTGAAGGCCTGCTCTGCATTGCGGTTGCGGAGGTCATCAAGGGCAGTGTGTGCGTCTTTGACCTCAGCGGTCAGTTCTTTGGACAGGTCAGCCATGTGCTTCTACAGAGACAACACATTTATACTACATAAACTGTACAAACAGGACAGACAGTCCAAACAGGACAGACAGTCCAAACAGGACAGACAGAACAAAGGTACAAACAATACAGTACAGATAGAGTCAGATCCTGGGGGTCGGACAGAAGCACTGAAGTCCTGCCCCTTCCGTTTGGATGCATGATCTTAGAATGTTGGCACAAAATGTCAGTGTTATTGCAGTTGTGTACCTTCTGTTCACTTTTCGCGCTCTTGGCCTCGTGTCCTTTGGAGGTAGACTCTGCTCTGCCCTGAGCAGAGGACCTACCACTGTAAGGAAAACATGTTCTTCAGTCTGTCAAAGCTTACAATCTCCCACAAAGACACATGACCAGAGCGTTGAGAGCACACTCCCATTTGGAAGAAAACCGTACAAACCTTTTGGCAGCTTTAGAGTCTGGAGTTCCAGGAGTCGCAGCGCTCTTGTCTGAGGGAGAAGTACATATATGCATTTAAAGACCCATTTCTATTCTATTGTTTTCAAAGTCAAACAATCCTTTCATCATTTTAAAGTATTTGAACCGCGCAGCACAAGCGCTAACCAATGATGACGCATCAGGATTCATTACGTACAGCTCTGAAATTTAGGGTAAAATTGTTTCCTGGCCCTAATTTCGAAGTGTGAACAAAGTCTTTATGATAACTTGCACCTGGTGTTCCCAACGGTCTCCCATCCCAACATTGACCAGGCCCTGCAGGATCTGGCTTTCACAAGCTGGTATGGCCAGTGTCATTGTTTCTGTTCTCTCACTTACTCTGTTGGGCTTTATCCTCCACCTTTGCCTCCGGCTCCTGCACAAAACAAAGGTCATCAAATCCTGTTCACCGTTATGAAGTTCTGACCTTTAAGCTGCAGTTTAGAGAATAAGAATTATCTTATTCTAAAAAGATTAGTGATTATGATGCTACATTTCGGCACTGGGCATTACATGACATCACGGCTGTATGTACCGTTTATGAAAAATCTAATTTAATGACATTCGATGCTTTATGTAAGAAGTTCAACCTGGAAAAACATGATTTTTTCCTGATACTTACAGCTCCGTAACTATATTACTAAAAACATGCAACATATTAAGTCTGATCCTTCTGCACTTATTCTCATTTTCATTAATGCATATAATTCCTCTAGTCTTAAAAGTGTAATAAGTAAACTATACAGCAGTTTGACTGCACTCAAGACAAACTTAACTTACATAAAGCAGAAATGGGAAAAGGAGATGAACATTGTTATTTCAGAGGACATGTGGACAAGGATTTGGGAAGTACAGTTCTCAACGAACAATTCAAACACCTGGAGGGACTTCTGTTGGAAGAACATTGTCCGTTACTTCATAACACCAATACAAAAATCCAAGTTCAGCCCTACTCAAACACACTGCTGGAGAGAATACGGGGAAGCATCAGCAGACCACGGACACATTTTTTGGTCCTGCCCGCTCATTCAGCCATTCTGGAAAGACTTAGAAAACATAATTGCTAAAACATTGGGATATGGCATCAATAACTCCTTTTTGGTGCTGTATTTGGGATGTTTACCCAACAACATCACCGCCGATGATTTGTACCTTTTCAAGATTCTGCTGGCATCAGCCAAGAAGTCCAGAACTAAAAACTGGTTGCAGAAACATCCACCTACTGTAAATCTGTTCATTTCAATTGTGGAAAATATTAAACTCATGGAGCGGATGACCTACACTTTGCGACTTCAGGAAGAACTGGGAAAAAGGCGCTGGGCAAAGTGGCTGGACTTTATAAATAGTGACAGTACAGAGACAGTACAACAAATGTGAATTGTCGACTCAATGTTTGTATTTTTGTATTATATTGCTAGCCATCCCCCAACCTCTAATGTTTGTGTTTAAAAATTGCAAAAATAAAAAAAGTTTCAAAAAAATAAAAAAGATTAGTGATTGACAATGAACGTCTCAATGCAATACAGAGCTTCATGTGCTTGACTGTTTCAAACGCCTCGAAGCCTCTGAGCTCAGACTCAGTAACACTGACCTCTAGTGGACAAATGAACAGCAGTAGTTTATTGAAACCAAACATAGGTATATTCGTGTAAATCTATTTTTAAGTAATCCATACATTTAATACAAGTTTAGACCTAAAAATGATCTAAAGAAAAAGAAAATGTAAATGTGCACTTTATTGTCCCCGTAGGGAAATTTGTCCTCTGCATTTGACCCATCCTGATGCCAATAAGGCTCACGTCAGGAGCAGTAGTATAGCGCCCGGGAACCATGCAGATCACAGGTTTTTATTCAAAAACAGTTTCCAGTTTCAAACCAAGGAAGCGCATTGAAACGTTCTGAACCTATGAGAAGCCGGGAAACTGATTGAGCCAATGAAACGCTTCGACAGTGTTAAAACAAAGCAAAGCAGTGACTGTAGAGCCTGAGACACGTTTGTTGCATGACCTGCTGATTTGACACACTCTCCAACAGGGTTATGAAGCGATCTGCGTCAAGGGAGAGCAAAACACGCTTGGATGCATCGCTGTCATTTGCTCATCACTAAAAAGTACAATTCTTGAGATAAGGCTAAATGGCTTTGACCCATCGACAAATGTAGTTTTAAGACCGAATGTGCTCAGATTAAGATGAAATATGAGGTGAAAATTGCTTGAATATTTTTTTGCAGTGTGGTTCTGAGGCAATCACAGAACAACCATTATTGTACTGCGAGTAGATTGCTATAATTAGTTTAGTTTAAAGTCAGGGCAAGATGTGATCATTCAGCGTCACATCAACGATCAGTGTGATTCTTTTCAAACACAATCCTTTAACATTTTGCTTTCACTTCAATTGTCTGCCTTGTTGTGGCAGTTCAAATACAAAATCGCTTCTGAAATAGCGTTTTTACCACCATAAAGTATAATAAAGCCTTTCTTTTAATTCAGTTGGATTTTGTCTAGTTATTTTTGCCCAGCCCTAAACCAATCTTCTCTGACATGAAACCCTTGCAGTGCGCCCGAGTGTGTTGTTAGCATTTAGCCTAGCCATCTCCTTTGCTAATGGAGCCCATGGGGAGTAGCACCACAATCTTGACCAGCAATTACATTTGCTAAACATTCCTCTTGCTCCTGCTTCAATTTCTTGATAGAACCAGACTGGATTACTTTACTATCGCATTCTTCGCCATTGCCAAACTACAACCTGCCCGTTCGGCGCAAACTCTTGACGTCACCGGCACCGACCTACAACGCGCTCTCTGAGTAACCGGTTGAAATACGACCGATTGTATTCGCTAACACAGGGACCAGACCCAGACCGTTACATGCAGTGAAATGATAATTGAGCGAAGTGTACGGATGGCTATGGCCAGGCTAATCCAGAGTGTGAAGCGCACCTTTCTCACAGGCGCAGTCTTCTCCGCCGCACTAGGGGGAGCTGCACTCTGCCTTTCTCTGTTTGGAGGTGCCTGTGATCTAATGGGAGACTGAGCCGCACGAGAGGGAGAAGCCCGCCTCCCCACAGGTGCGGACGCTGGCTTGAGATTATTGGTAACATTTGGTCTACAAACAGATTAACAGTTAGAATCATATAAAAGGTCGAGTTAGAATTCAGGATATTTGAATCAAACTACTTACCTTTGAGATGCAGTCGTTTTTGGGCGAGCTGAAAAACAAAAAAATGAATATTCTAGACATAAACTGTTCTGCAACATTTCTAGTTTGGTCAGTGTGTATTACCCCTTCTTTTACCACAACACTGCAAAATCTGGCACATTCTGACGGTTTTAAAACAAGATTCTCCAAGAGGACAAAGTCATTTAGTCTTATTTCAAGAACTGTTGCTTTATTGTATCTTTTTAAAACAATATAATTTAGCTTTGTCCCATTGGAAAGACTGGCCTCCCTCCCCCCTCTCCCTCTCTGGCCTCCCTCTCTGGCCTCCCTCCCCCCCTCCCTCTCTGGCCTCCCTCTCTGGCCTCCCTCCCTCTCTGGCCTCCCTCCCTCCCTCTCTGGCCTCCCTCCCTCTCTGGCCTCCCTCCCTCCCTCTCTCCCTCTCTGGCCTCCCTCCCTCCCTCTCTGGCCTCCCTCCCTCCCTCTCTGGCCTCCCTCCCTCCCTCTCTGGCCTCCCTCCCTCCCTCTCTGGCCTCCCTCCCTCCCTCTCTGGCCTCCCTCCCTCCCTCTCTGGCCTGCCTCCCTCCCTCCCTCTCTGGCCTCCCTCCCTCCCTCTCTGGCCTCCCTCCCTCTCTGGCCTCCCTCCCTCTCTGGCCTCCCTCCCTCTCTGGCCTCCCTCCCTCTCTGGCCTCCCTCCCTCTCTGGCCTCCCTCCCTCTCTGGCCTCCCTCCCTCTCTGGCCTCCCTCCCTCTCTCTCTGGCCTCCCTCCCTCTCTGGCCTCCCTCCCTCTCTGGCCTCCCTCCCTCTCTGGCCTCCTCCTCTCTCTGGTCTCTCTCTGGTCTCTCTCAGGCCTCCCCCTCTCTCTGGTCTGAGGTGGTTCAGTGAGACGTACCGTTAGTCAGGGAGGGGTGTGTGGAGAACTTCTGGTGCTGTGCCTCCAGGTCCTTGATGCCTTCAGAGCTGTCCTTACACAGAGCCTGGGCCTGAACATTGGCCTGCAGAGCTCGCCGCACCTCCCCCAGTCCGAACAGCGCCTCGCAGTAACGGTAGTGTCCCTGCGGAGACCAGACTGTTCAGACCAGCAACGTATAACCAGCCATCGCAAGAAACCCTCTCAGACAGGACCTTTGTGTTTTTATAAGGAAATTGATCAATAACTAGTGGTTAGAAAAAAAAAAGATTCTTTGCAATTAAACCGATACAGTAGAGCGACGTATTGAGATATCTAAATAATATCTGTTTCTATGGTCATTTCCATCTGAGAATTATGTGACACTCTGACGTCTGCTTGTTGTGACTCTGACGTCAGCTTGTTTCGACTCTATGACGTCAGCTTGTTTCGACTCTATGACGTCAGCTTGTTTCGACTCTATGACGTCAGCTTGTTTTGACTCTATGACGTCAGCTTGTTTTGACTATGACGTCTGCTTGTTGTGACTATGACGTCTGCTTGTTGTGACTATGACGTCTGCTTGTTGTGACTATGACGTCTGCTTGTTGTGACTATGATGTCTTGTCTGCAATAAGGTCCTTCTCTCCTCAGTGTTTGCTTCAGTTCATGTATAGATCAAAATAAATGTCATAATATATTTATTTTCCTCCATGTTTATAAAGTCTTTGTGATTCTGTGATATATCGTGATTCATGTCTCTCATAATATTCAAACTGTCTGTATCGCGATATGTTAAGAATCACAATAACATTGAATTGTGGCCCAAATATTGCAATACAATCGAATCCTCACATTTTTACCAATTCTCACTCGTAATAACCACATTAAAATCTTGTGGCCATGTGAAAGTTATGCACCACAGTTTTCCATTTCTGATTTTAAGATATTGATTATTTGTTCAGTCAGTTATTTCGAAACTTCCCCTTTTTATATGATTTTGGAGATTTAAAGTTAGTTTTTGATCTACAGAGAGAATAGTCTGAAGTGTTCTCTGTATATCTTGTATAGATAGTGTACTGTACCTTAGGCCAATCTGGACTTATCAGCGTGGCCAGTTTTCCATCTCCCAGGGCTTTTCTGAAGCAGACAGCAGAAGGGTAAACTTTGCTCTGTGCAGTCGTAACAATGAAACAAATACTCACATGAAGTTATTGGATCTGATGTAGCAGAGGGCTCGATTCCCATAGATGATGTGGTTCTCAGGGCTGGAGGAGAACGTTTACTGGGTCAGAGGCTGTTTATTATATCTTTCTTAATCCTTTCTATATGTATGTAGATTGGAATGATAATCTTTAAAGGTGAAGCTGGATCGCCTTCTGGCTGCCAACGCGCGTCTCGGCAAACCACAATCCAAATATTGCATTAGATTCTTTAGTGGCCCTCATGACCCGTAATCCACAACCATAATACATCCCACCATCATTGACACGGTAAAAAAATTGTTTACCGCCAAACCTAGCAGCACCATAGACTACGTTTTAACAGACGTAGTGACGCATATTTCCTCTGTTGAAATGTATGTGTGATCAACATGCGCAATTTCAAAATGGCCGCAAGCAGCCCCTCCAGCAAGAAAATGGACTCGCCATTCATTTAACGCGTTCATTTACACAGCGGCTAAAAGAATACCCCTCTCAGCAATGACAGAATCTGAAAGGTTAGGGTTAGGGTAGGGTTTTTTTGGACCAGGCTGTAAAGACGTTTGAGAAGAAAAACGGCGCCATAAGAATGTATTGGATAAATCTGTTTCCTGTACACCCCCACATGCTCATGGACCCGCCCCCCACTGAGCAGCACCTGTGCCCTTCCATTCTGCCACTTTTATAGGAGAATAGGGAGAGGTCACATAAAGCCCACAGCGCCCCCTTGTGGCTGGGGGATGGTACATTTTAGCTCCTACAGAGGATTAAAGGTACATAGAATATTTGAAATAAAAGTCAGTCAATAATTATAGCTAAATGAATCTTGAGAGAATCTTTTTCCTTTTCTTTTTTTTCCTCTTCTCTTCTTTCTGGGTGTGTATGCACTTTTATTTATAGGGGTGTGTGTATCCAACTCTCCATGCAACACAAACTTACTAAAGTTTACTGGCTTTGGTGTAGTACTTGACGGCCTCTTCATACTGCTTCTTCTGAAAGTATTTGTTCCCAAGAGTCTTCATTTCTTCACATTTCTAACAAATGAGATTAAAACACATTTAGGAGACACACCCACTACACCCACAGCTATTTTTAAAGCACTTTATGTACATTCACACCATCCACAGGGCACTAGGTTAGTAGAGCCGTTCAGTCTAGTTTGTCTGCCTGGCATCTATGTCCAGGTTGACTTTTGCCTGTTCATTGCTATTCACCCATTACTAGATAAAACTCGATAAAAACAAAAATTTCTATGAAGATTCCAAAAGTTATGAATCAAAAAAAGGCTGCAGATGTTTTCCATTTACCTCTATATTCAACGTCAAACTGTCAATTTACACTCATTTTAATCAAGGTTCTATTTTTGATCACTAAGACGTTTCAGATTTGATTCATACTTAGAACACAAAGAACCGAGGGATGAAGCGATGAAGGTGAAGCAGTTCTACCTTGATGATGTCCTCCGAGGGCAGAGCCGTCAGACTGTGCATGACGAGGCGAAAGCGCTCGGACATGTCCTTCACGTACTGAGAAACTGAAACACAGAACACCAGGTCAGCAGCTTTTAATGAAGAAGAAGAGATCCTTTGTTAGTCCCAGAGGCGGGAAATGTCAGTGTTGCATCACAAGTTACAGAACAGAAGGAATGAGGAGCACACAGCAGATAAATGAACAATAAAAATATAAATCTCTATCTATAGCATAATAAAAAAGCAAGTATAAAACCTAAAGTAAAGTGACAGTGGACACATGTGGTTCTATATCGCACATTCTGACATTTTTTCTAATTATTGCAGATAACAGAAAATGCTTTATAGGAGATTGCGTTTTAGAATTATCTATTTATTTGTGTTGTTTGTGTGGATTGTTTTTGCTGCTACTGGACACCTGCATTTCTCGTACGGGGATCAATAAAGTATCTATTTCAGAAAAAGTGTTGTGCTCATGTTAGCCCTGTCCTTTAGCTAGCAAGGCCTTTTTGAAAGTCGTTTCTCCGTCCAGTTTTGAAGGCACAGGACCTCGGTGCTGTAAGTTGGACCTGCCACAGTCCAGAGCAAAGTGTGTTCTGACTCGTCTGCTGTTGAACTGTAGAACTCTGTGGGATCCATAATGTTTTCTAAATGTTAATGTGAGGAGCTACATTACACTCCATGAAGACGAAGGCCAGCAGTGTGATGCAGACATCCAGGTGGCCCAGCTCCAGGACCCTGGAGCGGATGTTGGGTTCTCCGGTGCCCTCCAGCCACTGCAGGGCGTTCTCCAGCACCTCAGGGGACTGCTGCTCATAAACACAGACAGGAAGTTACTGGAACGACCCTTCAGCAGCATTAGGGCTGGAGAGCGGCAAAGTGTGAGGATTCAATAGTATTGCAATATTTGGGCCAGAATTCAATATAAGTAAACATCATAGAGTCACAACAAGCAGACGTCACAGAGTCACAACAAGCAGACATCAGAGTCACAACAAGCAGACGTCATAGAGTCACAACAAGCAGACGTCATAGAGTCACAACATGCAGACATCATAGAGTCACAACAAGCAGACGTCATAGAGTCACAACAAGCAGACATCACAGAGTCACAACAAGCAGACATCATAGTGTCACAACAAGCAGACGTCATAGAGTCACAACATGCAGACATCATAGAGTCACAACAAGCAGACGTCATAGAGTCACAACAAGCAGACATCACAGAGTCACAACAAGCAGACATCATAGAGTCACAACAAGCAGACATCATAGAGTCACAACAAGCAGACGTCATAGAGTCACAACAAGCAGACATCAGAGTCACAACAAGCAGACATCACAGAGTCACAACAAGCAGACATCATAGAGTCACAACAAGCAGACATCACAGAGTCACAACAAGCAGACATCATAGAGTCACAACAAGCAGACGTCATAGAGTCACAACAAGCAGACATCATAGTCACATAAAACTCAGATCAAAATGACCAGATGAAACACAAAAGTGAAACAGAATATTTTTTGTATCAAATATTGCAATACTTTACTGTAACCATTTAATTTACCTCTCATGAATCACGATATATCACAGAATCAAATCATAAAACCTGCTGTATCGCGGTATGTTTAGAATCAAAATATATTTGAATTCTGGCCCAAATATCGCAGTACTATCAAATCACTTTTTGGCCAATTCCCAGCCTTCATAAATACATTTCAGTTTTTGCGATGTGTTAGTTGCTTCCACAAAGACAGGGATTGGAGTTGAGCGTGTGTCTCACCATATGAAAGCAGTTACTGAGCACTATGATCCGCTTGGTTTGAGCCTTTTTGATCTGAAAGACAAACGGACATGGGTCAGACATGGGTCAAATATGGGTACGACTGGAGCGGCACAGATCCACACTCACAGTTCCAGTGACCATAGCGCGTAGAATGGCCTCCAGGATCTCAATCTTGTCTATGTGCTTCAGGGTCACGTCTTTACTGTGGAGGACAGACGGCAAGGGTCAAGACTGAGAAGGACTTTATACAAACTGATAAAGGGACAAAAACAATATCACAAAGTCCGTCAGAGTCTCTTCTGTCTGCTCAACGTTTATCTCTATTGCTTCTGTGACTGTGTGGATCGGTGACATCACAAGGAAAGGAGAGCTCTAAAAAAGGTGCTCTGCTCTGAAAGAGGACTGTGAGCTGTGAGACCAGAGAGAGACTAAAGAGCAAGAGAGAGAGACCAAAAAGCAAGAGACAGACCAAAGAAAGACACGTGAGAGGCCGAAGCGCGGGAGAGACTGAGACCAAAGAGAAAGAGAGACCGAAGAGCAAGAGAGAGACCAAAGAAAGACACAACCAAAGAAACCAAGGCGAGGGAGAGACTGAGGTCAAAGAGCGAGAGACAGATCAGAAAGAGAGAGAGAGAGAGACCAAAGAAAGACACGTGAGGGACCGAGGCGAGGGAGAGACGGAGAGACTGAGACCAAAGAGAGAGAGACAGACCAGAGAGAGAGAGACCAAAGAGCGAGAGACAGACCAGAGAAAGAGAGAGAGAGACCAAAGAGCGAGAGAGAGACCAAAGAGCGGGAGAGAGAGGAGAGAGAGACCACAAAGAGAGACAGAAAGAGAGATAGACCAAAGAGAGCAAGAAACCAAAGACAGAGAGAGATAGACGAGTGAGTTTTTCTATCAACATTTATAGACATTGGTCTCCGCTCCTTTTGGACCAATGGCTCCACGTGTTTTCAATCATTTCTTGTGTTTGATTCTCTGATCTGTGTTGGTGAATCGACAGCTTTGTAAAGTCCTCCCCGATAACTACTGTAGTGTTGTGATTTTGTGCTAAACAAGAATACATTGAATTGACGTCTGGACTGGATTCGTTCTGAACTTTAAATCGGGGTGTCTATGTCTAAACACTATTCGCACGGTGCGAGTCCGTCTCGCCAATGTATTAGTAAACTCCGGGCCGACTTTCATGCCGCGCGCGCACACACACGCACACACGTGCCATTTCACACTCGCGCACCTTTTCCCCGTAACATCCACGCGTATCATCCATACTCTCCCCTCCGTTACTAGTCCGCCAAAGTTGCACACTTGTGCGGGTTAGAACTCCATTGGAGCATACACACACATATACACACAAACATACATACATGCATACCGGTCTATCGTGTTCCTCTGTGTCACGCAGCCCAAAGGATCCTCGCAAATACGCAGCTTCAGTCAAACCACATGGACCATGTTTGTGCTGCTGGTCCTTGTCATTAGATCACTTATTTTTACTTATTTACACTTATTTAAACTTTAGCGGAGACCTGCGAGACGCGGCTCGTCACTCGCTGCTCTGACCATGTGAACGAGCAGTCACTCGCTGCTCTGACCATGTGGACCAGCCGTCGTTTGCTGCTAAAAATGCTTTAACCCGCAGCACAGAAGAATGAGAAGATTAAAAAGCAGTTCTCAGTGCGCCAAGGTGCCGAAGCTGTTGCGGGTTTTGGCACCGCTGTCTCGGCTCTGATCCAGTAGAACGCAAAGATGCACTTATGAAAAGTACGCGGCTCGAAAGGGCTGTTATTTCAAAGAATGTGAAATATTTTAAACTACGCGGTTAACCAGTTTCAACCGGTTAATGAGGCTCAGTGGTTGGTCATGAAAATTCATAGTTTTTTACATCCCTAATTCTAAAAGGTTCTGTGCTTTTCTATAGAAGACACAAGGCAGCAAAACATATAGAATGAACCTAGTTTGGAAATCCAGTTCTAGGCCCTGTTTATACTGAGACGCTGCGCAGACGTTTCCAGGCTATTAACAGAAACGACCTGGCTCCTAATGCAAATTTCTCAGCGTTCACATGAGGTTGAAAAACGATGTAGTTCTAGCGCCCGGCCAGTAGTGGGCAGAGAAACTTTACAACACTCACACGACCCCCAGCCCCGTGCCCAGCCCCCCTCCTCGGCAGTGTACTCACTTCCTGTACCAGACCCTCAGAACGCACCAACATCATTCTGCATTTCAACAGCAGCTGTGAAAATGGAAACTGAACCTAGAGGTTCGCATAGAAACTAGATTTGCCAACGGGACAAATCTAGGAGTAGAATAATCCTCTGTGCCGCGCTGGAAGCCCACGAAGCTAGTTAGTGCGACCGCCGCCATTTATGTTTATGAGTGTTCTCCGCTACTGCTCATGTGCAAATTTACGTGCGGGGATCAGTGCGGAGGTGGGGGTCAGAGCAGAGGGGGATTTCACACTTTTCCCTCTCGCAGGTGTGAAAGAGCTCCCCGCTGTGCAGCGTATCTGAGTTGTCCCACTTTGCACTTTACAGTACGTTTTCACCCCCCTGGAACAGTCTTCATATGAACGGTTGGTAGCAACCGACATCCAACTATAGTGTTTTACTGCCACATTGTCTCCGTGTAAACTCAGCCTTAGACTTTTTAAGAGCCCATTTTGTTGCCCTTACAAAAACAAAAACCGTCCTCAGAGCAGGGCCCCTGAAAGGAAAGAGGAGGTGTACGTACTTGGGCTCCACCAGGCCCATGCAGATGGCCCAGGTGGTCACGTCTTTGGACTGGTCGCGCTGCAGCAGGATGGGCAGCCAGTAGGAGCAGATCTTCATGTGGTGACCGGCCTTCAGCTTGTCCGTCGCAGAGATCTTGTCCCAGAGGTCAAACATACCACTGTCTGCAACACACACAAAGTGAGGATTATTGACATTGGAATATTGTTTAAGTTATCATTTTAATAAGTAATATGTGGCTAAAATATATTGTATACAGAGGGGGTTGGATGCAGATGTGGGCCATTGTTTATTGCCTGTTTCTTTGATTCTCTGTGGCTCCTTCCTGTCCTGTACTATTCATATGTTAAATACCAAAGGTCTCATTCTAAAACTGTATGTATGTATGTAAGTGGGCTGGACTTGTAGTCTAGAAAAATTGAGTTTGTCGTCTTGTCTGGGTCAGATCTGGTTTTGGACGCAAAGACACAGCGCACTCTGCTCTGTCCCTGTTTCAAAAATCACTTCTTGGAAAACGCAACCAATAAATAAATAATGCCTGAACTATGTATTTTGTGTAGGGGTGGGCGATATGGGCAAAAATAAATATCTCCATATTTTTTCCCAACACCCAATAACGACATTGTCACGATATCTTTAAAATCAATCATTCTTACACAAAATGATTTGCAAAGTTTTTCTTGCCAGGGCATCAATAGATGGAAATAGCAGCTTTTTATTTGTCAAGTGCTTCACACATCTTTGCAAAACACGGAACATATATTAACATTAGAATTCAAGTAACACAGGAAGAACACATCCAAAAAGACTAAATATTTACTGAAATTTACAAATAAAAAGCAGTGATTGGCTTTTTAGGCATTTGGCGAATGGGCATCTTGCTCTAATTGTATTACCTACATATTTATTGTCAAATTCACTTTCACAACATTATTGTTTACGATATACATCGGCCATCTCTACTTTTGTGAACGTGATTTTTTCAGGTGGGACTGTAGGTTAAAACAGCATTAACAGTTGGTGCTTCGAGCCGGATCCCAACACTTTCCTGCAGAGGCCGAGACTGCCTCAAAGATGGATTTCAAGAGCAGCAGCGAGGCCGTCTTCATTTCAGAACTGCAGTTAGAACTCCAGACCGGTCTCTGGATCAAAGCTCCCGGGAGAAAGTTTCGAGTCGGGGACTTTATAACACTGCAAATGATGTCCAGGACTAATTCAAGAGAGCAGTGTGGAGCTCAATGAACGGGGTGTTCATTTAGGATAACGCAGAGTTATGCCTTTAGTCTGGGACTTTACAGAGCTCAAATGAACGAGGTTTCATTAAAAAGGGTAACGCAGAATTACCCCTGTATGAATTTAATTGTAAAATGGTCTGAGATAGTCATTTTCTTCTTTAGATACAACTGAAGGATTGTATCTTCTCTTTCTTAATGTTTGTAATGCCCTGCGTTTTTGATGTTCATGATTTATGCTGGATTTGATGAAGCACTTTGAGTTTCCTTGTGTAGGAAAAGGTTGATTCATTGATTTACGGAGGAGTTTATATTGTGCTTTAGGGCTAAACGAGGCACCGTCACCGTGAACATCACGTCGAAGGCACCACAGCTCAGAGGCTCCTTCAGGACACTGTAGAAGTCTTACCTAGATCATGGGTGAACTTGTGGGAAAAGTAGTTCCGACGCAAAACCTCGAGAAAAAACAGCACAAAATTAGTAACTTAACAGTAGTCTAGCTTCATGTCCCCGACTCAGACTGGAATGTTCCATAGGTGCATAAAAGCCTCAAACAATCAGTCGCACCATTCCTATTCTCCTGGTGCAGATTTTTCAAACCATTGGAGCGAAGACTGGAGATGCCCTTGTAGAAAAAGTCTTTCTATGTTGTCTGATTAGTCCTGTTCACAATTATAAACCAGATTGACCAATTCTCATCTTCACGACAGTGCAGCCTCTGAAAAACGGCCTCCTCCTGTGTTTAAAGATCCCAAAATCACTCCTCATTTTTCAGTCCATCCTAAGCTCATGTGTAATAAAAATCACAAGGCGACCTCAAAGCTAATTTTCTATAATACTTTCTAGCCAATAAGTTATAATACTATATAATAACTAATAATAAAAATAGAATACCCCCCATGTTCATATCTATTCTTTGCTTCTACAATTTTAAACCTTTTTAAAAGTTTGCAATTATTATAATTTTGTTTCACTGCTCTCTTAACTGTCAACTTAGGGCTACAGTGGCTCAGTTGGTAGAGCATTGGCCTTTGGGTCTGAAAGTCGTGGGTTCCATCCCCCCACAAGACCTACTCCAACTGCTCCCCCTAATGTTTGCTGTCGTTGTGTCCTTGGGCAAGACACTTAACCCCACATTGCCTGAAGCTCGCGCTGAAACACCAAGGCTGTGTCACCACTGAAGTAGCAGCCATCTTCCTGTGGACTCACCCCCTGCAGAGGATCAGAGGGACTGGTGCTTTGAGCATTGAGTGGCAGCTCTGAGTGTCACCCCCCGACCCAGAAATGGACTACTAAAAGGGGTAGATTATGAATGAATTAATAATTTTGTTTCCCTCTACCCTACCATTAAGTTGATTTTTCATCATCATTGATTAACATCATTCGTTTGTCTCCTACTACACTAAAAGTTTTTTTTTTTTCTCACCATATTGCGATCATTATCATGTTACCTCCCTCTGCACTTGAATTGTGTTCAATATATTGACAATTATTGTCATTTATTTTCTTCTTTTGTTTAGTAGCACATTGTCCAGGTTTTAACTTCATATTACATTCATTTATCATTCTCCTTACCAAGATTTTCCCTCTGTTTCACCATTCAAACCACAGTCATAACCCTAATCCTTCCACCACCCTCTTTCATGTTTTTTAATGCAGCACAACTCTGGCACAGGGAAAGGAGAAGAAAAGAAGAAGGGAAAACGCGCGTGTGTGTGTGTGTGTGTGTGTGTGTGTGTGTGTGTGTAAATTTAAATACATAAAATTAAAAGGAGAAAAAAGGAAGAAAAAAGAACTAGTAGGGGTACAGGACACATGGGAGAGGTCCTTGGAACAGCACCTCTGCCTCAGGTAAACAACCTTCCATAGTGTCCTTTTCAACACACTTTAGAGAGACACAAAGGAGCAATGAGGCTGATGGGCGGATGCATCAAATTGCTAAAATAACACACACACACACAGCACACGCACGCGCGCACACGCACCAACTGTATCTTGTCTGTCTTGTTGTATCTGTTTGTACGTTTGCACTTGTATTGTATGTCTATATCTTCACAATAAAAAAAATTTTTTTAAAGTGGCTTCTGTGGTCTCGTTCTGCTCCACTGGTACCTTTGGAATCAGTTGTGTCATGGTTATGTGTCTGTTCTCTCACGGTGTACCTTTGGTTCAGACCAGTTGTCCGGGGCAATGGTTCTGTGGCTGTTGTCCTGGTACCTTTGGTTCAGACCAGTTGTGTCCATGGTTCTGTGTTTGTTCTGTCACTGTACATTTGGTTCAGTCCAGTTGTGTCCATGGTTCTTCATCGGTTTTTTTTTCTGTTGTTCTGTCACTGGGGCTACCTTTGTTCAGACCAGTTGTGTTATGGTTCTGTGTCTGTCTTGTCACTGGTCTATGGGTTAGACCAGTTGTGTCCATGGTTCTGTGTCTGTTCTGACAGACCAGTTGTGTCCATGGTTCTGTGTATGTTCTGTCCACTGGTACCTTTGGTTTAGAGCTCCCTCGGTCACCTAACGGACTGCTGGTTTAAAGCTGGGGTACCTGACGTTAGAACCACACACATTGAACTTTGGATCAAAATCCATCCAAAACAAGTTCCATTTATTTAATTGTTTCTTATTTTTTTTTTTGATCATTAAATGGACCATTGGTTTCACACAACACCCCCCATGGTCTAGGTTCTTGATGGTATCTCATGACATATTAATTAAGAGGATATATATAAGAAGCCGCAGTAAACACACAGTTATGATGTACACGACAATAAAAGATCACTAATACAAGATATATTCGAAACAGATAATATTGTTTGTCAATCTGTGTATGAATCGAGTGGGAATGTGCCATACATGTGGTCGTTGATCAAATGAGGATTCTAGATTCCATCCACAAGCTTTTTCATTTCTGGAGCCCGACAGAGAGAAATAAAACAAACAGGATCAATGCTGAACAGGAACAGAGGCGTTTACACCAAGTCGCATCATGGGAAATCCTTTTACACTTCACTCATCCTCTCTTCCCTCGCCGGTCCGTCTCCTCCTTCTCCTCCCTGGTCCTCTCCTACTTCTCCTCCTGGTTACCGTACTCCTCTCTCTCTACTCCTTCCTGTCAGTCTCAGGACGAGCAGCAGAGGGAGGGACTCCCAGTACCTTCAGCACAGTACTCCCAGTGCAGTACTTATCAACACAGTACTCCCAGTAGAGTACTTATCAGCACAGTACTCCCAGTACAGTACTTATCAGCACAGTACTCCCAGTACAGTACTTATCAGCACAGTACTTTCAGCAGAGTACTCTCGTTTTTGCACCTGTTCAATAAAGTTTGTTATCTTTAAATTTCCAGTGCTTAGACTGTTTGCTGTTGACAAAAATAATTATTCAATAGCTGCGTTTCCATTGAATAATGCGCAAAAACTTTTTCGATACATTTCAAAATTCAAAAAACCTGTAATTCGCAAAAGCGGCTGTTTCCATTAAGACATATTCGAATAAGTATACACTATTTTCGCGCGTTTATTGACTAGTTTCTAGTACGTCAACATGGCAACAGAAGTAAACAACACTTTGATTTATGTGATATATATTAATGTCTTGACTTCTCCTGCGGCTCTCATCCTCTCTGACCCCGGGAGAAACTGTGGCTGCTTTGACAGCGCCGCGAACGCGCGTGGTCATGTACCGAGCGCGGACCATAGACGCGCGCACAGAACCATAGAGACGGGTCTTGCCTGTCTCCCCCGTCTCTCCCCCATGCCTCTCCCCCGTCTCTCCCCCGTCTCTCCCCCATGCCTCTCCCCCGTCTCTTCCCCGTCTCTCCCCCATGCCTCTCCCCCGTCTCTTCCCCGTCTCTCCCCCATGCCTCTCCCCCGTCTCTCCCCCGTCTCTCCCCCATGCCTCTCCCCCGTCTCTCCCCCGTCTCTTCCCCGTGCCTCTCCCACGTATCTCCCAAGTCTCCACACGAAGCGCAGCCAAAACTCACTGAATAAAGCTCAGCTCGGCTTCCTCCGCTATATCGAAATAAGTGTTTCCATTGCCGTTTTGCGAAAAACTTAATTTCGATACGTCCAAAAAACCACCGATTTTAAGCGCATTAACTTTTTATCGAAAAACTGTGGTTTATTCGAAATTTGCGCGTTTCCATTAGACATTTTATGATGCGCAAATTCAAATTTCGAAATTTGATGCTCAATGGAAACGCAGCTACTGATCACATTAAAACATTAAAGAAAAACATTTGTTATTCCATTCCTCCATCACTTGTTCAGCACTCCTCACTCACTGACCACACACTGACCACACACTGACCACTCACTGACCACACACTGACCACACACTGACCACTCACTGACCACACACTGACCACACACTGACCACACACTGACCACTCACTGACCACACACTGACCACACACTGACCACACACTGACCACTCACTGACCACACACTGACCACTCACTGACCACACACTGACCACACACTGACCACACACTGACCACTCACTGACCACACACTGACCACACACTGACCACACACTGACCACACACTGACCACTCACTGACCACACACTGACCACTCACTGACCACACACTGACCACTCACTGACCACACACTGACCACACACTGACCACTCACTGACCACACACTGACCACACACTGACCACTCACTGACCACACACTGACCACACACTGACCACTCACTGACCACACACTGACCACTCACTGACCACTCACTGACCACACACTGACCACACACTGACCACACACTGACCACACACTGACCACACACTGACCACACACTGACCACACACTGACCACTCACTGACCACACACTGACCACACACTGACCACTCACTGACCACACACTGACCACACACTGACCACACACTGACCACACCATGTTAGTTCTTTGTCCAGAGTTTTGTTAAGGTCAGCGTAGTGTATTTGACATGACACACAAACATGTAACACACATATAAACAACACAACACAGAAGGCCTGTAATTTGACTTTTTCCATGTCCAATTACAATTGTCTCATGAGTTATTTTATTGTTGCAACTTTCAGAGCCTGCAGAACATGCAGAGCTTTAAGAGATTTTTTCCTAAAAGGATCCATTTCAAACTTTAATGTTTAAACCACGTGGTCTATACTCGGGCTTCTCACAGACTGTGTCCCCTATAGTTTAATGAGCTCTTATTGTTACTTTCAGACTCGTGCACGTGCTATAAATGTTTTCCCTTTTTCAGTAAAGCCAGTTCGGATTCATTAAAAATGTAAATTAATTTCAAACTTTAATACTTCACCTTTGTTTCACGTTCATGTGGAGAAAAGACTATTATTCTACGTGTACTAACGTACTTGCACCAATCATGTCTCAGATAAACTGCCAACAGTTGTATCAAAGACATAATTGTCCTAATTGTTTCTAATTTATCTATTTGTAAGAGAAACATGTCATAAAAGATTTCATAAAATGTTTCTACATCCGTGTTTTCAACCAGTGAGCCTTGGTGCGTTAGTGTGTCATCAGAAATGATCCAATATCACCTTTAGCCAAGATTTAGAAATACCCTAAATCATTTTTCAAACTTTGATTGTCTGAACAAACCATTTTGTACTAAATGCAGCGTCCATTAAAGGCTGCAGCTCTTTTTTTTTTTTTTTTTTTTTTTTTTCTAGGACCAGTTTCAACTGTGCATGTGATTGTTTTAAATGAGTGATGAGCCACGGCTCAAAGGTTGAGGAACACTGCTCTAAATGTCTGTAGTAACAAGATCATGCAGTTCAAACCAATAATTCTAAGCTTCTCCGCGTCTATAACTTTAAATAATAATAATAGTTTTCATAATAAAACTCATCTAAAGCATGCACAAATATACTGCCATTCTAATCTTCTTGTGTCTCATTCTAAAATAAGAGTCTAATGACTTTGACGATTGCCTTGTAATCATTCATGCAGTTAAATGTAGTGTTATGAACGTATGACCTAAATGTGTAAATATGACCTAAATGTCTTATATGTCCCGGTGCGTTGTTGCCTGTCTGTGTATACTACCTTCTGTCTGTTTCATTTGCCCAGCCACGTCCTCCTCAAATGTCCGTTAATGTCTCTTTCTTTTACTCATGGCGTCTTTCAATGTCTTTTGTCTCAAAGTGTTCAATGTCTTTTGTCTCAAAGTGCTCAATGTCTTTGTCTCAAAGTGCTCAATGTCTTTGTTTCAAAGTGTTCAATGTCTTCTCGCGTGGTTTCTTTCTTTTTTTTTTTTTTCAATTACTTTTTCTTACTGGGCGGCACGGTGGCTGAGTGGATAGCATCTCGCCTCTCAGCAAGAAGATCCTGGGTTCGAATCCCGATCGGAACAGTGCCTTTCTGAGGGGAGTTTGCATGTTCTCCCCGTGTCTGCGTGGGTTTCCTCTGGGTCTTCCGGTTTCCCCTACCATTACTTACTACTTCCAATCTCTTTCTTTTTCTTGCAATGTCTTTTTCTTTCATGTCTTCTTTGTCTCATATTTGACGCACACAAATGTGTCGTTTCTTTCGCTTGGTTCACCAGTGGCGGCCGGCCAATAGAGGGCGCTAGGGCGCCGCCCCACCACTCACAACTTGCCATGTTACCTTGAATAAAACGTTAAAAAAAATAATAACATTAAAATATTTCAAAATTTATGTGTGTTTCATTTCAGATGTGGAAGAAATACTTTATAGTTTATGCTGAGTTGGATTGATTAAGCTCATCAGCGTTGTCTGTGTCGGACTGAGGACGTATTTCCGCCTCAGGGCGCAAAAGATTGCGCCCTGAGCCGTCTATGGACTCTCGTTAAAGGTTGTACATGCGCAGTAGCTCCTCTTCAATGCAAGAGATAAGACGATTTGGGGGCGCAGGAGAAGTGCGCCCTGAGGGGGCGGGATTGCCCGCGACCTGTACTGTCACTGTCTGTGACGTCCGTTTACAGTGATTGACAGGTCAAGCTGTGGAAGTTTGAGACGAACGTAAAGAGACGCAAAATGGAGAACGAGAAAAAGAATAATTCAGTTAGATCACTCAAAACAATACCGTTTGAGAGAAGATCATACCAGGAGAAGGTTGAGGTTAAAGAGCTTGGACCTGATCAGCCAAATATTACCATTAGTCAGCAGTCCAGGACCTGGTTCAGCGCCAAATCTTGGCTAGCAGCATGTAGCGAGGCTAATGCTTTATTTTGCTTTCCATGCCTCTTGTTTCAAACATCAGGATCTGACCCAGCATGGATCAAGACAGGTATGACTGATCTGAAGCACTTTTTAGAAAAGGCAAAGAAGCATGAGCAGACTGGTATCCACATGCAAAATGCCCTCAAATTAGCTATGTTTGGGAAGATAAATATTTCATCCCAGCTGGATGAAAGCTACAGGGTAGGGATCAGAAAGCATCCCTACCCTGCTGGTATATATCTAGTCATCATATTCATAGCCCCCCCAGTAGAAAATTCCACCAGCCGCCACTGTGGTTCACACAACGTTCCTCTTCTTGCACATAACTTCACTCCGTTTGTGTCTTCTTCTTCTTCTTGTTACGTTTTTCCGGCGGTTGGCGGCCTATTTTTGCGCATTACCGCCACCTTCTGTTCCGTGGATGGGTCAACACTCAGTTTGTGCAAAAGTCTGTGGCCTTTTCTTTGCCATGCTGTTAGAAATGGAGGCCGGAGAAGTCTTCTTCGAATGTTCTTGTTAGCTGCTGCAGCCGATACTGCTGTTGTTGGTGCCCCCTGTGGGTCGGGGGAGACGCTGATGGTCCGTTTTGATGACGCTCGGTTGTGGTTTGTGGCAGGGACGATTTTGGCGATCGGCCAGAGAAACAGACAGAAGTTTTCTCAGAAAAAAACAGACAAACAAGAAACACAAACAAGTGTGTTAATACAATACAAAACCAATGATTAATTACGAATCTAAATAAACCTATGAAATAATTACTATTAACATTTTAAGCATTAAATTCTGAAAACCAAATCTGTATTCAACTGCTATCCTAAGCCCTATTTTTTCAAAAGTATAATGTTCTTTAAGATCAGTTTAAATTTTATATCACCAAAATGTTGGGAAAAAATGTTTAATAACTTGTCTAGACGCCTTGGAAATACCCAAAAAATAAAAATAATGCCTCTTTATAATCTAACTCAAAGTTCTGTGATCCTATGACTCCATGACAGTAACATTATCGTGTGTATAAATGTAATTTTCTACAAAAAATATATTTGGTATGCCTCTCTCTTAACTGGAGAGAGAGAGTGAGCAGACAGAAAGAGGGAGGGGAGGGGCTGAGTGGCCTGTATGCATCAAGCATTTATCAGAGGGAGAAGGAGGGAGAAGGAGGGAGAAGGAGGGAGAAGGAGGGGCTGTGTGGCTTCTCAAACAGAGGAGAACATGTACGACTGAAATACACCAAATTCATGAACATCCCCTGTTTAAAATTTGCTACATTTTCCTCGTTTTTTATCGTGACAATGTTTTATCAGTGGTGAGAGTTTTCTCACGTCAAACGACACTTTGCACTTATTTAAATACGTCAGTAATGGAAAACATTACAATTTGCTTACATGACTAATGCATCACTAGGTTTTTTTCGTAATACCTCTAACTATTAAAACATTACATCACAATACAAGAGAACTCCCAGAACTGATCATTCTGGTCATTTCTCCACATGGAAACTCGTATCTTCAGCCAAGTGGCTCTCTTTTTTTCTCATTAATCAGATCATTATTATTCAATAGTCAGAATCCAACAGTTTAAATACTTGGCTTTTTTGTTTAAATTAAATGTACCCTTTTTCCCGCCCCCCGGGGGATATAGAAGGTTTTATTCCCTGTAACTTCTGACCCTATAGCTGTCCCTATTTCTAATTCTATTTCTATTTTCACTAAACACTTGTGCCTCTCTGCACTTTAAAACGGTGTGCCTCTTTTGCACTTATAGAACCCTTGTGGACTTTCTTTTCCCTTTTTGTTTTTTTAGAGGGGACCCCAATCTTCCCTCAAGGCTAAAACGTCAAAAAAACCTGACTATTGTTTTATTGCGTCCGATAAAACGCCCGTCACGGCGGTCTGTCCACACCTGCAGTCATGTTGGGCCGAGACCTCTCTCTCTTCTATTAAAAACAAAGTGCAGATTCTCAAAAATATGATCTGCTTACCTTTTTGTAGAGTAGAGAGCTCCCAAACCCACAGACCCGGTTTCTCTATCTGAGCTCATCTTGCGTCTTCTTTCTGTATCAAATCACGTCGGGGTCACCATTTGTTGTCAAAAATGATTTGACCGACGTGTTCAGAATTTGGTACAGAAATAAGGCCAAGATTTCAGGAGTTCCAATAGTACATTTATTTCTCTTTACAATTAAATGTTGATACAGAACTCCTGGAGCTACTCCCTAAATCTCTCCCTGTGCTCCAACTCCCCCCAATGTGTCCTCCCAACGGTTTTATCAGAATCTCCGATGACGTCATATGGTCTGAGGCTGGTCCCAGTCTGGTTTTGTGTCTCAGGCCGCTAGAGACACGCTGTTCCTTAAAATGATACTTTTATCACAGAAGCCTTGTCCTTGGTGCTTGTCTGAATTCCATTAAATCCAGGCTTTAATATTGCACAAAGACATGTTATACAAACACCTACTGGAAATCATTAGTATACAACATTATAATTCTACAACACTGGGCTCTGCTTTCTCTGGTCTCTCTGCAGCAGCAGCAGCAGCAGCTGTGTGATCATGTGAGATCAGAATGTGGTCATGTGATCAGAACTCGTGGGAGTTGCTCTCCAACCGGTCTAACCCCATGTGCCAAGTATGGCGAGTGTCTGTGTCTCCCCCTGCTGGAGTACATCTGCTGCTTCCCTGCCATCTCCACGTCCATGAGGACCTCCAT